GACGTAAGTAAAAGAAAAAAAAAAAAAAAAAAAAAAAAAAAAAAAAAGAAAAAGAAAAAAAAAGTCCGGTACGACTAGTTTGTTGAACTAGAACTTTCGGTACAGTATACTGTTTTGACCGGCAGAGCGTAGCGTAGTGTTTACCTAGGTAGTTACTAGAAGGTAGGTACAGTACTTTGAGACAAGAATACAGAAACACGGAAACGGGGTTACGAGAACAGACTATAGAAAAAGAAAAACAACAATAACAGAGTATCGGATCCCGTCGTCTCTTCTCCGCCGACGAAACAAACAAAAAAACGAAAATCTTTTAATACAATAAAAAATTAAAAATAAAAAATAAAAAGTGGAAAAGGAAACGGTTGTAAGCCTTAGCATCCGTTTTTTTTTCTTGTCTTTTAGGTTTTGTTTGTATAGTCGTCTTCTACCGTGTCTGCAGGATAGCTGAGTCGGCAGGATAAGGTACATGTATCTTGGAGGGAGGTAGAGGTATAATAGAGTGTATACTGTACTGTACTGTACTGTAGCGTAATACGTAATGCAGCGTAGTATAGTGTAGGTCGGTGCGGGTGCGGTATATAGTATAGTAGTGGTAGTGGTAGTACCTCCTAGCTACATCCTGTAGGAGGTAGGTATGTACAGTACTTGTGTACACGTTGCGCAGAGGTAGATGCAGAGAGTCCGTGACTCCGATACTCCGATACTCCGTCCGTCTCACTCCTCGTCCGTCACTTTCGTCCGTCTCTGTCGTCCCTACGGTTACACACGGTAAAGCCAAGTACCGAAGCCAGGGAGAGACGGATCTAAGAGGTAAAGAGAGAGAGAGACAAGAGGCAAACGGGGCTAGCCAGCTAGCCCAGCCCAGCCAGCCAGACATTTTTAGAGTTTGTGCCCAAATTCAGCATCACAGGCATTGGTCACTATTACATGTTTATGTACCGACTAGGTTAGGAGGTACCCTTGCCTTGCCTTGCCTCAGGTACTACAGTACTGTACCTCCTACCTCCAGTACCTCTACTAGGAGGTACTTTTTTCACTCACTCACACACATACAGGCAAGCGGGCAGGCGGGTGGGTTTTAAGGTTGGAACAAACGGGTGATGATGATAATGATGATGATGGTCAGCAATTCAGCAAGGAGGAAGGGAGGTAATTAAGGTAGGTCTCATCATCGGCCCTAGGAGGTAGCAGCTAGGAATAGTTGAATGAGGTACGTGGTAAACAGAGACTAGTGTACCTCTGAGATTGAAAGTGGGTGGTTGGGTGGATGATGAGAGAGATTGAGTGACGAGGGAGTTGGAGTGAGTGAGTGGCTCCAGCGGTAGGCGACGAGGCGGTAGGCGGTAGGCGCCGGGTGGGCGACTTCGACTCACTTCGAGAAGATGGGTAGTGCACCGCAGTTAGGAGGTAGAACCGGGGTGGCGTTCTCGTATCCTCCTCTCCTACTTTTCCTTAAAGTGAGTGCTGTGCTGCTGCTGCTGCTGCTACCCGCAGTGCTACTAGAAGGCACTAGGAGGTGCCTCCTACAGGAAAGTGTGGACTCTTGTCTGGGCTGGGCTGGGCTGGGCTCCTGCTCCTGCTGCTGCTGCTGGTGGGCGGATGAGTAAGGTGGATTGGCTTAGTTTAGTGTGTGGACTAAGCGCGACGGGGCATGAAGCAAGCAAGCATGATGAGAGAAGGATGGGAGCACGAGTGGGCATGCACGGAGCTCGTAACGCCCGGTAGGATTTGTGCTTCCCGCTTGGGTCTCGGTTGCAGGTAGGCGCGCACTCTCGCACTCTCCCGCACTCTCTCTCCCTCTCGCTCGCACTTGCAGGAGCAGGTGGTGCAGGTTGCAGGTTGCAGGTTGCAGGTTGTTGCAGCTTGAAGGTTTAGAGGTACCTGTAGGTTGCAGCTTGCAGGCCGGCCGGGCAGTTGCACACGACAAGAGCCAAGATCGTGGTCGCTTCCCATGCACAATTCACACCTCTAGGAGGTAGCCTGTCCCCACTATCGAGGTACACTTGTACACTACCCGCTCGGAGCCAATGATTCACGTGTGCCCCCGACTTACGAGCCAATCACAGCCACGACAAGCACGACCACCTGGGAGAGTGGCGAGTGGCGATGCTGGGAAGGCGCTTGCTCTCGAGCACTCTCTCTCACACGGCCTCTCTCGAATTCTCTCTCTCGTTCTCTTGCAGCCTAGCAGCCTGGCACCGACCCGCTGGCTAGGAATAACGCTCGCGGCCACGCTTGTAGCTGCTGCTGCCACTGCTGCTGCTCATCTCATCTTCCATCATCATGATCATCGCCAATCATCATCCATCACCCAATCATCATCCATCATCATCATCATCATCATCACCATCAGCACCAGCATCAGCACCAGCATCTTCATCATCACCACCAACCGTTGCTCACCGTCACCATCGCCATCGCCATCGCCCATCACCGTCGCCCCTCGGTACACCCGACGCCTCGTCTCCCCGCCGACAAAGCCACTGAGATGGAGGAGACTGAGACTCGGAGAGAGTGTGTGTGAGAGTGTGTGTGAGAGTGAGAGAGAGTGTGTGTGTGGGCGGCGTCGTGTCGTGGCAGCCGCCGTTGCATCCTGCCAGGCAGTGCCAGCACCAGCACCAGCACCAGCACCAGTACCAGCAGACGGCACAAGGGCCTGACAAAAGCCGTGGGACGCATGCCGTGGACGGTGGGTGGCGTTGGCCCGTCTGTGATTTGCTGGGTCCTGGGAGTACGCACGCCTCGCGACCCGTACAACTTACTCTGCACCCATGAGTGAGTGGTGGCATTAGCGCATCCTGCGAAAGCCAAGCTCGCGGCAGAAGCAGCGTTGGTGAGAAAATATAGGCGGCATGACCTGAACGTGCATGGAGCTTCACACTAGCCATGCCGCCCAGGGATCATTGCCGCTAAAGACGTGTCGCGCTTTGACAGACACCCTCCCCTGTCCTGCTGGGTGCTGCGTGCACTGGCCTCTGCCGCTCATTCAGTGGGCTGTTGCTGGCTGCTGCGGGCTGCGGGCTGCTGGCTGTGGGTTGCGGCTTGCGGGCTGCTGCTTGCCCTGGGCCATATTCCGCCTCGAAAATAATGGCTGTGATGGATCCTCTCTGATGCACCCTGGTCACTGCTGTTCGATTGCTTTAATCCTCCACCCCCCAAATACTTGCCAGGGTACGCAGCCTTTATCACAACCACTATCGCTCTGCCATTGCTGCCTTGCCCTCGACTACCTCAAACCGGACGACACAGCCTGGCACCTTAATACCCAGACCATATCAGCATCATCATCGTCACCTGCTGCACTTGCGACAACTCCGACTACTACTACTACCACCACCAACCACCACCACAACACCAACGCTCTCTTCAACTAGCCAACCACCACACACTCTCTCTCCTTCTCTCTCTTCCACCTTCCCACCACTCTCTTCCCACCAGCACTTGCTCCCTTCACCACTGTTCCCTCTTGCCCTCTAGAACCCAGCTTCCTATGAGTGTGTGCACCCTGTGAGAGAGATCCGGATCCTTTTCTGTGGCCGGGAACTTCCGTGCACTCCACCATGCTCCCCACACCTCCGGCTTCTCCCACCCCATCTGGACTATGCCGTCCCGATGACAAGATTGGGCACACGTTGGCCGGCAGCATCCAATTGACAGGAGTTCTTGGCGTGGGCGCATATGGTACGGTGTACAAGGCAAGAGACCTCGTCACCAATGCCGAGTATGCCGTCAAGGCCTTGAACAAGGTCGGTCTCGATGCCCGACAGAGGACCTTTCAGGATCGCGAGATTCAATTGCACTATGCTGCCAGCCAGCATCCCAACGTCGTTTCCTTGGTCAAGATTCTGGACTCCCCAGAATCGACCTATGTGGTGCTGGAATACTGCCCCGAAGGAGACTTGTTTTCCAAAATTACCGAGGATAGCCACTACGTAGGAGATGATTTCAAGGCCAAGCAGATTTTCCTGCAGCTCCTGTCTGCGGTCCAGCATTGTCACGCCCGAGGCATCTTCCATCGGGATCTCAAGCCTGAGAACGTGCTTGTCATGGACAATGGATGGACTGCCAAGCTGGCCGACTTTGGACTTGCCACTCAGGATCGTGTCACTTCCGACTTTGGATGCGGCTCGACATTCTACATGTCGCCAGGTGAGTGGATGCAGCTTCCTTGGCCCGTCAATGAGGCCATGATGCTAATGATTCGCAGAATGCCAAACACCCAATCCGAAGCCCAATGCCTGTTATGCATCCGCGCCCAATGATATCTGGTCCCTTGGCGTCATTCTGGTCAACCTCACTTGTGGTCGCAACCCATGGAAGAGAGCCTCCATGGACGATTCCACTTTCCGAGCTTTCATGAAAGACCGCAGCTTTCTGCAGTCCATTCTTCCCATCACCGATGATTTTAATGAGATTCTTCAGCGCATCTTTGATGTGAACCCATACCGCAGGATCGGTCTAGAGGAACTTCGCAACATGATCTTTCATTGCCCACGTTTCACCACCCAGGAGGCTTCTAATCCCACTTCGGCTCCCGCAACCCCCCCGTACAGCCCCGTGGTGGAAAAGGCCATGGACTCCATCTCCGTCAGCGCCGCCGCTGCTGCTGTGAATTCGTACGAGCCAGTTCCTCACCTGGACTTGTCTGCGCAGGCGTACCATTCGGGCACTCCAGACATGATGGCACATCCCGCCATGTTCACACCGCCAGCAACAGGCCCCTGTTCACCTCAAACGACCCATTGCGCGCCACAGCCCAAGTCTGTAGGCCCATCCATGTACCCAGGACCGTTCTTTGGCAATTTTGCCACTTTTGGCCGATGTGGTCAGATGTTTGCCAACTTCAATATGCCCACACATGCCTGGGCCTCCACTTTTTAGAGAGGTGTGACCCACCCTTGAGACCGGTTTCATTGGAATCCTACTGGGCAGCCCCGGTGGACAAACAACAATGACCGGGACACACCTGGCCGGCCATGAGAGATATTGAGAGCGCGGACCTTGCAAGCGTTTTGTTTCGAAGAAAAAAAAGGACACTGTAAAAGATACCCCAGCTGTTTTGTTTTAGCGACTGTTACCGGGAGGACAAATTTGTGTTTTCAACATCAGGAGTTTCCATCAAAAGGGGGGGAAATGTGAGCCACAGACGCAGGCCACGGCTCATCAGTCGAGCAGGATAGAAAGGAAGGTTTTTTGCTGAGCATTTACTCGGGCGTATGGGAGGACGAAGTTACACGAGACTACAGATCAATGATGGGATGTATTATGACTACCTAAAAAACCTTCTATAGCATACTTGTGTGTCTTGATACACCTTTCAGAATGTACTTGCCCGATACTGGCATGATTACATGAGAACTTATTCCACGTCTCCATCTCTCCACGTTTCACTTTTTAGACTTGTTCCGACATATTCAAGGATAGGTGGTTAGCAGCAAACATGTAGTTGCGTCGTACTCGTACCTACATGTAGTCTCGTACCTGAACTGTGGAGAAATATTGTAGATTATGTCCGATCTTGTAATGTCGTTGGCTGTTGGAAGAATTCAGGTTGAATTTTGACCTGGTTGTAGGTTTCGTATGTACTAGAGTAGAGAGAATGTAGAAATGAGAATGCAGAGATGAGGAATAGAGGAGAAGTAGAGGAGAAATAGAGGAGGAGGTAAGGCGATATTTACAGGATAAGGATAACCTTGGGAAGGAAGGAAGGAATGTTAGTGAATCAGGTACGTTGGAAATGGAAAGGGAAATGGAAGGGGAAAAGGGAAAGGATGGAAAGAAAAATATACAGTACATATATGTATAGAAGTATAGGAGGTAGTAACTGAAGTAAAAGGAACGGACCTCCTACGTACCTACCTCTCTCTTTCGGTCTCTTTCGGTCTCTCTCTCTCTCTCTCTCTCTCTCTCTTACGATCTATACAAGAATAATGTATCTATCATCTATCCATACATGTAGCTACATGTACCTTTAGGTATACATATGTACCTACCTCTCCGCGAACCCGCAAAGAAGCAAACAAAGCAAACAAATAAAGCAAACAAATAAAGCAAACAATTGAAGCAAGTACCTCCTAAGCAAGCAAACAAGTAGTACCTTCTACCTTACTACCTAACTACCTTACTGCTATACCAAGTCATGTCCTGCTCCAGCTCTATTTCAATGACTCTTTGCTGTACATGCGTATGTGGAGGAGGGTGGGCTGTTGCTATGTCATTCAGAAAAGTGGCTTGCAGATATATTGCATACATACCTGAAAAAGGTAGATCTAATGTATATGTACTTCATGTACTTTAGCGAGTCAAGTAGGCACAGGTACCTTACCTACATGTATTCTGGCAGCAGCAGAAAAGCTGATTTGACACATACCTCACACTTACTCACTCCTCCACCACCACCACCATCATTCTATTTTTCTGACCGCCTTTTCATCTCAAGTGGCAAAGCAAAGATCCGCAGTCGAGAACCACGACATTTAGCACGACAGACTGGACAAGGCAAGGCGGGAAGGAACATGTACAGTACCTAGTGTGCAATCATTGTTCCGTTATGTAACCATGTCAGGGCCCACCACGGTTTGGATAGAGAGCTCGATCCATGTGACGTGCTCGCACTATCCCTCCCTCCCTCCCTCTATCTCTCCTTCTCATCGCGCAGTGCCCGCTCCCCGTAGAACTGGGCCCTGCCCTTCTGTCCTGCCTAATTACATACAATGCCTGTTCTCCGAGCTACTTACATTCCATGCCTGTTCTCTCCGAGACGATCTCTTCGTCCTGTTCGCCCACGGGTGCCATATCTGAAGTTCGTGCTGGAGGGAAGTTGTGCAAAGAACACGTCGTGCATGCCGGGTGTGGGTAAATGCACTATCGTATTGAGCAAACTCCGCCATGAAACTGGCCGTATCTGAAGTTCATGCTGGAGGGAGTTGTGCAAAGAAAGAGTCGTGCATGCCGGGTGTGGGTAAATGCACTATCGTATTGAGCAAACTCCGCCATGAACCTGGCCGTATCTGAAGTTCGTGCTGGAGCGAAGTTGTGCAAAGAAAAAGTCGTGCATGCCGGGTGTGGGTAAATGCACTATCGTATCGAGCAAACTCCGCGATAAACCTGGCCGTGTAATCTGAGAGTAGTGGCGTACATTTCGACTGGTCTCGCGGTGACTGGTATATATCGCACAGACATGGACTCGTACCAGTCTGAGTGACATGCTACCGAGTCCCTAGCCCGCCAGTTATTGGACGACCATCGAAAGTGTATGAAGTCTTCACTGAATTATGTTTTCGGATCTCTTCCTTCAAATAGCTCGCTGCACTGCTACTGGGCGGAATCCTCTTGGCAGGGTAGCAGACGAGGATTTGGCCTTTGATGGCACAGTCTCTCGCATGCCGCTGATGAACGGGTGTCGAATCGCATCCTTGGGCTTGATGCGCTTCTCGGGGTCCAGCTGCAGACACTTGTCCAGTAGGTCGACAAAGGCGCTGTGCAACTTGAGTTGAGCCGCGTCCATCCTCTTGATATTAGCACTGAGTCTGGACTTGAGGTCTTTTCCGTTGACGCCTTGGGAGAAATGCATCGGCTTCGCCACAACGTTGCCCGTAATCTTATCCCGCTCGAGCCCGTGGAAGACGAGCTGCTCATCGAAGTAATTACCAGCCAACTGTGATTTCTTGACCAAGCGATTGGGCAGCTTGCCGCGACACTCCTGAATGACGCGGAGCATGCTGTTGTTGTTGGCGCCATTGAACAGTATGCGGCCCGTGTACAGCTCGTAGAGCGTGCATCCGATAGCCCACATGTCGATGGCATAATCAAATTCCATGCCCATGATGACCTCGGGAGCACGATAGAATCGTGACACGAGATAGGGCGTGAGTTCGGCATCTTGCTGCAGCGTAGCAGTTCCGAAATCGCAAATCTTGATCAGGTTCTTGTCGGCGCTCACGAGAATGTTATCCGGCTTCAGATCGGCATGCAGCACCTCCAAGTTCTTCATATGCAGCAGACCGAGAAACATCTGTCGCGCATAGACCTGAATCGCTTCGGGTCTGATGCCAATGTCCCTGCCGAATTTCTTCAACGTCTCGCGCAAATCCATGTCTAGTCCCTCGAATACGAGGCACAGATGTCCTTTGTGCATGAAATCTGCCAATAACCGAATGATGCACTTCTTGTCCTCCGGATCGGCCTCGTTGAGTCGGTGTAGAAACTGCATCTCCTTCTGACCAGCCTTGAACATGGTATCGTTGCGACACGCAATCTTGATGGCCACCTGCTTGCCTGTCTGCGCATCCTTGGCCCTCACCACAGTTGCAAACGTACCTTTGCCAATCTGTTGCTCCACCGCATAGCGTCCATCGAGCAACTCTCCATTGATGATACGATAGTGTCCGTCTGGGTAGTCCCAGTTGTCCAACAAGCTCTCGTCGAGCGCCTTTGCTTCCTTTGGTACACCGTGTGCTGAGGCATCCTTGACCGCAAACATATCGTCATCATCATCGTCATCGGCGAACATGTCGAAGTCATCTGATGATCTCTTCTTCACAGCCGGGGCAGTCGCCGTTTGCTGCTGTGCCTTTGTCTCAGTACCTTTCTGCTCTTGCTGCTTGTGATCCGGTCGGTCTTCGTTCACGTCTCGACTGGGATCGTAATCGGCGGCTGACTGGCCAAACTCATCACTCGGTTGCAATTGTAGAGGGTTCGCGAGGTCGGCGTCGGTGATGACATTGGGCGACGCTGGCGAAGCAGGAGAGTCGGGAAATGAGACGTCCATGGGCGTGCGGGGCGAGTTGATGGAGGATGGCGGCGACTGCGGTGCTGAGCCCTGTGCGCTGCTCTCATGATGTGGTGTGGTGGTGGCAGTCGATGGCAGGTTCGATTCGAGCGTCGACCGTAGCAAAGAGTCGTTGGCGGCTGCGGCTGCATGCTTCTTTCTGATGGCTTCGCGCTTCTTGCGACGCTCTTCGATCAGCTCTGCTTCTGACAACTGCTTGACCGGCGACGCAGCATCTTCAGCAGAGGTTCCATCCGCCGCTTCTTCTGCGCGGGTAGCGTGTGTTTTAGTATCAGTCTGCGCATGACGAGGAGTGGGGGCGGACTCGCGGTATGAAGTGGACGACGCGGTGCTTGCGCGTCTGCCAGCTTCTGATCCTGCGTTTGCCTGGACCGAGGAAGCCTTCGCAGAGGCACGATATGGAGAGCGACTGCGGTCGCGCCTGGGAGCGGCATTGGCTCTCACGAAATCGGTGCGCCCAAAGTCGCGATAAGTACCGCGCTGCTGCTGAGGGTGGTGGTGATCATCGTACAGCTTGTGTCGGCGAGAGTCACTGTTGCCTGTACCGTAGTGATCGTCCAGTCGACGTCGCTTCTCACGTCCATCATCTCTGTCCGCGCGATAGGGCGATCTGGAGCCCGAGCGGTCTCTTCTGAACGGCGACCTCGACCTCGACCGCTCGCGACCTCGACCATACCCGTTGTTGTAGTGTGCATTCGAATCAGTCATCAAGGCTCGACGGCCGGCGTAGTGCGCAGGCCGAGATGAAGACGAATGTCTGGCCGATTTGTTAACATTGGTGTTTGAGCGGTATGACGATGCGTTCGTTGTGACCTTCTCCCCGTCCACGCTGCTGATCTCACTTTCGGACGGCGACCTCGAATAGAGAGTCATCTTGTGCAGTGACGCACCCGCCGATAGTGGTGGTGTGAAAGTGTTAGCGATCTGTGCTAATCTGCTGTCTCTCGTGCTGGTGGCCCGCCGGTGGCAGAGCCAGAACCAGTATGGATGGCAATCTCACTGAAGGACTTATGTGTGCAACTCCAGCAAGCGGGGACGCTGGTGCGAGTCGAGTGAATGAAGTGGTCACGAACGCAAGATGTGTGTGTGTGTGTGTGTGTGTGAAGTTTGAGTGCAATGGGAGAGGGAGGGAGGGAGGGACCTGGAGTGAGGTAGTCCAGTGTTCTTGCTATCGGCGGGGGAAACGAAGGAACAAGGTGAAGAGGTGCCGTATCGGCGGCAGAATTCGAAGGAGTGGACCCTCGGAAGTAGCCGCGAACCGAGAGCGCGTGACATGATGAAAGACGACCCTCTCCCTTCTCCCCTTTTCCTTGTCCGCTCACTACACCTCCTTCATGTACATACCTCCTATCCGACATGTACAGGTACCCTTCTCCCTCTGCATCACTTGCAGCGCAGCACCACCACACATTCAATGCCCATCGCTTGCGGCAATGGCATGGCAGTTGACCCACCAGGTCGTCCGTTGGTATACGGAATACTCTCCCCCACGCAATGACGACGAGGCTCGGCACTCTGTCTGCGATGGTGACCATATCAAGCATAGGGCCCTTATCTTGGCCCTCACACTAAGTACTTGGTGTCACCTGCAATACAGTCAAAACTAGGTCCGGTTCAGGTCGCTCCGGCTCCGCTGCATATCTATCTGAAGAAGTGCACCCACATATGTCTGCAAGATACCCCATTCTAGAGATCGCTCTCGAGCCCGCGACGTCATGCTCGACACGATGCGTCCGATATATCTACTCTCCCTGGTTCGATCATGTCGACTTGCTGGTAATGTGCCTCCTATCTCGAACATAGGCGCGTTTCATGATCGCCCGTTATTTTGTCCAGTACCAAGTGCGAAGTACCGTCACGTATGTACATACCCAAGGTTGTAAGTATAAGACGACGTATCCAATTGTGATTCGACTCAGCATCGTTCTCCAAGTATCTCGTCGTTGTTCTTCCCAATCTCTGCTGTACAGTCCCCTCGTTGGATCAGGAATCCACATCACACTCCTTCACACTCCTTGAAAGACCGTCAAGCTTCCGAGAAGCTAGATCAAGCAATACAACTCCCAATACTACATCATGAAGGCCTCTATGATCATCTCAGCGCTTGCTGCCATCGCAGCCGCAGCTCCTTTTTCAGCACCAACAGCTTTTCCAGCCCTGAGCGGCCAACCTCCGCCGATTCCGACCGGAGGACCTCCATTTCCTCCTCTATCAAACAACGGCAGTTTTGCCCAACCCACAGGCCTAGGCCGTCCTCCAAGACCATTTGCCTCCGGCTCTCTACCACCATTCCCTAACGGCACTGCTATATTGCCTATTGGCACTGCTTCAATGCCGATGGGTACTGCTTCAATGCCTGTTGGTACTGCTCCATTACCCATCGGTACTGCTCCGTCTCTCAATAGCACTGCCCCGTTGCCTGATGGGATTGTTTCCACTGTTGCTGCAATCCCACCACGTCCTACCGACGACACTGGCTTCATGAAACGTCAGTTCGCTGGTCTGTCCGGAATTGCGTCTCCAAGTGGCTCAAGTGACTTGGGCGGCTTGGGCTCTCTTGGCTCAGGTTCAGGTCTCAGTGGATTGGGCAGCGGCACTGGTGCATCACTCCCAAGCTTCTCGATTCCAGCAGGTCTGACGGGATTTGGCACGACGGGTGCATCATTCCCAAGCTTCTCAGCGCCGGCAGGCCTTTCAGGCTTTGGCACAACAGGTTCATCAGGCTCCAGCCTAGGCTCCTCGGGCCTGTCAGGCCTTTCTGGCTCCTCTATTAGCATCAATCCCTTAGATCTCTCCAGCTCTGGTCTCGGGGCGCGTGGGTCTGACGCTGAGCCTTTGGCTTCTCTCGCTACACCAAGCAACGCTCTCTCTGCAAGCCCGCCTTCTGTAATTGAGCCCGTCAACGCTCCATTGGATGGCCCTGCTGCTGCCATCTAGTGGCGTAGCGCCTCTGTCAGGGCTGAGAGGTATTGCCGTGCCGGCTGAGGCTATCGGCAACGATGAGGCCGCAAGACTGCCTGGTGCAGAACCATCTGGACGCCTCGTTTGATGGAGCAGGGTCCATATGCATATCAGTGTATCGGCAAGGTAAACCAGCAAGGCAATACAGCTTGTACGTTCGAGGCTCGAATCAAGCAGTAGTCCTTGCCTGCGCTTACCTGCAACTATTACAAATAGGGGGAATATGTTTGCTACGCAGGACACTTAAGGTATAAATACCTGCAATTCGAGGCTGACGCTCGTTTTATATGTACTTCTTCTTCTTCTTCTCCGCGAATCTGGACTGTAGCATTAGTATCTCCATAGTATAGTCGGAATCTGCTACGCCAGACTGCCGAAAATATGTTCTTCTGAATCGAATGCTAGTACGAGCCTTTGCAATTCGCATTGCGTTTTATAACTCCCGTCGTTCAGGCAATCTCCCGAAGTACAGATGAAGATGAAGATGAAGATGAAGAAGAAGAAGATGATGATGATGATGAAAACTCGCCCTTTGTTTCACAACAGTTCGACGCGAGTTGCCTCTTCCCGCAGACCGAACCTGGAAGTCGTTCACCTAAGATTGACAGATAAGGTATATATTTCTTGGCATCCCCACTTAATTCTCTAGCGCGATAGGAGGTAGGTTAGTTCCCTGACACTGATTACCTACCTCATCGACATACTTTTCGGTATTCTTGCTCAACCTCCGCCGCATTACCCGACCAAGAACTTCCAGTGTCGTTGAGAGAGCCACATGCGATTCTGGAGTCTTATGTTCCAGGGAGGCTATGCGACTTGAATGATATTGGAAAGCATAAAATTTTCATCTCTCGGAGGCGCCAAAACATATATGCTCGCTCCCATGGAAATCCTGCAGATTTCGAGGAAGCGGTCGACCATCGTGACGACAATATATTCTGCCTGAGCTTCCAATTCGTATGTTATAGAGGCTAAGGAACCCCAAGAAAACCTCTTTTGCTTCCGGTATGGCACAATTCTCACAAAACTGTTTTTCTCATTGGCTAACGACGCTGCAGAAGATGATGCGAGGAGCTGTAGCACTCGAAAGGCTGATGAATTTGTATGCAGGAAGAGTGTGTTCTAGGTCTAATTCCATTCGTGTTTTCACTGGAGCGGAACTCGCTTTGATATCGTCTCATGACGAACTTCTTTTTAGTTGGTAAATGTAGGGTTGGGCCGGAAAAGCGCACCAGTCGCCGAATAGAATGCATCTCTCGCGACGTAAGTCATCTGATGACTTACAAACTTTCCAGATGTCCGGTTGGTGGTATGATCGCGACTTACTTGCTCCATCGGGTCAAAGACGTGATTCGTGGCGCCATAAGCTCGCCCTAGCAGACAACAGCGAAGATGTGAGCATGATCAGCCAAACGGGTTGCACCGTGGTTGGTTGATTGCCATACGCATCCAAACGAGGGTCGAGAGAGAAGAGCGGCTGTTCTAGCGTAACATTGGTCTATCTTCACCTGGGTGTACACCTGATGTCGATGAGAGTCCTCAGAGCGGCGGACCTCTTCTCGAGTCGTCTCCCCGGGCCTCCTCCGAAACGCCTGTCCCTCTAGTACCCACAGACGGCGACTTCATCACCCCCCAGCCGACCGGGGTTACCCTCCACGCCTAAGCTCAGCTCTTATGGTTATCGAGACAACGTTGGTTCAACCTCCAGTAAGTACCCGACACTCCAGAAGATAATCGCCGCATTTCGAATGGAACGACGCTCGCAGGTAATTGCATCCGTGCCGCGTCTTCGTGACCTGATATCCCAGACGACCGACGCCGGAATCATACATCTCAGAGACGAGATTATCGCTCATCGACGTGATTGGCTAGAAGAGCGACTTCGGATCCCAGAAAGATCGACCTGTTCTTCACAGAGAGTGAATGTCGAACTAGAGATACGAACGTTGGAAGACAAGCCAGGAAGTCTGTCGTGATGCAATGCCTCCGTTGTGATAGATTTCTTCCAGGTCCATCGACGAATGGTTACAACCCCGTCATACACTGACGAGGATTCCTGAAGAGTGCTCGCGGGCGGTTCAAGAAGCACGCAGCAAGAAAGCAAGCAAGCAAGGTAAGTATATACACACATATTACATATCCACAAAGAATCAAATACAACACATCAGCACCATTTTCAGCACACACACCAACCTTCAACTCACGCCATCTCCCAACCGCATCATCTGAAACCTCATCGCCGACCTCCTCTTCTTCCCTCCCATCATCACCGCCATCTGATGCGCCGCCAACACCATCGCCAAACACATCAACTCCAGCTTAGGACCCAGATCTACCATGTAGTCCAGCCGACCGATTTGCTCCAGACTGACGGCTTTTCGTAAAGGGAGATATGCTGCCAGTACCGTCTCGCGGTCGCTGGAGGTCACGAGTTCGATGTCGTTTTGCTGCATGTCGTCGTCTTCGTCGTTGGTGGGTTCGATGAGTGGTCTCCTGGTTTGGGGTGGAATGTCAATGGAGTTCATCTATCAGCTTCCTTCTTTTTTTTTCTTCGTGTGGGGGAAAGGGGGGGTTAGGGTCGGTACGAACTTTCGCCAGATATACTTGTGACCTTCATAAGTGAAGGAGAGAAGCTCGGAGGAGGAGGTTGAAGAAGAAGAGCTATTGATGGGCGTCCAAGTTTGTTTGATTCTGCTGGGGTCGCCTAGCATGACTTTACAGCTGCCGGTGCTGGGTTTGAGCTTGGCTGCTGCTACGATTGCTTCACCGTCGACTTTGGGAGTGGTGAGGATCAGGATGGGACTTCCGATCATTGGTCTGCTGGTTTGGCACCATAGCGCCGTTCGGCCTTTTTGTTGAATTTCTAGTACGTGGACGTTTTTTGGATTGCTGAGGATGTGATGTGTGGCTAGCGGTTCTTCGATGCCAATAGAGGTGGATCTTGTACGAGTGCGGAGTGCACCAGACATGCACTCTTCTGGAGAAGATTGTAGTGATACGAATGTTCTGAACATGATGGTATGAGCTTCCGACAATCATCAGTCACGCTGAGGTCTACAGGGAAAGCCATAAATGCGACCAGAGGGGCAATATGTACGTGTTTTTCCAGACTAGAACCCTGGAGCGAAGGATGTGTGTATCACCCGGCACAGGGCAGTGAGTGGAGGAAGAGGCAGTGGAAGGGTTGATCGATGCATTGGAGAGGCATGTTTCCTAAACAAGAATGGTTCCTAGAGGAGTACTACGGTAGCAGCGTGTACGCCAATCCTTTCAATCCTTTGATCCCTTTTACGCATCTTCAATAGACGCCGAGTCAGGGCTCCCCCTCAGACTCGGCGACGATTAAAATGAGAGCTGCCCTTAAACTCGGCGTTCAACAATGTACACCCGGTACAAGGGATGGAAGCAGAGGAGATACTTCGACACGACAACAAAAAAAGGAGCTGCCATTAGGAGGTACCTATTAAGAGGTAGACTCAGGGCTCGATGATGATGATGATAGATGATGCACAGCCAACACGAAGGATGGAAGCAGAGGCTGTGGAGGCGAAGTCAAGATCCTTTCGGAAAAGTCGGATACCTGTCGGAGTCAATGTGTGCCTCAGGCCTGTAGTGAGGCATGCGGGCGGCGGCACTCCCGAGATATGTTTCGACATTCGAAGTCGCCGACATCTTTCTTTCCCGCCAGTTCAGTTCGTTGTCATTCATTTCTTCCGCCATGGCGCATCGCATTGTGACGCAGGTGCTTGTACGTGATCACCAGGACGGCACGCAGGGATTCACGCTGATGTTCTCAGGTCACTGGCGCGCGAGTCTTTGGGCGAGCGTTTGGAGAGGCGTATGTCTAGAAGCTTGATGCTGGAGGCGACGACACTAACAGAAGACAGATATAAGCAGGCTTCGGCGTCGCAAGTATGAGAGACTCCTTCCCAAGGTCCATCAGCATCTTCTAATGTCGACGTAGAAGTACCAGCAAGCCATGCAAGGCAACCCCACGGCATCGAACACACTATCCTCCGCCGGCCTCACCCTCGACGAAGCATGCCGCATACTGAACGTGCCACCTCCGAAGCAGGGGCAGGCGGATTTGACCAAAGTCCACGATAATTTCAAGCGACTCTTCGACATCAATGATCCTAAAAAGGGCGGTTCATTCTATCTGCAAAGCAAAATCCTACGAGCAAGAGAGCGGTTAGAGCTGGAGGTACGTGAAGCGCAAGAGGCGGCAGAGCGTGAAGAGGAGCTGCGACGAGGTTGGCAACCGAGGATATATCGAGACTAGAGGGGTACGTACGTTGATCAGCGCTGACGGATGTGGTTACAGTCGCAGAGGCTGAGAGCGCAAAGTGCAGACACGCCACCGCCGTCAGAGCCACCGAGTAGCTGAGCTGTGAAGAGATACCCACGATAGATATGGATTGATGGCATAGCGAGGCGTTCTGGGATATTTTGGCATTTGCATTCGCGGAAGAGAACAGCATGGCGAGAGAGGGTAGTGGAAAGGGAAGGAAAAGAAAGGGGAAGGAAAGACTGGGTGGAACCATACTTCTCCGCTCATACGGTGGTCTTGCTGCGGCGGCAACGTGACTACGATGCCTTCGCCAGATCATTGCAAATGCTCAGACCTCCATTGGCTAATGAGAGTGCCGTGTATTATACCATCGGAATGTACAAAGTTGCAACCACATGACAGAAACACCGGAGCTCAGCGATCAGATGGCGAATGTGTGCAGGTATTTGAGGTGAAGTTGAGGAAAGAATGGCGGAAAGGAGGGTCCAATCCTGTCCAACAGTGCAAGGCGCGATATTGCAAACGAGATGCCACGACAACAACCACCCGACACTATCACTGACACTGAGCCTGGCACTGACCCTTCCAGCAATCAGATCTTGCTCCTATCGATGTTTGGCGACTTCAAAGACGGCTGCTGCGACCAGAGCTCTGCTTCTGATGAATCGGATACATTCTCACCACACCTCGATGATATCTTACCTATCTGGTTGGCCGCGATCATGGAATAGATCATCACAGCCACTCTGGAAACACCCTCAACTGGGGCACGTACTGCCGACTATCAATATGCTGCAGGCTGAAAAGAGGGAAACACCCAAAACCGAGGTGTTACACATCTATTTGTTATGAGTCTTACGATTGATACCATCCAATTAGCAACCCGACCCATTCGCTTGGCGGCGTGTAGTTGGCAAGTTCGGCATGGACCTCTCGACCAGATGCACATTTCATATCACAAGACATGTTCAGAGCCTCTTCTTGTTGAAATCTCCTCTGCACCACATTCGGCTGGATCGTAAAGTTCATTGAACAAAGGGGGATTGCCCACGCAAGTCAGAGTCGTGGATCGACACAGACAACATCGGTGGTCATTGGGACATATTGTTGACCATGCACAGTGCAGGTACAGACCAGTCAAGTCATACCGTGATCCTAACTAAACGTTCATCACCTTTCTGCGCTACACAGCAGAAAACGGTTAGTTAGAACTACCTCCATCGAGAGCAGCTGCAGCCATTAGCCAAACTGTGTTGGGGCTTGACTCTGATCCATAATTATTGTAATTTTCGGCAGCACTGATAGCAAGGTGCTATGCTGTGCTATGATTGCCACCTTCTACCGGGAGCGGCACTGGTGGATATGCCCTTTGCCCACTGCGCTGGGCGTGGCGTGGCGTTGCGTGTCGTAGCGGGGCAGTTTGCCCTCTCGCAAGTGAATAACTTCAATGCCGGCAGATCTTTGTGTGCTAGGAGGTAAGGGAACCGAGACCAGCCGGGCTTGGCAGTAGAGCGGAGTAAAGAGTTGAAAGGCCTGAGGCAGAAAGATGGGCATGGGGGGTGGAGCTGACAGGAAGCTACATACTCCTACCTGAGCTAAACATACGCGCTTCTTATATATGTACTTTCAGATATATTCTCCTATATAAAAAACTCCTCGTATAGGCAAGAAGGAGAGGAGAGAGAACCTCCCCTTGTTCCAATAAAACTCTTCCCAACATCATCATATTTGTATCCCTATACCCAACGACGAGAAAGTCTCTCCCTCTCTCTCGCCTCCTCGGTACGTATCACACCGAAACCTTTTCCGACGTACGATTTTTCTCAATACCTGATCTTTTTATACTCAGGTAGGTACTTAAACTTTCTTCCCAAGGAAGCGATTTAACGTAGGGCTCCCTACCTAAGGGGGAGGTACTAACAGCTTATGAATGATGTGTACATACATAAGGTACGTTCTTGTTAGTAGTGTAAATGCTCTCTCCCTCCCTCTCTGTATATGTGTTTATAGCTACAGGTAGCTACCTTGGTCCGTTGGACTTTTCGAGATTATTCCTTGTTTACATACTAGGTCTATTAAACGTGCAGGTAGGTAGGTACATGTAAATTGGTATATCGAGATACTAGGTAGATACAATCCATCATCCATCGTAACCAAAATCCTTTCATACTTCAAGAATATATAGGCTAGAGAGAACCAAAAAAGTTGTACCTATTCAAAATTCTTCACTCCTCCAGCGGGATACAATCCCGTCCATCCCGTCCGTGTAAGAAGAAGAAACAAAGCAGCCGAAAGAATTGAAGTGCCGAATGTGTAGGTCCAGCTAGGTAGGATTCCATGTTCGGCATATACAACTAAGTAAGAAAAGGTGGGGTGGGGGTGTGAGATACGGGTATGGAAGCTCCCCTCCTCCTCCTCCTCCTCCTCCTCCCCTCCTGCACCCCCTGGTTGGAACACAGCCGGGTTCACAACATCTCACCCCTGGTCAGAGAGCTTTGTTTGTTTGTTTCGGCATACCTGATTTGTTGCGTTCCGCTAATAGCAAGAGAGGGAGGGAGGGAGGGAGGGAGCAAACAAATAATAAAAATCGAATTCCCGTAGACTTTTTGTGTTTTTGTGCAAAGTGGTCACCTCACTGTCAGCCCATTTTCTTTTTTAGAAAAAGGGCCAATTGACTAGATATATCGTGTTTCCCTCCCTCCCTCTTGCTCTTCATCCTCATTCTGCTTTCATTGTCACGATTTCGCCTTGTCCTGTGCTATCACATGTACACCACCAACCATTTGAACCCCATCTAGATCTACCAAACCACTTTGTTTCTTGCACAGCACCGTAGAGTTCTCGAAGAAGACGCAACAACCATGACGACCGTCATGCAACCCGGGACCACCATCCCTCATCCTCACGACATCACTCTTCCCCGATTCGCAAAATCCACAGAAGCAACAACCTCACCCAACCAAGCCCCCGAATCTCCTCAAGCCATTGCCTCCCAATGGCTGACCGCCTTCTCCGCCATCCTCGCCTCCAACTCCACCTCGCAACTGCCCTCCGTCATCCACGAAGAAGGCTGGTGGCGCGACCAACTCGCTCTGACTTGGGATTTCCGCACCTGTCAGGGCCTGTCCAAAATCACCAACGAGCTCTTCCCGCACCATATTCGCAAAGCACATTTGCACAATTTCCAGATTGTGCCCGAGGGGAAATTCGTGCCGCACAAAATCGAGCCGCTGCCGGATTTGGAATGGGTGGAATTCATGGTTACGTTTGCGAATGATGTCGGCACGGGGAAAGGCATGATTCGGCTGGCGTGTTGTCCCACGACCCATGTGTGGAAAGCTCATATGATTTATACCGCATTGCAGACGCTGGATGCGTATCCCGAGCACATTGGTCCGTTGAGGCCCCACGGCGGCACAAATTCGCTCAAGGGTGGTGTGATTGAAGGGAATTGGTTGGAACGTCGAGAACGACAAGTGCAGTTTTTGGACGAACAACCTACTGTTCTGATCATCGGAGCGGGTCAGTCAGGTTTGAATCTGGGAGCGAGGCTGGGGGCCATGGGAGTGAGTGCGCTGATTATCGATCGGAACGAGAGGATTGGAGATAATTGGAGGAAGAGATATCGCACTCTAGTGACGCATGATCCGGTGCAGTTTACCCACATGGCGTTTATGCCGTTTCCGGCAAACTGGCCCTTGTTCACCGCCAAGGATAAGTTGGCGGATTGGTTTGAGATTTATGCGAGTGCCATGGAATTGAATGTTTGGTTGCAATCGACGATTGGCAAAGCCGAGTTTGTGGAAGATGCGCAGGAGTGGGTGGTTGATGTCGTGAGAGGCGACGGGACGGTGAGGACATTGAGACCAAGGCATGTGGTCATGTGTTCTGGACATGCGGGAGAACCGAGAATTCCCACGTTTCCCGGTCAAGATACCTTTAAAGGTGTGGTGTATCACGGTAGCCAGCACAAAGATGCCACTACGCAGGAGAATGTCGCGGGGAAGAAGGTCGTGGTGGTGGGCACCGGGAATAGCGGCCACGATATGGCGCAGAATTACTGCGAGAATGGAGCTTCAGTCACGATGCTGCAACGCAGAGGCACGTATGTGATCCAAGCAAGCAAAGGCCTGGAGATGGTTCATGCGGGCATGTATGATGACCACGGACCTCCGACGGAAGACGCAGACATTGCTTGGCAGAGTTTGCCGATCCCCGTTCAATTCGTGCTCAGTGCAGGTCTGACGGAGAAGATCAAGAGCGTCGAAAAGGAGAATATTGAAGGTTTGACCAAGGCGGGATTCAAGGTCGACTTCGGACATGACAATAGCGGCATGCATCGCAAGTACATCACCCGTGGTGGAGGATACTACATCGATGTGGGCTGCTCCCAGCTCATCGTCAATGGCAAGATCAAGGTCGTGCAGAGTCCTGATGGTATCAAAGGCTTTACAGAGCGGTCTCTTGTTTTGGCGGATGGCAGGGAGCTCGAAGCAGACATCGTCGTGCTGGCCACAGGATACGACAATATGCGGACCACTGCGCGTAAGACGCTGGGTGACAAGGTTGCAGATCGATGTAAGGATGTCTGGGATCTGGATGAAGAGGGCGAAGTGAATGCGGTATGATCTTGTCCACCTTCACCATCCATTTGAGCCCGTCGCTAACTGATCTTCAAACAGATGTGGCGTCCTTGCGGCCACCCGAAGCTGTGGTTCTTGGGAGGTGCTCTAGCCTTGTGTCGGATCTACTCCAGGTTTCTTGCCATGCAGATTGTTGCGAGTGAGAAGTCTTTGTAGATGTGCACCCGAGGTTTTGTAATTGATGGTTGTGGTTCTAGTTTTCGTCGGATAGATGTCTAGAATTGATGACAGACGGCCGAGGTGGAGTGAAGCGCAGTCTCTTCTCTTCTCCTCTCCCAGCCTCTGCCATCTGGAAATGCATGAAATATCGTTTCAAGTTGCTACCATATATGGAGGTGACACGAGGCTGTTCTCGTGCACACCTCTCTCACCACGTGTGTGTTTCTACGGCTCGTCGGCACCGGGCAAATGCTGAAGACCTTGTACGGATGCCTGACCGCACCATGTATGAAATGTAGTAAGGTCTTTCCAGCCTGAAACACATCGAGGGACTTCTGTCGGCCATTGCAAATTACTGTATCCTCCCGATGTTGTCCTCGCTTACACGAGAGAAGTGAGCCCGGAACGTCCGCTGATGAAGGGCCCGGGAATGTCTATAGCAGTAGACTTGGGCGCACGAGTGCCTGACGCCATGACCAGACGGCCATATCGATAGCAGCTGGTGGATCTGAGCCGCGTTGCGATGATGGGACTCCTGTGTCTTCGTCTCAGCCACATCAGATGGCTCCTCAAAAGACTCCATCGTGCTCGCCAGGCAGCCGCTTGACGCGCTTCTGCTCCCAATTATCCAGGTCCTTCGCTGCGAGTTTCTGTATAGCATATCAGTCACGTGCGCTGTATGTACAGTATAGATGGTGGGAGAGTGAAGATACATAATATTCCTCTGCCAGATCAATCCGCCTCTTGTCCTTGCCAATGCCCAACTCCTCGTCCTTTGTCAGCTGTCGCACCTTGCGGTCATGGCGTTCGTAGCGCAGGGCGGTGGCGGGCGTGAGGAAGAAGGAGCCGAGCAGCATGGTGGTGATGAAGGGCAGGCCGAAGAGCGCGAAGGGATGTCGGGCGAGGAGGACGCGGTAGCGGGCGGCGAAGGATGAGTCGTTGGACGAGCGGAACTTGCGAGAGGGGAAGACGGCCATGATGGTCGATTTGCAGCTGTATCGGTGTGCTATTGCACTGAACTGTTCTGGACGGACCTGGACTGTGCTGTGCTTCTAGAGGTACGGCTCGTGTGTCTGTCTGTTCGGGCCGGAGCTGTCGGGTCATGATAGACGATGGAAAGAAGGGTCGGGCCGTCCGAACTCCACAACATCTCTTGGCGGGTCGCGACGCACGTCCCTCTCCCTCTGTTTGACGCGACGCGTCGGGGCACCAACGCCACAACTCCGACTGCACTTTGTACCGCACTGCCTTCCTCCGGACTACATATACCGCATCTTCACCCACTTCCTGTCCTCATGCTGCCTCTGTCGATTCGTACCTGGACTGCCCCATCTGACAGTCTCGAGACAGAATTGTTCTAGAAGCGAGGAATGCCCCGGCACATACTCGATGCGAAATGACCTGACCAGGATAGAAAGAGCCTCACTATGGCTCGCCGACAGCATGCCACCAGCAACGGGAACCACCTCCACACTGATCCTCCACCGCCGTCCACGCTGGCGGCCCAACTTGTGCAGAATCAGACCAGACAGCCGACAAGCCAGCACCAGGAGGAGGTCGCCAGCTTTCGAGACCTCCTCCACGAGATCCTGCACAGCAATGCTGCAGCCCCGGAGACAGATGTGGGCGTGAACGCTCAGCTAGTGAACGTGGTCATCCAGGCTGGCCTCGTCCCACTCACACTGGACAATCCCTTCGCCGATTGGGATGTACTCCTTCCACAGGCAATGGACAGCGTTGCCGTCATCGAGTCTACCATCAAGCGACAGCCAGACGTTCTGCTTGCTCAAACCTCCCCTGATGGCCCGAAACTCATCTTGAGTATACTTGCTACTTTGATCGCTCTGTGTGGCAGACCCAAGTGCGAGCAGCTGGCTGTACGGCGTCTTTTGCTCTGCTCGTTGCAGTCTTTAGATACTTCCATACACTTATGGCAACATGCTCGCGCCCTCTCCGAAGTGTTGCAGCAATGTGTAGACGGTATGTCGTGCATCCGCAAGGTAAGTGAATTCTAGCTCATTTCTTTCACAGAAGTACTGTTTGCCTTGGAGGCGCTACCCGCTCATCGTACAATACTCAATCTCAGCCTACCTCCTGCACGAGGTCTTGCCAGCTTCTGGCCACGATCAGAAGACAGTATTGCATTACCTCCAGGGAGCACGGCTGTTGTCACAGAGGCAGGACGCGCATATTTCATCGCCCTAGAGCTGTGTCAGCTTTCGGCTCTTGATGCCATGTGGAGACAAGAGACATGTTTGCGCCTGCAGCGCCTGGCATATCCTCTCAAGGCACCACTGGCAAAACTAGCATTATGGGAGGCAGCTGTGCAGCAATTACTCAACCTGCCGTACCATTCGCTTTTGATATCCGCTTTCTTGGGCGATTGTGCAAGAGCGCCACCGTCGACCGCTATACAGAAGACGTTAGCTGCACGCCTGACTACTCTTCTGAGCACGCAGTTCGAGGCCGTCAAGGATACGATCATGAATGCCATGCCAGGAGTCATGTCGGAAGAAGTCTGGCAATCATTACATGAAGACCTGAAGATTGCAATCGCGATATGGCTGTCTCGTGTGGATCCAGAGGGCCGTGCTCCCGAACACATTGCTACATTTCAAGAACGGCTCCAAGCAGGTGATGCAATGACTGACAACGAGTTGCATGCCAATTTTCAACAGCTCAGCACTGCCAAGACATGTAATGGGAGGCGACCGAGACTCCGTAAAAGACGAAAGGTATCCGTAGACAAAGCGGAGTCGCGGAAGGCGGACGTGATTAGACGCACGTCTTCGCTGCTGACCGGCGTCGATGGCGAAGATCTTGCCGTTCTGCCTGATGTGGTGGTTTCGGTTTACGCAACGCTCCAACAGGAAGCTCAATGCGCTGCATGGCAATCCCTGGCTGAACTAGCAGAGTATGAGCTGAACATCACGCTACTCACAATCTCACGGCTTCTGGAGGTTGGCGAGCCCCATGAAGATAAGAGACAAAGAGTGCTGGCCATGTTAGCCATGAGAGCCTGCATTGAACGATCAGATGATGCGACATATGTCGATGTCAGAACAAGTCGCTTTGCGCAACACTGTCTCAACTCGCTTCGAAGCTCAGTGCGTGAGCTGAGGACGGCTGCTGCACAGACCGTGTCATGCCTCCTTCGAGATAGTCTGCCAGAGTCCTTGAGATTCCCAAATAGACAAGTCGTACTGGAGCACCTTCGGAGTGCGTCCACTCGCGACGTTGCCAGTGAACAGGAAACACTGGTCACAGCATGGGGTCAGGTCGCGATCTCGTGCGGCGAGAAAGAGCTCAACCTAGCATTGCTTCAGTTGGTTGAATACCTCGGCCATGGTAATGCCTATGTCTGTGCTTTGGCGTTCTCTGAACTGGAATCCATTGCGACATACAAAGGCCTTTTGCCCAAGGAGCTCTTCCAGCCGTTCTGGCGCTCTATCGCCGTCGCAGTAGTACAGGAGCTACACAATAAACCACAAAAGGCACAACAGCTTAGCGACTTGTTGAGCATGGACATCAATAGCTTCCTCCTGCTGACGCAGCGTGAGATACTGCCATTCCTGGTCTTGACCAAGAGAAAGGACGTCTTACAAAGAATTGCAAACGCACGAGGCAACGGCGCCACCATCGAGGACATATGCATGCAGCCTAGCACGAACTTGGCTGCCATTCTGGCTTTTCTGCTCTCGCAGTCTTCACATGAAGCCGAAGATTTCGCCTATTCGTGTCTCACTGAGGTTGCGCCAGAGTTGCGAAATACAGATGTAGTAACCTTGGTGGCCCAGGTGAATCCAGTTCTGGTGGCGTGCGAAATGCTCAAGCTCAGTGGTGAACAAAGTCCGGACAGAAAGTCCAGAGCGTATCAGGCGTTCCAAACGTTTGCCACCATCGCCGAGAGGCTACCTGGCCAGCGCAAAGTGCATGGGAAGGCTTCGAAAGCCGTGAGCACTTTCTTCGAAGATAAAATTCTTGGTATATTGACGTTATTCTCCCTTACGCTGGAATGTGGCACAGGAGCAGAATCCACAACGGAGAAGATACGCTGCTTGAAAGGCCTGGCGGACATGCTCGTCATTGCGAAAGGTCAACTTTCTGCCGCGCTGCCACAGATCCGTGGATGTTTACAGTCAGGTCTCGAGCAGCCAGCGCTATGTGAACTCGCGTTTGGCACGTGGCTGACCCTAATCCCATTACTGGACGAAGACGATGTCATGTCGATTGTCAATGAAACCTTTGTCCTCATCACGCGGCACTGGTCACATCTCACACTCGATACGCAGCAAAAGACGCACGAGATGCTCAGTCAGCTTGTCAAAACGCACAACACGCTGTTGCAAGAAAATAAAATGACGCTCCCATCACTGCAGGGCATACCGCTTCTGTCGAAATTCGCCGCCGAATTCGACCGGGTCAGATCGCAAGAAGACGTCGAGACCTTCTGCAAAGCATTCACGAGACGGCTGAAAGACGACAGCGATACAGTCGTGCTCCAGTCACTCGAGGAGCTGGTTCCGTTCTTAATCTCTCGCCAGACATTCATACACGAAACGGCTGCAAGCGAGCTGCCCTCGCCGGTACTTTCAGAGTTACTTTGTGCTCTCCTCGATGTTACAGTCAAGTACTCCAGTACGAAGCCAGAAGCTGCAGAATTTTGTGGTAAGGCGCTTGGCATCATTGGCTGCCTCGATCCCAATCGAGTCGAGGCGACGCGGAGGAAGGGTCATATTCTTGTCTTGTCCAATTTCGAGAACGCAGGTGAGGTAATTGATTGGATTGTCGCATTACTGCAAGACGTCCTGGTCAAATCGTTCAATTCTGTTACGAACCCCAAGGACCAAGGTTTCCTCGCATTCACCATGCAGGAGCTACTCAGGTTTTGCGAGTTCCCTCAAATTGCAGAATTGCGACCTCGCGCATCCCAGGCCCCAGAAGCTGCCGCCAAATGGTATGCCATGCCTGAGCATATCCGTACAGCTCTTACGCCCTTTTTGAGTTCCAGATACGTGGTTACCAGTAACAACCCCGTGAATCCACCAGATCGGATCTATCCTGGCTTCTCCCCCGACGCTTCTCACAGTTTTTGGCTGAGGTCCATCACCATCGACCTGTTGATTAGAGCAAAAGGCGACAATGCAAAAGCAATCTTTATGCTGTTTGTACGTATCATTCGTGCGCAGGATCTAGCGATTGCTCGCTTTCTCTTCCCGTACGCGGTGCTCAATGTGGTCATTGGAGGCACTACTACCGAAATTAAAAATCTCACAGATGAATTCATGGCTACATTGCAGGCAAATTCAGACCATGCCGCTCAAAAGGAGAATATCCGGCTTTGCAGTGAGAGCATCTTCTCGGTCCTCGACTACACATCGACTTGGCTGCGCGAGAAGCGCAAAGCGTTCAACGAGATCCGTAGTGCAGCTTACAAGACGGGGATGTCGCCCAGCGAATTTGACGAGGCCCGTGACATTGGTCAAATGGAGACAGTAGAGAATTTCCTGGCCTCTATACCCGCGGAGATCATTGCGAACCAGGCGATAGAATGCCGATCGTATGCTCGTGCACTCTTTCACTGGGAGCAATACATACGACAGGAGCGAGATCTCATTCCGACCCAAAAGATGACGAAATATCACGAGCACATGTATGATCGATTACAGGACATCTACACGCAGATCGAAGAGCCCGACGGGCTCGAGGGCATTGCCGCTCATTTGTCTCTAGTTTCGGAACAGCAACAGACCATAAACCATGCCAAAGCAGGACGTTGGACTGCTGCTCAGGCATGGTACGAGCTTCAGCTGGCAGAAGATCCCGCAGACGTTGATATCCAGCACCAAATTTTGCTATGCCAGAGGGAGACGGGACAGTATGCCACCCTTCTTCGTTACGCCAACAGCTTCCTCGATCCTGGTCAAAGTCATGATAATATGCCCGCAGCAATACAGGCACATTTGCCGTTGGCAGTCGAGGCATGTTGGATGACAGAGGACTTCGATGGCCTCAAGCGACGACTGCTCATTCGTCCCGAAGAAACCAAGGTAGATTTCAACCTGGGCATCGGCCAGGCTCTACTCTATGCCGCAGAAGACTCTGCAGTCTCCTTGCAGGACCATATTAGGAACAGCCGCACTTCCATCGTAGAAGGTCTTTCCATGGCTAGCACTGGCTCACTGCAAACATGCCATGCAGATCTGATGAAGCTGCATGTGCTTTATGAGTTAGAAGCACTTTTCGCAGTCCAGCCTTCTGACGCTTCGCGCTTGATGAAAACATTTGACAAGCGCCTGCTCGCTGTCGGAGCATATGTGCAGGATAAGCAGTATATTCTTGGTGCTCGTCGTGCTGTGATGCGACTTCTGCCAGAATCATTCAAAGAAAGGTACTCAGGCGCATCGTGGCTCACCACGGCCAGACTGGCTCGACAATCGAAGAACATCACCAGCGCCTACAATGCCGTCCTCAAGGCCTACGAATACCACGAGCGTGGGGCGAAGGTGGAAGAGGCAAGATTGTTATGGGTCGAGGGCCACCAAAGACAAGCTATACGAGCGCTAGAAGCGGCCATTGACTCTGGCGTATTGGAAGTCGAAGATCCCGATTCGAGCGTGCCTGATGCAGTCAGCGCCACGACGAATAGCATGAGCGAGATCAACGGCCACAAGCAGAGTCCGCTATTGGGCAAGGCACTGCTCCTTCTCGCCAAATGGCTCGATGCTTCTGGACAGAGCCAGACCAAGGACATGACGGACCGCTATCAATTGGCCGCTCGCCGCCATCAGCGATGGGAGAAAGGGCACTACTATCTGGGCAAGCACTATAGCAAATTGCTGGATGTGCAGAAATCGCTGCCTCGAGAGAAACAAATCGCAACGTACTTGTCTGGTGAGCTGACCAAGTTGGTCATTGATAACTCTTTACGCTCCATACCGTTCGGGAACAAGTACTGGCATGAGACTATCCCGCGAGTTCTCACTCTGTGGTTGCAGCTCGGCATGGACTCGCTGAAGGCAGCTCGCGGAGAGGACGATGCCATCTTCCAGAAGCGTAAGAAATCGCTGCAAGCGTGCAACAGGCAATTGCAGAAATACTTCGAGCGCGTCCCTCCATACGTCTTCTACCACGCGCTTCCTCAGCTGATTTCGCGAATCACTCATCCACATCCTGACGTGTGGCACCATCTGTGCAACATTCTCGTCCGGATTATATCCACACACCCAAGTCAGGCACTCTGGAGTATGCTTGCAGTGCCCAAAGCGACCGACAAGTTACGGATAGAGCGTGGCAAGGAAGTCTTGCTGAAGCTCAGAGAGCAGAAGACTCAGCCCAAACATGATGCATCACACGTAGACCTCAAAACGCTCATCGTGCACAGCCAGAGGCTTTGCGATGGACTGCTTCTTGCTTGCGAACAGCCCATTGAGGCTCGAGCGGTCCATGTCAGCTTGTCCAAGAATCTGGCATTCAAGCTCAACCTGGCCCCCAGCAATCTGGTGGTGCCTGTGGAGTCCACGTTGACCGCATCTGCTCCCGCAGCATCCAACAGTGACTCGATTCGACGGCACAAAGCGTTTACGCAAGACAAGATCACCATCCAAGCCTTTCAAGACGATGTGCTGGTCCTCAACTCACTACAGCGACCCAGAAAAATCACGGTTCGTGGCTCCGATGGCAAGCTGTATGGACTCTTGTGCAAGCCCAAGGATGATTTGCGCAAAGATCAACGTCTGATGGAATTCAACGGTATCATCAATCGTGCTCTGAAGCGCAATACGGAAAGCAGCAAGCGTCGTCTGTTTATCAAAACATATGCAGTCACACCCTTGAGCGAAGAATCCGGCTCCATCGAATGGGTCGAAGGCATCAAGCCCATGCGCGACATCCTGCTCAGCGCGTACAACGGCAAAGGCATCCGACCCAACTACAACGAGATCCGCAAAAGCCTCGAAATCGCCTCGGCATCGGAAGAAAACGCGCACATCTTCACCGAAGAAGTACTCTCCCAATTCGAGCCCGTTCTCCACGAATGGTTCACCGAAACCTACCCAGAGCCTGAAATCTGGTTCCACGCTCGTCTCCGCTACGCGCGATCCGCCGCCGTCATGTCCATTGTCGGCCACATTCTCGGCCTCGGCGACCGGCACGGCGAAAACATCCTCCTGATGGAAGACACCGGCGGAGTCTTCCACGTCGACTTCAACTGCCTCTTCGACAAAGGTCTCACTTTTGAAAAACCCGAACGTGTCCCCTTTCGCCTCACTCACAACATGGTCGACGCCATGGGTCCCTATGGCTACGAAGGCCCCTTTCGCAAATCCTCCGAATTGACCCTCGGTCTCTTGCGCCAGGAACGCGATACCCTCATGACCGTCTTGGAGACGTTTGTATACGATCCCACGGCGGATTTTGTCGGGAAAAAGAGGAGAAATACGCCTGGTGTACCGGATACTCCGGCGGAGATTTTGGAGAGTGTCAAGACGAAATTGAAGGGGCTTTTGCTCGGAGAGACGGTGCCGTTGAGTGTGGAAGGCTATGTGGATGCTCTGATTCAACAGGCGACTAGTCACTTTTTGTTGGCGAGCATGTATATTGGTAAGTTGCTGTCCAACAGTCACCCCCTTTTTTTTGCCCGCAGCTTTCTCGGACCAAGACCCCATGCTAAACTAACATTGTTCGACTTGGACAGGCTGGTGTTCATTTCTGTAGATACACCCTCCCTCACTCTCTCGTGTGAGATCCAAGCTGCATGGAACATATTTCACGACGACGACAATGATAATGATTATGCATTATGTAGGTACTAAAAATTCACTCCCCCATAAAAGCTTTGTCTCTGTTATGCCTCACACGCCCACCCACTTTCTCTGTCTCATTTCCCTTCCCTTCCCTTCCCTTCTCTTCAGACATACTCGGCGCACGAAACAGGCGAGCGCAAGTCCATGACATCTCCAATCGTCACATTCGGCACCATATCTGCCACCCACAAGACATGATTCAGCGTCGTCTCCGGCCCATCATCACCACTATAGTCCGTCCACTCGGGTCCGGGCGTAGCCCACCTATTGGCTGCGTTGAATTCCTCACTCGGTGTATTCGGTCTCCCCATTTCCATCAGACGTTCAGGCGGCCCTGACGATGTCCACTGATACCACAACCGGTCGATGTTCGCATGATGCAGAAAGAAGATGGGATCCCCCGGGGCCAGCAGGGCATCGGCCATGACCTGTCCGACACCCTCGTGTCCTGCAATGTGAAGCCAATTCTCATAACAGCCACTGGCGCCTGCCCAGTTCCGATTCCGCAAGCAGATATCAATCTCACTCTGTGCCGCACGCGCGAACTGGGTGGAGTTGAATTTCCTTCTAAGACATTCCGGAGTCGCCGGCATCCCATCGTCGTTGAAGGTCAAGGTGAGGTTGGCGAAGGGACCGTCCATCACGCAGTTGTTCTCACCGTGCCCATCACCGCCAAATCCATATCGCGGATCCCATACTTCTGCTCCTGCGAGATTTTCCACGTCCAAAGACATTTCCCAGTACCTGTCACAAAGAAAAAGGAAAAAGGTCAGCGACATCGATTCACTGAAAACAAAGACCCTCATCCCCTCCATACTACTCCTGCCTGCCTGCTTCTTCTTTGGGGACCCGGTGCACTCACGGTACGCCAAGAGTATAATTGCAATGCTGCGACAACATCATCTCATGCGCTCGCAGGTAATATCGATGCCACGGCAAAAACGCCGCGACACCATGGATCCAATTCTTGCTTTTGATATGTGTCCATTGCAGTTCTTCCCATACGGATCGTGCACCATGAATTCCGTAGCCTGGCGCTGTCTCTTGTAGACATTTCACCGCATTGAGGTATGAAAGCTTTTCTCGGTTACTCAACGCCGTCCTGTTTTGAAAAAAGTAGTTAGTTTGATTTTTGTTTCTTTTGCACTCTGCTCTCTCTCTCGCTCTCTCTCTCTCTTTCAAAAACTTCTTCTAGCTATTGCGGCTGCTGCTAGTGCTGCTGCTGCTCGTACCAAGATCGTCTCTGTACTGGTGACTGACAAGTTGTTGCAGGTTCGTACTGTCTTTTGAGATACCGTGTCGAAGGAGAGGCAGAAGCAGAAACAGAGGCAGCAGCAAATCCCAACACCAAATTCGCCACAAGCAAAATGCGATGTAGGCTTAGTGCTGCTGCTGCTGCTCCCGCTGCGGCAAACATGATGTTGCCTTTGGACTCCTCGTGTCCTTTCGGAGGACGAATAGAGAGAATAATCTCTCTTTCTCAAGAGAAGACACCTCTCCCGAGGGAAAAGAGGGAAAAAGGAAAAAAAAAGAGCAAACGAACGAGTGGCTGTGTTCCTCGAAAAAAGAAATCACCAAAAAAAGTTGCCCTCTTCCTCCCTCAACCACGCACACACACGCACAAATCCACACCTCCCCAAAGAGCAAAGAGAAACAGAGAGTAAAAAAGAAAAGGCTCCTCCCACCCCCTCTTCAAGCCCCGAGCTCACCCACCGAATTCCAGTCCAATCACAGAACTCTGTATGACCTATGTGTACAACCCATCTCGTCAGCAGCCACGAAACATAAAACCAAACACAAAAAATCCCGTCTTCTAGCTGTATAGCAATGACGCACAAGACTCTCTGAACCGTGGCCAGTAGATACCACCTAGGAGGTCGTTGTGCAACAAAACGGCAAAAAGGGCAATAATCTTTGCGTACCTCTTTAGCTGCACGGCTGGCTGGCTGAGTGTGACGCCCTCTTTCTCTCTTCTGTCTCTCTGTGACTTTTCCTCTGTCTCTCGGTTTCTCTCGGAGTCACGCGGAAAGCTACAGCTCGGTTTTGCTGACTGACTGATTGATTGACTAACTGTTACCAGCTTGTCACATACCTTTCAGTTGAATGGATGGATGAGAGAACTGGATCGGGTCGGATGCGGCGCAATATAGTTGGTTGGATAGCCGTCGTCGTTCTCGTCGTTCTCGTCGTCGGCGGCGGCGGCGGCGTGCTGATATGAGGCGTGCTGAGGTGAGATGAAGTCGTACTCGGTGATATGGCCGAGACAAAATGAATATATTTCTCTCTCTCTCTGACTGGTTGCCCGGCCGTGAATTCCGTGCCCGAAATTCCCTTTCGTGGCGGGGAGGTATACCTTTCTGTGTGATGTAGTCAAGGAAGAATGGATGGATGGATGGTCGCTGTCTTTGATTTGACTTGTGCGTTATGCGTGCGTGCGTGCGTGCGTGAGACAGCGCGAGAGAGATAAAAATCGTTTTTGTGTAAGGTACATGTACCTAGCATGTAAAGTAGAATCGCGAGAATTGGTAAGTCCCGTCTTTTTTTGTTTCTGGTTTCTGGTCGATTCGATTCGTTTCGATTCGTTCGTTTCGTTCTTACCCAACTTCTTTTCACTTGTGTTTGTTTTTGTTTTGTTCCGGGAAGGGAGGTTGATTGTTTTGTTCCGGGAAGGGAGGTTGAGTGTGGGAGTGATCTTACCTTACACTGTTTCACCTCGAAGGTACAGGTACTACCTAACCTAAGGTAGGTAACCTACTACATGTCGTGTTAAGAAGGATGAAGCCAACCAAATCAAGCATAAGGTACATACATATACTTGAAAGCAACCTAAGCAGAGCAACAAAGAATTGAGATGAATACAAGTATACAAGATTGTAGTAGAGGAGAAAAAAGGAAACTGTTCATACAATAATATCTATCCGACTTTAAAGAATCACTCAGACTCTTAGGGGGAGTAGGATGTTGGGGCTAAAGCTATCGTCGTTCAATCATCGTAGCAGAGCAGAGCAGAGCAGAGCAGGGGGGCAGACAATCTTCTTCTTTCTCTGCTGCTCGGAATATAGAAAACAAAATCGTACAAAAAAAGTTAAAAGCTGCTGCTGGCTGCTGCTGCTGATACATAGAAATTAAAATATCCTCCTCCTCCTCTTCTTCGTAACTACCTATTTCTTCTCTTCCTCCTCCTCAAAAAATGGAAAATGCGGTGACCTCGTCCGATAAGGCCTAGGACTACGCACAGCCGCACGAACAGCTAGTCAATCCTCATCAGCATAAGCGAGCTGAGAAGCCGTACGAGCAGGCGGAGGAGGACGACGAAGTTTCTCTCCCGCGGCACTCGTATTCATTTCACCCGAGACGCGAGGAGTTTCTGCAGCAAACAGCTCCTTCAATCCGGGCGTAAAAGGGGATGCAGAAGTTTCTTCGTCGGGCGTTTTGGGCCCGGATTCGTCTTCTTCGTGGCTTTGGCTGTCGCGGCTGGCGGTCGAGGGGCTGGACATGTCTGAGAGGAGGGAGCCGTGTTTGGAGTCGTGGGAGTCTGATCGGCCGGATTTATTGGGTGATGAGACGGGGGATAGGACTTCGACGTTGGCGACTTTGGGGGTGGGGGCTGTGGACTTTTCTTTGCGCTCGGCAGTCACGGCGCTGATGGTGGGCAGGTTCAGCTGGGAGACGGTGCGAAGTGGTGATTCTGCAGTGGGTGTTTGTGCAGAAGGTGATTCGTCTTCCACTGGCGTTTGCAGACCGGTCTGGAATCCGGACTCACTTGGCGAAGTTGCGCGGCTGTGTGAGGAACGTGACGTGTTGGGAGTTTGCGCTGCCGAGTAGTACGTCGATGCAGGCCGCGTCGAGAGAGACTCTGCTTTGGGAGTAGCAAGTACGGGAGTAGGCTTGGACATGCCAACGAGGTTGCCAAGCGTCTTCTCGTCCACTTGCTTAGCATCAGACTTGTTCTCGGCCTGCGCTTCGTCGTCACCAGAGTACCTATAAGGGTCGTACTCTGCATCAGGAGCCGTCTTCTTTGCCAGTTGAGTAGGAGGCACTTTGACTGCAGCACCCACAAAGCCATTCGTGTCGACGTCTTCATGCTGCTCTCCCGCTGGTACCTGGGAGAGGAGGGCGTCTGCAATGGGGTCCTGTGCAGCCTCCGCTGTCGTCGACGGCTCACCGTCAGGCTTGTCCGTAGCAGCCTTCGACATCCTGGGATTCTCGACCATGGGGCTCGTGGCCATTTCAACCATAGCTGGCTTCTCCTCGGCTGGGCTGGGTGCATCTGCAGCAGGCGTGGCTGGCTCGTTGCGAGGAGACGCGACCAGAGACCGGGACATGTGTGGGTTATCTTCCATTGGACTCGTGGCCATCTCGACCATGGCTGGCTTCTCTGCCATTGGACTCGTTCCCATTTCAGACATGACTGGTGCTTCAGCTGCTGGGCTTGTGGCACTATCAGCCATGTCCGGCTCAGCTTCACTCTCGGCTTGCGACATGAACGCATCTGCGACAGGGTCGGCTGTAGGAATCTCCGTCTGCGATTGCATGCTCTCGAAAGATGGTTCGCCTGTGGGAGACAGAGCACGCTTTGGATCGGGCGATGGCGAGCGAGCTGGCTGCTCCGACTGTACGAGGGAGTCGACGTAGGGGTCGGCATTTTCGGCCTTCGCAGGCTCCACAGTGGATGGTTGCGACTGCTCAGGTGCTGTTTCTTCTGTAGGCGAAGGAGATGGCAGACGAGGTCTGACAGTCGGGTTGTACCAAGACTCGGTGTTAGCTTCACGATTAGGTGGAGTGTCTTCGTTTGACGGCTCTTCGAACGATGGTGCACGGGAAGTGTTTCGAGACATGGGCATCCGCGACGACTGTCGTGACTCTGCGCGCGACCAGAGAGATTGCAACGCAGCTTGGTTTTCACCTGGGGTCGTCTCGGTCGCCACCCTGCGTGAAGCTGATCGTGTATCTTCATCGGTGGTGTCAACGACAGGCTCAAAGCTGCGGCGTGGCATCTCTGGGCTGGAGATAGCGACTGCTGAGCTAGGCTCGGTGGATTGGCGGTATCCCACACTGACTGCTGAGCTCGGTTCAGTGGGTTGGCGGTCTGCCACACTCACTGCGGAATCTGGCACCGACTGGTCGGGCGCGGCCCAAACAGCAGGACTGTCGGAAGTCATATCTGACAAAGTAGGAAGGTCGAGCTGCGACACTGGACGCGTAGGTACAAAGTCCGAGCCAGGCGTACGGCTCTCTTGAATATAGCCATTGTCGAACGAGTCGGTGTGCGAGAGAGGTACTCCCTGGCCTGGTGACTGCACGGGCGATACCGAAGTACTTCGAACGGGACTTCTAGGTGGAGATTGGTCTTCACCAGGAGTTGTAGGCGTGCTGTCGTTGTTGTCGTCTAGTCCTGGGCTCACGACTGGCAATGGTGGTGACTGAGGAAGCTCGTCCCAGTTGGTGGCACCCCAGTTGGGCATACCTGTCTCATTCTCGGGTGTGTCCTGTTCGTACTGCGGGCTCATGGTCTGCCACTGCCTGTCATGCACGCGAGCAGATGCAGGGCGAGACACCGAACGAGACACCGAACGAGAGATGGAGCGAGAGTCAGAGGTGTTCATGTATGCGAGTTCAGCGCCATATGGGTCAGGCGAATCTTGATGGCTGGGAACGTCCCCGACACCGATATCAGGGCTTGCATTACTCAGTGCCTGTTGGAGACGGGCAGAGGAGGGCTCCACCGAGCCATCAGCGCTCAACGCCGCAATCTGTGCGCTGTACGGTCGTGGGGAATTGGTATCGGGCATATCGGTTCCATCGTTGAATTGCCTGTTGAGCTCGTTGCGTAGCATGTCGGGATGGATTGGATCCGGGTTCACCACATCAGGAGATCGCATGCCTGTAGCGTTACCAGCAGGAGATTGCAGACGCGAGTCGTCATATTGGTAAGAATTGTGGCGAGCAGCACGGTCTGCCTCACGTGCGACAGCAGACGGAATTGGGACCAATGGAGACTGTTCATTTTCGAAGACATCTGCAGCAGCAACTTCACCAAGGCGAGTGAGCTCGCGGTGAGTGGGTGAAGGTGAGCGTGTGTGTTCCCGACGGCCTTGTTCTGCAGCTTGGGCAGCGGCTCTGACCATATCATCACCCTCAGGCGACGCTGATCGTGACCGAGAGAAAGAGCGGGAGCGGGAGCGGGAGCGAGAGGGCGAGCGAGAGGGAGACCGAGAGGGAGAACGAGAAGGAGAGCGAGAGGCCGAAGCACTGTCGTCGTCTCGTTCTGGAGGACCAGCCAGTTGAGCCAAGAGTGGCGACGGAATACGAGGAATATCGTAGTCACGTCGAGGTGGCCATTCTTCCTCATCGTCTTCGTCATCAATTCCACGAACAGGAGAGTAGTCGCGATCATCCTCGTAGTCATCGTTGTTGGTGTCGAACTCGTCGGGGAACATGGGCATACCAGCGGGGTAGAAGTCATTGCTGTTGGCTCGCTCCTTGAAGTGCTCACGCTCACCGAAACGTTGCTCGAAACGACGATCGAACTCTTCATCGTCCATGTCCACCGATGGCATACGGTCAGGACCCAGGTTGGGGCTCATAAAGTCATCGTAGTCCATGGGTGATCTGGGCAGCTCGCGTCCACGGGGTTCAGGCACGAATGCAGAGTGTTCAACAGAAGGCTGATCGTACGGCGACTGAGCACCGCCATCCGACTCGTCGACACGGTCCAGATCTGGAGATTGATAGCCCTCGGGCGACCAAGTACCTTCGATGCCGGCAGCTCCCATAGGCAGGGCCATTTGCGACGGTCGTCTCTGGGGAGGCTGAGGAATTTCTCTTCGACCTGCAGCACCAGCAAACGGCAAATGGGTATGCGCAGGAGTGTTCTCGTTGGAAGGTGGCTGCGAGCGAGAAGACCTTCGCATGGGCTGAATGGGTGAGAGAACTGGACGCCGAGCAATATCGCCACTGCCACGCTTCCCAGCAGCGTCGTATTGGGGGGACGGTTCATCTTCGTTGTCACCCCAGTCAGACATGGGCGAAGTGCCACGATCGGCCGACGAAGAGCGCTGCTGGTCGACATCACGGACCGGAATGGGGTCTACGTCAGATCCCACAGTGGTGACCGACGCAGAACGCGAAGCCAAGCCGGGAAGAGGTGATTTGGGGCTGTTCGTCTCCATGGGCGACGTTCCACGATCGTACGAAAGCGAACGAGGAGCCATGACATCGGGAGACGCCGCGCGTGGAGACCGCTCAGGCGACTCTTCTTCGTCGTTCCAGTCAGACATGGGCGATGTTCCACGATCCGCAGAGCCGTCTCTCTGTCGCTCAATGTCGCGAACAGGCAAAGCACCGGCTTCCACGACGTCGGCCTCACTCTCGCTGTCGCTTTCAATGTAGGGAGACATGGGCGATGTCGCGCGGTCCGCAGAGACAGATCGTTGCTGCTCAATGTCGCGGACGGGGTACGCTCCCGCTTCAGCGACATCAGGTTGGTCGTCATCTTCCTTGAAGTCTGACATGGGAGATGTTCCTGCATCAGCAGAGTGGGATCGTTGCTGATCGATATCGGGAGGAGAAACGATTCCCATGCCCAACATCTCGTCTTCACTCGCGTTCGACATGGGCGAAGTGCCAGCATCAGCAGACTCATAGTGAGGCGAGTCGATGTCTCGTGGGCTGAACATGGGCGCACCACTGCGGTTTGGCGATGGACTACGGACTGGCGAGGGGCTGCGGACGGGAGACTTCATCGACGCACGACGGCTTTCGTGGTATTCTTCAGGAACCACACCAGACATCATTGCCGTTGGCGAAGGTGGACGAGGAACGTACTGATCAGAGCCTGCCTTGGAGAGCGGAGGTCGCATCTCGTCGTTGAAATCCACAGGTGGCGATGGCGACGGTGACGACTGAACGCCAGCCATGAGTGCAGTGGGCGACGCATCTCGGCTCTTCTCGCGCAAGCTGCCCATCATGGGAACCGCTTGTGAAGATGCAGTGCGGGGCGAATGACTCTGATCAATGTCCACAGCCGGCAATGGCATGTGCATATTGGATGGAGGTGTGCGACCACGAGTATATGATGGACCAGCTTGTACTCCCATGTCCGTTGACGGCTCTGGCGGCTCTTCGTTGCGGTTGGCCATGTCCACGTCGATTCCCATGTGCGGCGAGGCTGATCTGAGGCGAGATTCCGATCGGGAGCGGTCATCATTGAAGGCAATTGGTGCCAGCATCTCTCGAGACATCGAACGGTTGTTGTTGTTCTGATCTGGATAATCTGGGAATGGTGTTCGGGACACCGACCTCGCTTCCTGGTTGAGATCTTCGGCTGGAGTCTCCAGTTGTGAAACGGTGCGAGATAGATGCCAATCCTCTGCACCTCGAGGGATCGATGGAGTGCGTGGATTGTCCGTCTCTTCGCCATCGGTGCCTGCTCCCATGTCGCGAGTGGGCAAGGCTGGCGAGCCGAGAGCTGTCGAAGATGCAGTGCGAGGGCCATTGTTAGGTGGCGAGTGAAGAGCTGCCGACGACTCTGAGCGAGGAGCGTTCCATTTGCTTGATTGCGGTCGTGGTGGTGATCGTCCACGCGGCGAGAACATGACCTCGTTGCTCATAGGATTGCTCGAGCTGGGGTCTGCAGTCGTTGGCAGAGGTGGCGACATTGGTTCTGACGAAAGCGGCTCCTCAGCATACTGATCTGGCGGCCCTGAAGCTGGCCGTGACATGGACCGGACTGGCGATTTGCCATCGAACTCATATGGATCTACCATTGGAGTGCCGACCTGGAGCGAGGAGTCGCGATAACCCTTGCGTGCTGGTGGTGCTGGAGCCGGCGACTGCGAGTAATCACGATCGATTGCAACCTGGGGCACATTTGACTGCAATGGTGGTGGCGATGGTGCTTTCAGAGACGAAGGAGCACGCATGAATGGCTCTGGTGGCACTCCTGGCCCTGGCGATGTGCCGCGCTCTTTCGATTCGGATGGCAACTCCCACCGGCGGACTGGAGATCGCGACGTGTCGGGCGTGACTTGGGTACCACCGTCGATAGAAGCACGAGGCCGAGGCGACAACGAACCTTCGTCGACTTGGGTCGATTTGGAGGGAGATCGAATATGCATTCCAGCGGGTGTCGTGGATCTCGGAGTATACACGACCTCCTGTCGCTTGATGGGGAATGTGGCAGATCGAGGTGTCTCGTCGGTCCAAGAGGTGTCATCGGTCTGAGTCGTGATGGATTGAGTCGAGCGCGAAGTAGGAGGAGATGGAGTCTTTGCAGCAATCTCCATGGCCTCGATCGTCCCACTGGCCAACGAGATGGACCGTGTGGCCGATAGACGGGTGGGCATGCTGGAGTTGCGTTTCGAGCTCATACCATTCATACCCACAAAATTACCATTGATAGACTTGAAGCCGGATGGCGAGAGCGGTGGTGATTGCGGTGTCGCAGGTGGCGAGATGGATTTCGGCAAAGCAACACCTTGACCTTGCGCGTCTGAGCTCCGGACGGATTGGTCTGCATCACTCTGGATCGACTCCAGGCGAGATCGAGACTCGTCGCTGTTCTCCGCTTCGGCGAGCGCGCCGAGACCAGAGGGCCTCGCTTTGCCCGTGCTGTGGACTGGGAACCGCCCGTGAGGAATGTCAGTGATGGTCACTTCGTGGTATACGTCGTTTTCATCGCGATACGCCAAATGAGCCTCCGCAGGCTGTGAGGGAGGATCGTGACTGATTTCCACTTTGTTGTTTCCCCCCGGCAGCGGTCGAAACACCAGCGCAGTAGCTTCGGGGTTGGTCTTGTCAGTGAACAAGGGCGCCATTCTCTTGCCGCTACTGCTGCCAGGCCTGTGACGCTCCAGGATGTCCGACGTGCTTTCGGAGCCGATCGATTTCATGTCAATGTCGCCAATCTGGGACGTAGTAGATTGACCATCGAATTGGCCGTTGCGTGCCACGCTTTCCACGTCGGGAAGGTCTGTTTGCTGTGTCATTTCCGTAGCGGTAATGCCTGGCGTATCCATGTCGGAGTCGTCGTCGCGGTGTCGTCGGAACACGCGCTGAGCGGCGACAGAACCGTTGGCGTAGCCTCCGTCGGCAGATCCAAGCCTGCCACTGGACAAGCGCTGCATGAAGCCCGTGACTGCTGGTGCACAGATGCAGATGATGGACAGATTGCCTTCAATGGTCGACCACAATCCGATGTAATGATAGGTCCAGGTCACGTTCATCCGCCCGTCTGCGTGTGCCACGTACGAAACCCGGACGATGGCTGCAATCGTGACCACCAGTCCCACGAAGAACAGTGCGTACACACCGAGTTTCTTCTGCGTTGCAATGTTGAGCTGGAGCAAGCTGTAGATGGGCAGCAAGAAGACGATGAAATCGTAGAGGATGTTCAGCGCGCCAAACGCGTAGAGCAAGGAATAGGAGTCAATGCATGAGCCCGTTTGGCCACCAATGTAGTTCCAGTAATGACTGACGGGAGAGCATTGGAATATGAAGGCGAAGTCGAAGGCGAGTGCAGTGAGCACCACTACTCCAATGCCAATCCAGCAAGCCAACCGGAACGCCTTGGTGATCGACTCGGCCGTCCAGATGCGGAGATAGAGGAGGATGACGGCAACTTTGGTGGCCATGACCGTGGTGATGTAGAATATCTCCCCCACGTAGATCCATTTCAGCACATTCTCAATGTCTCCGACCGAGTTGGTGTACAAGTCGGTGGCCAGACCGGAGCTGGTAGCCCGACTGATGCTGGCATCGAGCAGAATGACCAGAACCAGCGCCAAGAGCACCACCCAATCGTCCCAGCTGTATCCACTGCCATTGAGACCTCTCCATCGCGATAGCAATCTCAGCGCGACAAACACGACGGCGACGGCGAAGAAGACCCAGGTGACGGCGTATAATGTGCTTGTTTTATCGCGAACGGGTCGGTCGCACGTGGTAGCTTGGTATTGTTGACCATCTGGGATGTCCCCTGTGAGCTGAGAACCCTTATAATAGATATACACATATACCTTAGGTATATCCTTTATATTGAAAAAGATCGCGTCAACTCACCTAGTTGATCCTGCGTCGATGAACACGTGGACGAGAGGCAGGATTCGTACGATGTCCGCACCGAAGACGTGCAGAAGCACACTTGGTCTGCCTGGCAGTTGTTGGGAAGCTGTCCCAGACATGTTTGCGCACACGATGCCAGCGCATTCTGTTGAGCTTGTCGCACAGTGAGAGTCGTGGCCTGCGAGTCGGAGCCTACCGTCAAGGCCAGCAAAGGCAAGACGAGTATGCTCGAAACCCACCACATTGTTTGTCGTGGCGGCCGTAGTCGTGGATGGCCGAATAGAAGAAACACAACACAAAACGAAAACAGGACATGCAAAAAAAAAGGCGCGCGCGGAGGGTCTTCTGGCTATACACGTGCTATATTTGATGGCATCGAGATATGGCGCGCGTCTGGCGACTCATGGACCGCCAAGCAGAACAGAAACTTGAGTGAATATGCCCAATGCTTTTTTGGACCGGTGGCCCTGACAGAGAGGCAAGGCAGGCTCCGATTTGATTGTGGGTGACTGTACAAACGTAGAGTGGTGAGGTGAGCTAGGATCATACGGAGTACGGAGGTGGCATGCAGCCCCCAATGTGGTTGAAAGTGTCGATCCGTGGGCGTCTCTGACTCGGGCTCGCCGTAGCCACTGCATCACTGTGCAGTCGGTCACCACGGCGCCAGAAGCAACACGATTCAGGGCTGCTCATGCGTTGCGCCCATTGGATGGTTCCCTTGAATGGTCCCATTGTTCTCGCCTGTGGATAGGGCGTGCGGTGGTTTCTCGCATGCCAGAAGACGACAGGACAGACGATCTCGTCCGTCTGGTGGATGATGAATCGGCCTCTCGTGTCGCCGGCGAGAGGCATCGAGGCATAGGACGTCATCCATCACGATTGATCACACACTCGGGGAAGAATGCGAGGCTCCCACGGGTGGTGGGAACAGAACAGGTCGGTAGCGTAGGTAGCTCTAGAACGATGTCTGGACTTGTTGCCTGGCACTCTTTTCAGTGTACATGTAGCTAGAAGCTACCTCCTAGGAGGTAGCAGCAGCAACTCTCACTCTCACACAGCGGCATGACCGCATTGTGCTTCTTTGGAGCAATGCAACAACGTGGTAGCATTGATCGCTTGTGAGGTGAAGTCCGAAACACAGCCAGAGCGAGAAGCAGGACAAGCCTGTCCAGACAGTTCTGTACTCCTCTCGTTCCTGAAAGTCTAGTGCTAGACCGAACCATAAGACGGGCCAATGCAGACCGGCAACGCGCTCCGGACGCCTCTCAATTCCAACCACCAGCAACCAGGGCCGCCAGCCGCACTGCATGAACGCCCGATGAGAGAGCAGTTTCGATGCGAGCAGCACTCTCCGATCGTGAGATGTGTTTGCGCTGGAGCTAGGCGGGACTTTGCAAAGCTGCCAAATAATAAATCCCGATACACTCGGCGCCCTTGATTGCACGTGCCCATCGAAGACATTTTGATGTTGTTTTCTGCTGTGAGTCCTGAGTCCTGAGTCCCGACTCGAGGGAACGGGAGAGGGAGAGGAAAGGGAGAGGGAGAGGGAGAGGCTAGATACTGTCTCGGTTCTTTGTGTCCAACACCAAGGGACTCTTTGCAATTCTCATTCTCAACATATACAAATCAGAGACTGCATTGTTTCAGCGGAGTCGTCGGTGAGGTGGTCGTAGACTGGTAGACTCGTAGACTGGTAGTATTATTTCTAAAGAGCATCCTGTCGCGCGGGAGTAGATGGGTAAGGTATCTGGCGTGGTATAGAGAGCACATTCAGCGTCATGAAGTAAGTATTGTTCACTCCGGGGTCATTGCATCTGGTGTGTGTCAGTGTGTGTGATGAGGATAGTGAATGAATTGCCATCCCATCCTGTGATCCCCATGGCAGATGTTGGCGCAGATGTTGGTGGCGGGGAATGGCTGGTCACAATCTCTTCGGCGGCGTTGAACCGTTGAGTCTTGGCCAAAGAGAGAATAGTGCACAAGGAGATTGGGTGGCTCGGTCACCATCATCACCCACTGTTTCTGCCTGAGGCCTCCAGAAACTACATATATACATGTACCTACAACGAAAGTACTGATGCAATTTCCAATCGTGTTCACGATGATGACAATACAATATCCCCATGCAACAAGACGGGGATTCTCTTCTCTCCGTCTGGTACCGGGGCGGAAGAAGAAGAAGAAGAAGAAGACGGGGAAGCCAGCAGAAGAAGTACATATACATGCACTCTCCTCTCCTCGATCGACCATCAATGAACCCCGTGATCATTCAACTCTCATGGATAAGAGCATCTGTTGATCGATAATAACGCAATAGGAAATTCCAGAAGTTCCGCATACACGATCGAGAGCAAGGTAAGTACATGTACCCCCCGAATCCACGTCACAGTTCTAAGCTGTTCCTTGTCTGAACAAATCCCCTTTACTCGCCGTATGTTGCCTGCTGGTTACAGAGAATATCGTAACTAATGACACAGGACAGACAGTCGTTTTACTCTACTCATTTTCTATTCATAAATCCACTATTCAGTAGAAACAATCTCGACAAAACACACAAATCATTATAACAAGATATCTCCCCTCACTACCACCACCAAAAAAAAACAATCAAACCCATCCTTTTCTCCTCTTGCACCTCCTACCTCCTAGCCCGGTACAAGTATAAGTACAAGTACAACTACAACTACAGCTTCACCCAGTCAATTCAAAAAATCCCAGGAATAAAACGGAAATAGACGGCGACTACCTCCTACCTCCTAACATGTAATCCTACCTCCTTACCTTAACTTTAAACTCTCCCCCGCACGCGATCGATCTGTTTGTTCTTGTGAAATAAGTTCGAGGACTTGCGTGGTTCGTTCTCGATGAGCAGATCCTCGGACACGCGTGCGTGGTGTTGTCTGCTGGTATATCCTTGCATACATGAGATATCTACAAGTGAGTCCAGCCCTAGGTCGATGATCTGTGTTATGTGTAGTCCCGTCACTAAGCATGGTGTTGATCTGTGATTGATCGGAAAAATTGGGGGGTTGTATATCGTCGACGATGTTTGTTGGATTTCGTTGTAATTGAGATGCTTGCTGGGTGTGTTTATGTGTGGTATGGGTTGCACGATCGTATATGGCAGCTTGAGGTGTTGAGGGAGAGAGAGGATGATTGTACCTTGGTCTTGCGGTTTAGAGATGAGTGAGATAGATTGGTTGTGGCTGTACTGCAAAGACGAATTGAACACTGGCGTGATGGGAAACAAAAAAACCGCCTCCTTGCACTGATCGATTCCCCCATCCTCCTCCTCCTACAATTTCATCTCATCTCTGATACATTCTGCCCGCTCAGCTCCTCACATCCACTCAATCCTCCCACCTACTTCCTCTCCACCTCCTCCAACCGAATCTCCTTAATCCCCTTTTCCACATTCCCACCCTTCTCCTCATCCCCCAATTTCTCCACATCAACAGTAGTCTGGCCTCCAATGACCGCATTCTCAAATTTACTTCCTCGTTTCTCCGGGCCAACTGCAGCAGTCACTGCAATTCCCAATGCGATGATGGCCGTGGCCACACCCATGACGGGACCGTATGAGGGCACGTCTTTGCCTTGGCCGCCGGCGGGTCGAATGAGATGGGATTCGGCGATGGCGTTGACGATTTGTGCGGAGGGGCTGGAGATCATGTTTCCGAGTTGGTACTGTGGTGGGTGGGGATTTATTAGTCAGAGGTGTTTTTTTTTTCAAAGATTGTTGAGGAAAAGAGAGGGCATACTGTAAGTCCGGGGAATGAAGAGCGGAAAGCTGGTGGGGATAGCTCGTTTAGATGGATCTGTAAGAATTGATCAAGTCAGTATATATATAGACACAGAAATTGATTTTGTAGGGCAATTAAATTGCACACACTTACGGGAATTACACCCCAGGCACCTTGAATGAAGAATTGAATCATGAATCCAGATGCAGAGAGTCCTCCTAGCGATGTGGGCAAGATCCAGGCGGGGATCATTAGAGCACTCATTAATGCTGCTACGACCATGGCTCTTCGTCGGCCTACCCATTGGCTAAGATATCCAATGATGGTTCCTCCGACACATGCACCCGTTTTCATGAGAATGCTTGCGATGGAGGCATCGTGGTTGCCCATTCGTTTTTGGGTCTTCATGAAGGTTGTGTAACTGTCTTGACTGGTGTGGGAGTAGAAGTTGAACCAGGTCATTAGGACGATGCAATAACTAGAAGAAGCCGAGTGTTAGTGAATCAGTCAACCATTCCATCAGCATAATAATGGGAAGACTTCCATCCCCCAAAAAAAGAAAAGAGAAGAAGAAAAAGAAAATACTAACATGCACATCTTCCACTCCCTCGCCAACATCTGCTTCGTCTCCTTCCAAAACACCCCCGGAGAAGCACCTTTATGACCCGCAGCCTTCCTCTCTCGAAACTGTTGACTCTCCGGAAACCCGACTCGAATCAATCCCACTCCAATACTCAATCCCGCCGCAATCCAAAATACCGTCTTCCACGACTCCGTCGATCCGCCGACGCCCAAGTTGGCGCACGCCGCACACACGTAGCCGAAAGAGTAGCCTTGTTGGAGAATTCCGGACATGAGACCTCGCGCGTCTACGGGGCAGTTTTCGAGGGCCTGGGAAGTAAAATGTTAGTTAGTTGGAGATAAATGTGCTGGGTAGAAGGGAGAGGGTAGAGGTGGGAAAGGTTTTACCATGGCGATGGCGTTTCCGTAGACTCCTCCCATGAATAGACCAAAAATGGAGCGGACGGCGAGGAATTGGGAGAATGTGGTGCTGTAGATGGTTGCGATTTGTAGGACGCCGAGAATTATCATGTTCATCACCTAAAATAAGGTAACCGGGTCAAGATTAGTATTCAGTAGCAACAACCAATTAACGAAAATCCCAATGTTCATCATCAACTCTCAAGATATCAAAGCATCCATCTATACTTAATTCGGCAATAACAGTATAGTTCAACACATAACATACCATCGGCCATTTCCTCCCAAACTGATCTCCGAGTAGACCAAAAACTGCCGCTCCGACAGAACGTAGCAGCAGCGTGAGAGTAATGGCACTGGTGATGTTGGTATTGGTGGTATCGTAATAATCAGCCAGTTTGGTAGTTTGGATGCTGAGGGCGTGGAAGTCGAAGGCGTCGGCCTAGATGGAGGACAAGATATGGAGAATTGATTAGCGGGGGATTTTTTTTTTTTTTTTTTTTTTTTTTTCGAATACGGTGATGGTGATTGGAGTGTTTTTTTCTTGGTTGTTTCTCTTTTTGATGAAATGGGAGAGGGTAGGTATGCTTCTTTTCCTCTTTCTCTCTCTCTCTCTCTCTCTGTTACACAAACACACACACACGTACCGTCCACGACGCAAAGCCCACAATAAAAAACACCCAAGCCGTCGGAGTCAGCTGGGCCAGCAACGAAATGGGATTTCGAAGAGGAAGTGGTCGTTGCCATTCCGTTCGAGATTCTCCATATTCATTGGTAATTTTGACTCGTTGCTCCCACTTGAACAAATCGGAAAAGCTTTGTTTCGCCGTTGCCCAGACTCCCACGGCGATGGGTTCCGCAGGGCGACCTGTAGACTCCATGATTTTACGAGCCGCTGCAGAGAGGATCGATGTTGTTGATGTTTGATGTTGATATGAGGGAAGTATAATATCAAAATCAATAAATGTAGATGAATGGTGAGTAAAGACCAAGTAGGTACTACTACTACAACCACTACTACTACTACTTTTTCTTCTTCTTCATTGCCACTTGGGTGTGCGACATCTGGCTGCTTTGTACTTTTTTTTTGCGCGTGAGTAACGTGGGCGTACAAGGCTTGGTTCCGGTTCCTCTGCCTTGACCATGCGATGCTGCGATGATACCTAGCCGCCGTCGCCGAGACCTTGGCCATGTGACAAGCCCCCCGGGGGGACTGGAGTATGTACCCTTGCACCCTGTCGTGCCCCGCGTTGGTGAAGGAACTCAAGAGAGAGAGAGAGAAAAAAAGCAAACTTATTTTCTCGTCTCGTCTTGATGGTGTGTTTTGTCGTCTGACATCTGCATGTACAATGTACTCGAATAACGATCGATACCCGCACACGGATACTGGGGTTCCTCCATCTACCTTACTGGCCCAATTGGTCGCTTTGTCGTTTTCTTTTCTTTGCGTCTAGAAGCAAGTTCACTATTGGAACTACTTTACTGGTTGGTTGGTTGGTATGTGTGTGCGTGTGAACCAACCCTGCTCCTGGAGGAGGTAGTCTACCGCTCTCTCGAGTTACATATTTCCCTCCGCCCGCCCGTTCCATTCACTCCTTCGGTTCGAATATGCTTTCTACCCACATGCACATGGTGTCCAGGTCAAGAAGCATAAGCGGTCTTGGAAATGGGTCAAGATCGAGCTTGGCGAGGCTGGTCATTGGCTTTGAATGCTTCCCTCCTCGCTTCAGCCGCCCGTCGCACGCCTCGTCGAGTCTTAGCACCAACTTATCCTTGTGATCGCGTGTGCATGGTTTTTGGTTTTTTTACTTTAGTGTGTTTAAGAGTGAGTGAGAGTGAGAGTGAGAGTGAGAGACAGAGAGACTAGACTCCTGCTCCGTTCACTTCCGATATCTGAATAAAAAGGGGAACCATTGTTCTGGGGCCCCCATGGGGTTTGACATGTGCCGTATCCATAATTCCCCCAACAATATGTGGGTTTCATATACTGCCAACTGCTATCCGAGCATGCAACCCCGAAATGGACAGGAATAAATTCTTGGCGCGTCACGAGGTGCGCCACCGTATTCCTTCGGCTTGCTACCTTGGGGATTGCACCATTTTCCGTTGGGATTGCTTCCGAAAGGTCTGAAAGTGCGACAGGTCTCGAGTTGCCAACAAGACATAGATATTTCAGGGAAAGAGTACAACGTTCGTCAATCGCTACGAAAAAGTGGTGTTTTTCGTTGGGAATTGAGGCCTGCTCTTGGCTTCGCTTCCACCATTCCTATCGACGGGAATATACGGAGGACTCTGCGGCGGGTGAATACGGAGGGATCAAGGGCCACAGCGTGTTTTCTGTGCTGCCGCTGTTGAGCAACTTCATCCCACTATACCGTGCAATACGCGCTTGATCGATGCGTTGTCCTACTGGGTAGTAGATGATGCATTCCGAGTCATCATCGGGTTTCCCGCTTCACCCGACACCCATGGCATATCCTGCGTGGGGACTGTATCTGTCATGTCCGGCCATGAACAATCTGTCATGTCTGGGCATTCTGGGCATGAACAAAGAGACATTCGCTCCCCAATTCTGCTGCCGCAGTGTTTAGCCCCTCCTGCGTTCAACCAGCCTCGTTCTGTATCCCAAACCCACTCAGAGCGTAAAATTTTGCCTGACAAGCTGCGACGGACCTGCGCTGTGGAAAAGCAGCGGCAACCTGGGCCCATGTGCGCCCTTTTGCTCTCAAATCAAAGAGCATATCAACATCCTCGCTCGTCCACGCTCGTTCCACGGGAGCTTCACGATACCCCATTTTCGACGCTCGACGTCCGATTGATGAAAGAGGTCTCTCGGGCATTCTCGCGTGGATCTCCTTGATTGTCTTGCCCTCTTTCAAGAGATTCATGATCAGCTGATCGTCGCTGGCAGAGTAATATTCATACGTCCTTGGCTTCTTCTGGGCGCCTTGAGTGTGCCGGTGCATTGCAGCCTTGACCGTTTCATAAGACCGATTCAGCTCTCTGGCGATCTGCGCCAATTTCATGCCGGATGCGTGGAGCTCCACCATACGATCCTGCTCAGCCTGCAACCATTTTCGCCGCCGAGGTTTCGTGTAGGTGGAGGGCGGTTTATAGATGCCCAGGCGCTTCAACGCAATGATTACACTGGTCTGTGAGCGATTCAGCTTTGCCGCGATCTCTGAGAACGTCAGACCGGACGCTTGAAGCTCTCGTAGACGATCATAATCAGCCTGCGACCACAGCATTTCTTGGAGAGTTTCGCCAGGCAAGAGGATGCCTGTGCGCAGCATGTAACTTCTCACGCCGGTTGTTGAGCGACCGAACTTTTTCGCCATCTCTTGGAGACTACAGCCGGACGCCTTCAGCTCGTATAGATGATCGTACTCCTCCTGCGTCCACGAGTGAGAATGGCTTGGAGGTCTCTTACTACCTGGGCTTTCCGACTCGATTTCGGACTCGAGATGATCGCGGAACTTTGGAATATCCTGCGGACGCTCGGGCGTATAGTATCCACTTTTTGCAGCGTCGTACCTACACACCCGCGCCACATGATATGTGGTCCGGCCCATTGCGTCGGCCACCTGTCGATAAGTCTTGCCCTGGCCCAGCAATGATCGTAACTTGTCCAGTTCTTCTTGCGACCATATATGCGGTAGCGGAGCCGGTGAATCCCGAGCCCGAGACGTGCAATGAAATGGTCTCAAAGCACGAACAATCCGATGTGAAGTGAACGGGCAAGCGGTAGACTGGAGGGACAGTCTTTGTGGCGAGCTTCTGCTGCCTAGGCTATGGATGGGGATATGGACTGCTGCGTTGTCCACCACCAATCCCAGAGTCGGCCGCCACATCAGATGCTCCCCTGTTTTTTTCTCTCTCCTATTGTCTCCTATTCTGTTCCCCGCGTAGTTGCGACATTCATGTGTCCAGGTCTGATATGATGATAGGGGAAGTCTGATGGACATCGAACAAGGAGTGAATCTTTTGGTCTCTGCTTTCGCGGGCACTGGCTTCGGTTTCGCTTTCGGCTTCGATGATAACGGACGGGAGTGCGGAGCGGCCCCACTTTCCGGCAAGCGACTGCAGCTCCTCCATTTCGTTCGTCTTCTCTCGTCTCTCTCTCTGTCTCTCTCTCTCTCACACTCACTCACTCACTCACTCACTCACTCACTCACTCCCTCACTCACTCACTCACTCACTCACTCACTCACTCACTCCAAGAGACACTTGCATGGCTCACGCCTTCTCGAGCATACGGAAGCTGGTATGGCACAACATAACCCGCATCAAAGGGCTTGGCGAATGTTCTGCTTCGACAAAGAAGTATCTCTGTAGCTCTCTCTGCTTATTGCGTGCCTTCGCTAGCGCTCGCGAGAGCAGACCACCAAGTGCTGAGCGCAAAGGTCGCTCGTGGACGCAAGACGAGTTGGACCAATTATGGCAACTACACTCTGCCGGCAAGAATGTCAGAGAAATCCGTTCTAGCCTGAATACCCGTAGGTCCTGGTCGGCTATCAACGAAGTGCTACGGAGCTATCGACGATCGCCTGCTACAATCCGAATGAATCCGTGGACACGAGAAGAGGAAGATTTGCTCGTGATACGCCGTCAGCAGGGAAATACCTCCAAATCTATCGCTCACGAACTCGGCCGATCTAGAGCTAGTGTCAGCACAAAATATAGCATGATGCGCCCGCGGGAGGCAGCCCCGCAAGCCCGAAGGCGCAGGTGGACCCAAGACGAAGTAGATCGCGCGCTTGTCATGAGGGCTGAGGGCTGGACCCATTACAGCATTGCCACCGTTCTGGGCAGATCCTACGAAGCTGTAAGGCAAAATCTAGCGCGCCAATGCACAACAGATTCCGATGTCGTGAATTACAAAAGACGTTTCACATCCGCAGAAGACGAAAAGTTACGAAGCCTATGTGGAAAGCTGAGCTGCTTTCGACATGTCGCGGACGCTATGCCCGACCGCTTGTACGGGTCGTTGATGATACGCGCGAAAACGCTGGGCGTATGGAAGCCTTCCGGTAGGAGAGTTCCTTGGACTGCGTCTGAGATCGATCGTTTAAAAGAGCTCCGACGCCGGGGAGTATCCTATAAGTTGTGCGCTTCGTTATTACCGGGCAGAACAGAGGACGCCATTCGTGTCCAATTTGCAAGACTCTGACGAAGGCATCATTTGCTGTCTGCCTGTCTGCAAACGGGGAGTATGCCAGGTGACTTTCCAACTAGACTCTGAACCGTGAAACGTGAGACCTTAGATCAGCTTTCGACTAGACCCTTCCGCGATATTGGAAAAGCTGGAAAAGTATGAAGGGTATATAGTATGTCAGAGATGGGCCAGCCCTGTCAATCTGGTTCGTCCCTTGTATCACGCACCGCGACATCTGGACCAGCAGTCACACGGGAGACACTCTACCAGCAGCACACACACCACACACATCCTCCTGTTGTCCCTTCTTTTTTATCTACTTCTATCAAACCGAGTTGGAGAGTTCTGTACCGCTTCAATCTTTGCTCCGGTTCTTCCACATTCGCTAAAAGTTTCACCAGAAGCGAATCACGGACTACCTCACCAAACCTCGCCAGCTCTATTTCCAAGGTACCTAGGTAGTTTGTCCCACGTAATTCTGTCACAGCAGATCACGCGCCTATGGTTATATTTTTCAGTCATTCTAGACACCTTGTCAACAGAGAACCACGATTACGCCCTTAGCTACACTATCCCCAAAAGACCTACCTGATAGGAGGGAATGTGTCAAATCACAAGGCTCGACCTTGTCCTCTTCGTTACCTACTTACATCTATACGGAGCAATTCGATTCCTGTGAGAAGAAAGAACTCCCCCTCTATCTACTCTACAAACCAATCTGTCTCGTATGCTATTAATACAATTAGGTATGCTTAATTAGGAGCAAGGCCCTCCTCATGGGGCGTCTTCGCTACTGTAGGTAGAGTATTGAAATCCTTGCGAATACATACCTTACCCTTGGAATTGATAACGGATCGCGCCTAGTCTTAGCGGCTCTGAATATCTACATGTAGCGGGATATAATGACAAGATATTCTTTGTTTTTCCTTAGAAAAGAAAAATCGTATAGCGAAAAGATCAAATCAGAGTAAAGGAAATCATCATCTGATATTTCAATTGAATCTTCTTGATGGAAGTATTGACAAGAAAGAACCCTTTCCCCCTTTCCTAAAAAAAAAAGGAAAATAATAAAGCACAACGCCGCCGCGCAAGAGGTATCTCATCTCATCTCGTGTCATCTCATCTTCTTCTCCATCCATTGTAGCGAAATCCCTTCCGGTCCAAGCCAAAGAAGACCAAAAAAAAAGAGAAAAAAAGGAACGCCAGGCCGGTCGTCTCATCGTCATGATAATAGCATCGATCCCAATTCCTTGTCTTCTTCCTCTTCTCTTTTCTCCAATCTGTTCATTGCGAACGACGAAGATGAGGAGAAAAAAAAGAAGAAGAGGCAATAATTACTCCTCATCCTCCATATCCACATCTTCCACGCTGCCAACCATAATCCCCTCTTTCTGCTTCATCATCACCTCCTCCCCTTCCATCTCCTCATACTCGCGCTCCACCTCTTCGGCAACAAACTCCTCAAAACTCTCCAAACTGCCCTGCACGTGAATTTTGAAATCCACCACCGTCTTCAAGATGCGCTCCAATTCCGTGTGCAACTCTTCTCGCAATTCTCCACTGCGGAAACATAATTGCTCGTATTCCAAATTCACTGCCATTTCCTTTTGCTCCATCAATTGCACGTTTTCATTCAACCCTAACCGCACTTTGTTGAGTTCTTTTTCCATGCGCTCGATTTGGGCTTCGGAAGCCATGCTTTGTGCGGAGGAGATTTCGCGCGTCTTTTCGAACTCCTCTGAGGATGCGGAGACGCGATGTTTGAGGGTTTCGAGTTCGGAGTGTTTGTCCTCTAGGGCTTCGCGGGTCTTGTCCAGGATATCAATCTTGGCCATGTCTTCTTCGAGATTGGCGTTGCGACGTTCCGAAATGGATTTGCGCAATTGTTGCAGCGAGTGTTTGATTTGTTTCAGATCGGGAGTGGGGAGGAGGAGATGGGGAGCGTAGCCGTTGTTGGGATCTTGAAGGAGACGGTCGTTGGCGGAGTCAACGCTTGCGGATGCGGAGAAGTCGGGACCGGAGTTAACCTGTAGGCGCAATTCGTATTCGATTCCACTGGCATTCTGAGCCGTGGAGGGGATGACGCCGATCTGGTATCCCAGCGAGTTGTAGCGTTGTACTGTGCTTTCCAGTTCGTCTAGCTTTGAGCCTGTCTCGAGCTCTTTCTTTCCTGTGCGGTCTTTGGCTTCTTCTAAGCGGATCTGAGTGGCTTCGACCCCTTTGACCAGTCTTTCCCGCTCGGTATTCATGCGATCAATGTCTTGTACCGACAGTCCTTGATCATCCACCTTTTGCTGCAGATCATCCCGTTCTGCCTCCGCTTCTGCCATTTCTGCTTCGCATCTTTCGATCTCCTGCTGCAGTAGTTCGGCTCGGTGAGCATATTTGTCGACCTTGGCGTCCATACTGGCATTGTACTGCTCGAACTTCTGCTTGTCCTCCTCCAAGATTTTAATCGTCTCATCCAACTTCGCCAATCGTGGAGCAGACTTGCTCAGCTCATCGATCTGTTCTTGCAACTTCTTGGACTCTGCCTCCAACTCCTTCACCTGCTCTAAGTTTGCAGCATTGGCCTGTTCGAATCTAATAGCCATGGCTTCGATGTGGGGTTGAATCCTCCTCTTCGCCTCCTCTTCCTCATCATCGTCATCCTCTATCGACAGCCACTCTTTGTATGCGTTGGACAAGAAGTCGAAAGTAATGCGGTCGGCAGATACGTCAAAGCCCGCCTCAGCACATGCATCGTCCCACATTCCCGTGCTATACTGCTCCATCATCTTTGCAAGCTGCATCATCCAATACAGCAATCCCAAAAAGGTGCTCCAATTGTTGCCTCCCACAGCTGCCAGCTGACTTTTGCTGATGTTCTTCTCAAAGGGGTATCTCAACTGTTTCAGTAGAGGAGGTACCTCTGCGTCGATGTTCTTCTGAAAGCGGTATGCAGGGTCGATTTGGTGGTAGAGAAACTGGAACATCATGTTGAAGTCCTTTTGCGTGGGCGAAGTCATGGTCTTGTGGGTCAACGAGTGCTTCGTCTCCATCTCGAAGTTGCGCTGGGTCAGGAACTCCATAAGCTCCTGTCCCATCACTTGTCGAGTCTGTCCATCTCGCAGCCTTCGCGGATCGGTTGGAATGCCATTGACGGGCGGGGCAGTGGCGAAGAAAGACTGATGGGCTTGAGGCCCAAAGCCCGCCGAAGGCCGCGCGCTGTAGACGGAGCTCCTCCTCTGGGTACTCGCCTCCAATTGTATGGGATTGGCCGGGGTGGACGTCACGGGCGCAAAGCTCTTCCTGCCTCCGCCAGTGCTCTGGAAGAAGTTTTGCGTGCTCGGTCTTTGCACAGTACTGAATCCGCCCATTCCTGCCAAGTTGTCGCCCGAAGAGGATCGATGGAACATGGGCTGCGACGGGCGGCCGGGCGCGAGGGACATTCGACTTCCCGACGTCGAGCGGTGGTGTGTCGCGGTGGCGGGCACATTCTGATAGTGCGACTGACTGTTGGATCGCTTCATGGCGGAGGCGGGCATCGGTATGGCGGAGACATTGTGAGAGACGGGCGCCAGGCTCTATAGGTAGCATCATCAGCCTCTCTCTCTTTCTCTCGTGTGTGTGTGAATGTCGCATCTTACCTCCCGTGGGCGGCGCACCGAGAAGAGGCCCGGTTCTTGCGACATGGTCTGTCGGCGGGTCGAGTCCATGGTCGGGTGTGTCGTTGTGTCGCGCGTGTGCAAAAATGCGATAATGCGACACGTGCGGCGGAGTGGTGTAGTGTACCTAGTTTTAGTGTTTGGGCAAGAGTAAACAAAGGCCAGGGAAGGAGCAACCGGCTATGCAGGGATCGTCGGCAGCATCCATCCCCACTACGCTCTCGGGACGGGAGAACTCCCATGCCGATTCAGTAAGCCGAGGCCTCTCTCACTTCCGACATCTTGTGAGAGCGACAACAAGAGATACCTCCTAGTACCTGATGTAAAGAAGGAACGACTGTCTCTTGCTGCAACATCATCGTCTTTCCCTCCCGTCCCAGTGACTGTCTGTCTGCCAAGATGGTCCGCGAGGACCTGGTCGAAGGCGCCATCTCCTGTAAGTAAGCCCACCTCATTACCACCTCCACCACCACCATCACCACTTCCACCATCACCTCCACCACCACCTACACCACCACCACTTCCTCCTCCTCCTCCTCCATCCTAACACCGCTCCGCCCCCCAGTCCTCCAAGATCCCTCTGTCGCATCGGCGCCCATCGAGCAACGCGTCGCCTTTCTGCGCTCCAAGAACCTCACCCAGGAAGAAATCGACACTTCTCTCGCCCGAACAGGCCAATCGCCTTCCCCAGCCACATCGACAACCTCACAACCTCCACCACAATATCGACAACAACAGCAATACCAACAACAACCACCCTACAATAATGCCTATCAACCCTATGGGACTTGGCAACAGCCTCTCCCCGAACCTCCGCGCCGTGACTGGCGAGACTACTTCATCGCCGCGACCGTCGCTTCAGGCATTGGCTACGGCTTATATTGGACTGCCAAACGCTATGTCTACCCCTTGATCGCCCCTCCCACTCCACCTCAGCTCGAACAAGACAAAAAGAGCGTGGACGAGTCCTTTGAGAAAACATTCCAACTCCTCGAACAACTCTCCGCCGATACCGAGGAGCTCAAAAACGCCGAAGCACAGCGCAAAGAGCGACTAGACGCAGCCCTCTCGGAAGTAGAGAATGTCATTGGTCGGATGAAGCTCGCCAACGAGGAGCGCGAACAAGAGGCGAAACGCAACGCCCGAGAATTGGGCGAACTGCGAGATCTGATTCCCAAAGCCATTGAAAAGGAAAAACAGGCGCAAGAAGAGCGATTGAAAGAGTTGGGTACGGAAATGAAGAGTCTGAAAACTCTGGTGCAGAATCGCATGCGAGATGGTGTAGGCTCGACTCCCCTCCGACCTTCCACGCCGAGCTATTCATCTTCACAACAACAACCACCATCGCAAAATGGCCAAGTGCTAGGAAATGGTACTCCTGTGCAACAATCGGACGACGTTCCCTCCCCCTCCTCCTCCTCTTCTCCTGCTGCCGAAAACAGGGGAAATTCCTCGCCATATACTGCTCCCGCGAGCACTTCTTCCTCATCAACAACAAACTCGAATCCGTACCAATCCCGTTTGTTGGGAAATAGTGCGGGCAAAGCTGCGATTCCCGCGTGGCAATTAGCTGCGAAGAAGAAGTCGGAAGATGCAAAAGCTGCTGCTGCTGCGTCAAATTCCACTACTACTACCACCACCCCCACGTCAGGCACACCAGCGACGAGTGATGTAAAGGAGAGTGGGACGGTGCAGGATGCTGTTGATGGCTCGTCTGCATGATTGATCATGCGAGCATGTACTTTTAGAATTGCTTCTTTAATTACCACCACTTCCACTGCTACTGCAAGACCACCAACAACAAAATCTCCACGTCCATCATCTAGTCAAGCGTCAAGCATAAAGTGATCCTCGAGCAGACTCTTGCTGGCCACGAAACTGAATCCCCCAAAGGGATCGGCTTCCGCACTGGCATAGGGATCGTTCGAGTGAGCCAAGAGCTGGTCGTCTGCCAACTTGCCGCTGTTGCGAGACACCACGGGGCTGAGGGGAAGATCGGTGAACTCTTGCGCGAAGTTCTCGGCCAGCTCCGGATCCGTAACCACGGGCTGAATGGGCTGTTCAAGGTACACATGATTAGCGTCCAGACCATCATCATCATCACAAAGACACTTGATACTCACAGGCTCCATCTCTCTCCTCTCCAGTTTCTTCCAATCAATCTTCTTGAAGAAGCGGTGTGCCTTCAGCTCCTTGACCCCTTTACTCGTCGTGCCACCCAGACGCTTGTGTGGCTCCTTGCGCAGGAGGCGCGTCAGAATGTCTTTGGCATCTGGTCCCAGATAGTACGGAAGCTGCAGCTTTTGCTTGACAATGTTGTGCTGAATCTTTGCGTGATTGTTCCCACCGAAGGGCGGCTGACCCGTGAGCAGGTCGCATCCTATTGCTCCCAAGCCCCACCAATCAACCGAGAAATCGTATGGTTTTCCCTCCACCACTTCGGGAGCCATGTAGTCAATCGTGCCCAGGATGCTGTTGGCGCGATCGTCCTCCTCCGCCGATACCTTGGACAGACCAAAATCGGTGAGCAAGAGATGACCTTCGGCATCGAGCAGGCAGTTCTCGGGCTTCAGATCGCGGTAAATGACACGAACTTCATGATGCAGGTGCTCCAGCGCCAGTATTATCTCCGCCATGTAGAATGCAGCAACTTCTGCCGTGAACATGCCCTCCAAGGCCAGGTGCGTGAAGAGCTCGCCGCCCTGCGCATACTCCAGGATCAGGTAGAGCTTCTCCTGGTCCTGAAACGCATAGTAGAGCTTGACCACGAAAGGGTGGCGGTTGACGGATTCGAGAATGGTGCGTTCGGTGCGAGTCTGCTCGATGAGTCGCTTGTGAACCGTGAGACTGGCCTTCTTGAACTGCTTCTGTGCATATAGCTTGCCTGTGCACTGCTGCTTGACCAGGTGGACGGTGCCGAAAGCGCCTTTGCCAAGACAGCGCAGTGGTTCAAAGTCCTCGGCATGCATCTTCCGATGCATCGAGCCCGTTCGCAGCCCACCCTCCACAGCTTGGGACGCAAAGATCGGAGTGTGCGAGCCCGCCAGTGGACTGATGAAGTCAGTGTCCAGAGGAACATCATATGCTTCCATCTCGGTGCGGTCACCATCGCTGCCTGCCGAGGAAGGGGTGGCTGTCGCAATGGAAGCGTTCGACATGACGCGGGCCAGACTAGGCCTCATGCCATCCAGATTGAGAGCGTCGAGTCGCTCGCGAAGAGAGCTAATGCCACCTTGCGGAGTAGCTGGATGCAACGCGGGACTGACGGCACCAAGGCGAGGGGTGTTGACTCGAGAAAAGTCCGATTCCTCGCCATCCGTGGTCACGGGCGTTTCAAAGCCTTTGATGACATTGACAGCAGGCGCAGCAGGCATCATGGCCCTCTTCTTGTCCCTTTGGCGTTGCTTCTTGGCCTTCTTACGAATGGCTTCATGGTCGAGTTTCGGGACGGACTGGCGCTGTTCGGTCTCAGTGTCTCGTGCGGTCATCCTCGGAGTGCTGATCTGCATCGGTGGAGAGCGCTGAATGCCCAGGTCGGCATAGCTGGGCTCGATGTCCATGGCTGGCATACTCGATTTGCTCCAGCAATAGGGAATGGCAGTGCCTCAAAGTGGGCTCGTTCGTACGTCCTCGGCCGCACAGTGGGCAGCGTGCGCAGCTGTCACAGTGCGATCTGAACTATGCAGTATGCATGTGACGGTTGGCGGTGTGCAAAGGTGCGGCACTTGGGAACTTGTGTGCAGTGTGGCTCCTCAATCGAGCCTTGTATCGTTTTCGCCCAGTTTCAGGTGTCTCCTTACACTGGGCCCTGAACACCTAGCCAGTCCAACGCGGCGAAGCTGGAATCGGTGCGAGACAGTCCTGCAATGCCGCCGGGGAAGATTGCGACGAATGCGCCGGAGTCGCTCGTGGATGTGGTAGCGGTCGGAGCGGAGTAGCCCATCGACGGCGACGTGGATCTGGTGGTGCGTTTACTGAGGCCGTCAGAGGGGATCCGACGACGGGAATGATACGGCGAGTGGTGTGTTGCGGTGGTATGAGGTGTTGATGTAGGAGCGAAAGAGGACGACCTCAGCTTTCGACAGGACACAGAACCCGGAATTGAGGGTCGCGCACCGAACCGCTCAGAACTAAATTCGGTACGACACTAGGTGCATTACCTACTAGCTTACTCAGATGATCAGCCGCATCCACGGTTCACAATGATCATCCGGCGGTGGAATGCAGAGTGTTCAGCAGCGATGTGATGCATGGCTGCATGCGCGTGATGCTCACGACTACATGTATATGTAACACTGCTCTTCATTGTACGTTCTGCTTTTAGGTAGACTAATGATGGTCCGACTCGATGTAGACATACCCGAGACTACCTTAGGTATTGTTGCTCAGCCTTCGAGTGCCCACGAGGTATAGACATGTAAGATTATCCGACGGACGCAACACGAAACGCCGGGAGTTGTAGTGACCGGAGTCGAGTGCAGCACAACGGAAGATTATGCGCTGCTATCACCCTGAGCAATACAAAGCACCTGGTGGACAAAGGGGTTCCAGCAGCAGAGACGGGCAATGTGATCATGCTGAGCAGTCTCTTTGATCGAGACAGGACAGTAGTAGGTACAGGTACCTAACATGTAGTGGAGAAGCTGCTATTACAGCTTCACTGGGCTGTCATTGCTTTAGATCGCGATTCTGAGCACGGCCCGCTCTAGTTTATCCATCGGCATTGAAAGGACAGAGGAGACTAGGAGGTAGTGGCCGAAGCCAGTGCTCTCGTCTATACCCTCTCACAGTGCTCTCGTCCATCTACCTTCTCGTCTATCTTCTCAAGTAACCTGTCGATCTCTTGTGGCCTCTCTGGCTTAAACTACAGGTAGGTAGCGGGATCAGGACATGAAATGAGAAAGTTGGGTAATCTGCCAGTCTGTGCCAGAGCAGCAGCCGTAGCAACCCGTACGCTGCTACTCCGTCCTCCCGATTTGCGCCAAGCAGTTGGGCTGAAGGTTCGTTCCTAGGATTGCGGCCTCACTTGGGTCAAAGCCGTCGGGCAAGGGGTCGCAGCACGGTATGAAATAACAAGCGTTCGATCTGCTCCAACCGTCCACTGGTGCAGGGCGGAGGCTCGAGAACCAAAAGGGGAAAAGGCTCGAAGACTCGAAGGCTACCTTAAAGTGATTTAAAAAAACAAAGTGTAACTTAACGACCTTCTAGGAGGTATGGAGTATGGACTTGTGGAGGATTCACTTGGAGGCTGCTGAGTCACGGATTCAGGTTCGGCAATGAATAAGCAATCCTTGCCACTGGGTTGAAGAGAAGAAGAGCTTTGTCAGATTATTTTTTGAGAGTGGAGCGCCATTGTCCAATCGGTAAGCTTGCCGGACTCTAAGCTCGTCGGCCAGAATTTGGAGTGAGTGGATGCGGAGTCCAAACAGTCATTTAGGTATTTGGTAGTTTTTACCGACCAGCACATTTCTAATTCTTGTCTCTTCTGTCCATCCTTCTTGGTCGCCCGACACACGATCGACCTGCCCTTCAGCGTGCTGTCATTGGCACTCCAGGAGTCTTCACCGCCTTCAATCTAACCCAGCTCCTGGGGTCGCCTCTCCTCGACCGCCGCTGCCTCCGCCGCTGAAAAGTCACTACCGGCAAACAACACGCTCGACATTTCTTCGCGCAACAGCTGAGTCTCTGCACAAAGATGACCTCGCAACAGAATGGCACCGCTGCCAATGGAAAGATGGGACACACTGCGAAGCGGAGCTCAGGACGAGTAGTGCCAGCCATCCCCTTCAGCTTGATCAGGCCAGCGCACCAAGTCAAATCGCTCCCGAAGCAGCACGATGGCACTGTGAAAGCCGCTCCTGCGCTCACAGACCCGCAAACTGTATCTGAGCAGGGACAGAATGGCGGAAGCGAAGTTGAGCAGCAGGCTCGCGGTGTTGAAACGCAAGAGGCGGATCACTCAGTGAGAATCGAGCAGAAGCAGCACCAAGAGCACGAAGGGCGGGAGAAGACACGGTCGTCGACAGAGACGCCTATATCGCGAGGCAGCGCTGTCATGTCTCTGTCCAACGGAAGCACACCCGAACATGTGGCTAGCCAAGTTCTCGCGCAGCGCGATGTGCTTGCAAACGGCCAGGCGGCAGCATCCAGTCCTGCGACCACATCCAGTCCGACATCAGGACGATTTGACATGCGTCAGACCAGAGCCGAGTTACCGCCTGCCTTCATTCCGTCAGCAGTACAAGAGCTTTCCGTGTCCGCTGCGTCTTCACAGCGTCGTCCATCGAATCTGTTCCAGGGCCTCCCAATTCACCCTGGCACGAGCAACATAGTCTTTGGTGGCAACGAGTCCACAGGATCTTCGCCAGCGCCTCCTCCTGGTGCAGGTTCTGCCTTCGTGCCTCCACCAACCATGCACCATGGCCATGCCCATCATGCGTCTGTACCACATTCCCAACGCTCCCAGAATGGGAATCACGCCACGCCGTCATGTGCAGCACGACAAGTTGCTGGACCACATCGTCAGTCAACTACCCATGTGCCGTTCCATTATTCATCACGCGATAATTTCGCCCCCAATGGGCATGCGGTAGTAAACGGATACGGACCGCGGTCTCGTTCTGGCTCTCACGCCTCGTCCAGAGCTGGCGTCGAATTACAATCACCGTTGTCCAACGATGTGGATCGATCTATGGACAGCGGCAAAGTCATGTACCCCGACAGCAAGCCACTTTTCGCCAATCGACACTTTTCGCCTTCTTTCCAACAGCACATGCAGCCAGCTCCGCCGAACTTCCCACATCCCGAGATGGCAGCTGGTTTTGAGAATGCGGAGTCCATGCGAGATCATGTTCTGTCACAGTTTCAGAATCCCGCCCTGACCGATTGTAAGCTTTTGGTATTGGAGCACGATGGATCTGCGCGCTCCGAGCTCGACTGCCATAGGCTCATCCTGGCCCGCAGTCCGCGACTACTCGAAATCATCATAAACAACTCTGAGGGTCCTCATGAGAACAAGTCACAAGTGCAGGTCCAGCTCACAGGCCCCCGTGTACGCACAGGGCCTTTCGTCGATGCTGTCCGATATCTCTACGGCGGTCAACTTCCACCTTACGACCTGTACAATCTCGCACCGACCGCTTCGACAGAGGACCGAGTGGAGGTTGCCTTGCAGTACATCGCGACAGGAGCGTGGCTCAAGATTCATGCTGTAGCTCAACGTGGAGTGGAAATTGCTTCGAGCCTGTTGCAATGGGATACCATCACGCGAATTCTCGCTTTCGCTCTCGATGGTGGACTCGGCCAGGGGTGGCCGATAGAGTATGGTAGCGAGAAGATGGGCACATCTTCAAGCAATGACCATTTCGCCAAACCGGAAGCTGGTGGCTCCCCGATCCACGAACCACACTCGTCTGCTCTGCTTGGCAGTGTGCTCGAGTTTGCTGTGCACAATTTGCCCCCCAACTTCTATATGGACTCTTCTGCACCTCAGTCCGACGCGTGCCCTCGATTGCCATCCTACCCACAGCATCACGAGAGCAAGACTTCATTATCCGATCCGCGATTGAGCAAGATCCGCTTTGGAGAGATGTCCAACGAGAACGACGGTCACCAACGGCCGTCTTTTGCGACCACTATTGTTTCCAGCATCTTGCTTTCACTTCCATTCCCTCTGCTGAAGTGTCTCCTGGAGCATCCTGCCCTGGCTGGCCGTCTCGGCACCGACACTGTGGGCAGCATCATGCGTCAGGTCGTCCATGAGCGCGAGAATCGCCGACGAAAGACACTCAAGAGCCGTAATTCCAGTCGCATTGACGAGACTGCCGATTATCAGCAGGTCCAGAATCTGTACTGGGAAGAGGTTGTGGAGCCGTCCCCTCTGACACGAGCCGGCTTGCGTCTGGCACGCCGCCGAAGAGGTATTGACACACCTCCGAGCTCTGCTGATACGGATGTCGCTCAGTGAGCAATTTTGCTCGATTTCTAAAAGAAAAAAAAAACAAAGCTTTAGTTTGTGCGTCGCCATGAGTGCGATTTGTCTGTTGCATAGCAAGCGGGAGGCGTTACATGATGATGGGACGGGCTTTTTCAAGATACCTATATGCAGCGCTGCGACTGATGCTTGGATGATGAATTAGCGGCGTGCATATGGGAATGGAAAAGAGATGATATTGGAGCGTTTTGAACCACCACATGGTTCGGGAAGGGATGTTGGCGCGGCAAAAGTGTTCCAGGGCCTCGTTTGGGCTTCACATGAATGACAGGGAGGATCGCGCACAGGCTGCATTGTATGCCAATAGTAATTGCTCTGCTTTGTCTGGGCAGATGGATCAAGCTACCTCCGTTTATAGCACATCAAACCGATCAATACGGCTGATTCGGATAATGAACGGGGTTGATAATACCATCTTTACTGGTCGAAGTTCGCGCTACTGTGACATTGATGCTATAAGGTAGGCCGGTATATACGATCGCTTATACGATAACTTATACTGCCCTCGAGTTCCCCCCTTCTGCTAGATTGATGGGCACCTAGGTAGGTAGTAATATATCGCTTGGCGCTGTGCCAAGTCCATGGAAGTCCAATGACACGTGAGGTCAAAAACGAATGCTAACCTTTTCGGAAAGTGAATCTTCTCTTCCCTTTCACGACCTGTACCTGACTTCCCCTCATGAATCCCGTCCATTGGCCCCTGTTTTGACCTCAATCACGGGTGGGAGGCAGGCAGAGTGTCCGGTCCGGTCATCTGCACGCCTGAGAACATCCACTGCTGTGATCAACCTGTTTCTGCTGTGAACTTTATCAGAATGACGTACAGCTGGTTGATGTATCCACATCGAAATGGCCAGTACATCTAGTACATACCTATATGAATACCAGGTACATACCCAAGATAGGTACAGGGTATATAACAGGTAGGTCGATATTATTTTCGGAGCCTTCGAAGCAGTTGAATCTCCCTTTTTTTTCCTTTTCCTCCACACTTGGGAGACAAAGATGTCGTCGGATCAAGAGTCCTCCGAACAGCAACAGTCTCAGCAGCAGCAGCAAGACGAGCAGCAGCCAAACCTGTCTCGAGGAAATGGTCCATCAGAAGCTGAAATCAGACAAGAGTCCTCCCGAGCTGCCGAAAAGGCGCTCGCAGCACAGAATAAAGCCAACGAGCTGAAAGAAGCTGCCAAAGGAGCAGGCGATGCGGACGAGCGCCAAAAACTCATGGAGCAGGCCATCGATAAGCAGATTGAGGCAGAGTCGCTCGGCAAGACTGCAAAGTATATGCGAGGAGGTGCTTTCCAAGGCATGTGTGTCGGTGCAGGTCTGGGAACAGCACCAGGACTCACGCTGGGAACATTAACGGGCACGATCGTTGGGGGTCTCACATCTGCACTATTGGGAGGTCTGGGAGCCGGGGTGGGAGGACTCGTCGGATGGGCTCATGGGCCGTTTTGGAATGTGGGTGAAGTGCTTGGGAAAGGCATTCGAAAGGTTACGGGTGATTTGCCGAGCTGGAAGGCTACGGAGGACCAGAAGAAAAAGTTGGAAGAGATGATTGCACAGGCGAATAAAGAGGAGATGCCAGGTACGAAAGAACTTAAAAGTATGGCAAAGGATGGTTGGGACGGTGCCAAGCACCAGGGGAATTCGTGGTATCAGACTGGAGCGTCGTATATGCCTGGAAGTCGACCTGATGCTACTGGCAAGGCGCACGATGGAGCCGGGCAGTCGAATGGATCCGCCAAGCAGGATGATGAGCCAGTGCGTGCGAGTCCGGATACTGTTGAAGCTGTGAGGCAGGCTAGTACGTATTCTCATAATACTGGAAATCCTCGGCCAGATACAGCCCCTAAACCTGGAGTGACAAAGACAAACACTTCTTCGAAGCCGTCGCAAGCGGACCCGGCGCATGCACGAAAGCAACCTCGAAAACTGGAGAGACGGTCAAATGGATCCAGTCTACAACCAGAGCAACGCAAACCCCGCAAGCTCGAGGTTCGTTCGCATTAGAAGGCACTCTTTGGGTCTCGTTCATATATCATCATCAATGCCGAACAGACGATGCACATCTTCAACGACATCCATCGGACCGTCCATCTCGGCGACAGGATCGGCATCGCAGGTCTGGAAAATCCAGCCTTGTGTCGCCGGCAATGTGACATGTCGCCGCGGGCTCCACAAAGCTCATAGTTACACACTTTCGGCGCTGTGACTTGACATCCTCGTGCCACGATGTGACTGTACTCGCAACAGGCAACCGAAGAATTCGAATCTCTTATCATCGCGATACAAGTTCTAATCACCGCGTTGAAGAGTTATGAAGGTGCGTGCCATTATGGTGGTGACGCACGATTCGCTTCTTCATGAAGTTGCGTTTTTGAGGGGACTTGCATGGAGAAGGGGGAATTGGCTGTGAGTAGCAGACCTGATGATGAAGAGAAGAGTAGTGAGGATGACGAGGCGGAGGGGCAGAAGAGGAGGAGAAGAGGAGGAGGAGGAGGAGGAGGAGGAGGAGGAGGAGGAGGAGGAGGAGGAGAACAAGAGTCCTGTATCGTCTTCCAAAAGGAAAACCTGTCAGAGACATTCAGACTCGAAGGAGATGTGGAACAGTATGAGGAGATTACTGCGCAGAGCGCCACGAAGGTAGGAAAGAGGTGATGACTTTCCCGCCATTTCTCTCTTCCCCTTCCAGCTGCGTAGAAGTACAATATCTATATCAGCAGGTATCTCCTGTTTCCACCATTTCCGTCAGCTTGTCAGATGCAAGAATAGGAACTACCTAGGTACTGTAATTGTCAACTCACGAGGTGGCTGTTCTTCGGCTCAGGTAGGTTGAAGCAAAAGCAAGTCCCTGTAACAACAATAACAACAACATCAACACACTAAACTGTTGACATAACAACAGCAATAAGAGATGAGGAAGGTACGTGTAGGTAGCAAACTTCCACACATTAGCTTCGAGATGTGACTGTTCGAGTGAGTCAAACAAGAATCATAACTACAACGTCAACAACAACAACAATACTGAAGAGACGGACACAGACAAGGACACCAACAGAATCAATCAATCAACATGACATCCCCATCCACTTCCATCACCTCCACCTCCTCTGCAGGATCTGCAGTAGCAGGTGATGACATGGTTGACGCGTTGGAGAACCTTGACCTGGATCCATCATCAGCATCATCAGCATCATTACTCTTGCGCGATCGAGAGGATAGTGGCCAGAATTCTACTACTGCTATCGGCACCGATACGACGAGAGTGGTGGAATTACCTTGTGGTCATGAGATTCGGATGACGAGGGAGGAGATGGAGGAGTTGGAGAGGCGGGAGTTGGAGAGGGGGGATATGATGGACGAGGATGAGATGGACGAGGATGAAGGGTTTCGATGTGAGGAGTGTGGTGAGTTGGACTTATTTTTCCCTCTTTCTTTTTGTGTGTGTGTTCATCTTCTACGACGACGACAACAAGGAATGATGCAATGTTTACTGACTTTTCGATCTTCTTTTCTTCTTCTGTCTCTTCTCCATAGATGAGCGAGAAGCATGGAAGAGTCTCGACGGGGAATTAGACAGCCTTGAAGTCCAAGTCATCAACACGTGCGTTCTTCGACGAATTCTCCCTGTTGCAGCGGGGAGTTTTGGGCCATGGGAAGACATCTTGCCGATGATGATGCAGCAGCAGTTCGCGGAGATGTGCACGACCGCTCTGCATGCAATGGGGCAAGGGCTTCACGCCAAAGACGTTCTGATAGGAGCGCTACCAGCAGATTTGAGTGCGTGGATGGAAGACTTGAGTCTGAGGGCACTTCCTCCTCCTCCTCATCCTCCGCCGCCGGGTTGGTGGAGACAACTTTTGCAGGCCTGGATCCGGCGGAGCATCAATTTCTTGATTCGGAGGCGTTGTTGCGATGCGTTGAGCAGGTCGCCGGGGCATGCGGGTGTGCATTGGCATCTGGATGACCGTCGGATTTGGTGGACTGATCCGATGCAAATGGAGCCGATTGAGCTGTACTATGATCCCGAATAATCAATGGGAGCGGGAGCGGGATGCGTCGGATGATGTTGTGAGGAAGCTGTGGTGCTCGCTCCTGCTTTGTTTGTACACGCGCGGTGCAAGCTCACTCTCTCACTGTACTAGGTTAGGAGGTACAATACCTAGGTACCTTAACTTCACTTGCGAAATTCTGGTCAGGGGTACGCTTTGGAAGGTGGATCCAATTCTCGATGGCTCGTACCGGGTGTAGATAGGTATGCACCCAGCAAGTGCTCCATTATATCAGGTAGGTAGACGTGTGAAGCCTTGAACAATGGAAGAGAAGAAAAGGTTTCGGCGCATTCGGTGAGACGTGGAACATGGGAAAATGGGAATAGTGGGAATAGTGGGAATACCTTACCTATTCATCCTCGCCGCCTGTGCCTGATGATGATGACTACCTGACCTTATGTACAGTCACATACTGCATCTTGGGCGAGAAGAACAGGAAGTGATTTCACATCATCCCATCCATCCATACATGATACATTCGGTCGTGCAAGGGTGTCTATTATTACATTAACTGTACGGTACCTGTACCTATTGGCGGGAGGGCCCTGGTGATAAGAGTGACGCACTTTTTCATCTCTGCCCAAGGCAAGCCAGATTAGTTTCTACATACCTACCCAAGGGTACATGTATGGGCTGTATTGAATTTTGTATTGACGGGAATATTGAATGGCGGCATCTGCGGGGATTCAATGCAAAGTGGAATGCGCTGGCACGAAGCAAGTGAGTTGTAAGAGTACTACTGTACACGTCCTGCGCCGAGAGGTAGGAGGGAGAAGAATGGTAGATGTACGGTAAAAGTTGTTGATGATGGAGCGGAAAGTGGGACAACTGGGACGTCGTGAACTCTTCTCCTTCTAGAACTACCTACCTCCTTGACACTGTAGTCTGTGCCTAGAGGTATACCCGACCAGTGACCTACCTACCTACCTACCTACCTACCGACCTACCTACCTGTACCTACCTAATACCTATTACCACACTACCTGACCTGAACTGATCTGACCTGACCTTACCGACCGACCGACCAACCTACCTGACCTCGTCACTTCTACCACTTACTACCACTGCTACTACTACCTGTACTTACTACTGCACCACTCAATCCTCATTGTATGCCGTCCACCGCCGTGCTGCTTCAAGGTGCCGATTGCGCCCGCCTTTGTTCGTCGACATCACTGCTGCTCGTGACTTTCCGAAGTTGATGCGCTCGACTTCCCCATTCCAGGTAGCACGACCTCTGTGATCCCCCTCGCCCGCCTCGCGCAGCTCCGCCCTGCCTGAATCCACGCCGCGGTGCAGTGGAGCCAGCAGCAGCAGCAGCAGCAGCAGCAGCAGCAGCAGCAGCAGCAGCAGCAGCAGCAGCAGCACTAGCAACAACAGCACTACTAGCAACAGCAGCAGCAGCAGTGGTGTCGGCGCTGCGAGTTTGCGCCTGTGCAAGGACAACAACTGGTCGAGCAAGCGCTAAAAAGCGTCAGGGTACGGCCGGCCTTCATCTCTGGTTCGAACCGCTGCGCTGGGCTGAGACGACCGACTGAGACCACCGTCTGTCAAATGGACGTTGCTTCTTTGGAAACCACCCATAGACACACCCTCTCCGCCCTCAACCCGCCGCTGCCGCCCCCGCCCACCGCCGACCCGCCCGCGACCACCATTCCGAGCGAGAAGCAGCGCTATGAGAGCCAGGTAACGGCGTCGTCAGCGAGCAGCGAGCCCGTGCAGCAGCACACCCCGCGAGCGACAGCCTCGCAGCAGCACCAACAACAGTCTCCCACTACGCCGTCTGCCCACTCCAAGTACGACGACGCCTATCACCAAGCCTCGCAGTCCATCGCCTCGAGGGCGGCGTCTATGAGCATATCCACGCCCACGTTGCAGCATCACCCGGCGCGTCAGCGTTACGCGACAGACATGGACTACAATGGCAACAACCACATGGATGTGGATATGGATGCGGACCCGTTCAACCAGCAAAAGTACTCGCGTCCGCCGACCAACTCGAGTGGACTGTCCTCGCAGTATTTACCCGTACACACACAGGATGATGGCAGCAATCGGGCGCGATACTCGCCCATGAACACGTCGCCCACCGCATTTACGAGCCCTCCACAACAGCAGCAGCAGCAGCAGCAGCAACTGACGCCGAATCCCGTGCAGTACACCTCGTATACACCCCAGCAGGCCGCGCGTCAATCGCCTCATAGACAGAGCCAGAGCCAGTACGCTTCGCCCACACAGCAGGGAAGATACTATGCCTCCCCGCCTGCCTCAGTGCGAGCGCACACCAACCAATTACCGCCACTGCAATCGAACTTGCAGTCGCCGACATCCTTTTACCCACAGTCTGCTACGCAGCAGCTGAATGCCGTATTTGGCCACGACGCTCCCGAACCGGAGAAGAAGACGCCGCAGCAGCAGCAACAGCAGCAGCAGTCAGCGCACGGCAACAGCACAGTTCCGCAGTTCTCTCGAATATACAACGCTGCTGACTTGCATTGCCAAGTCAATGCGCAGCCTCCTTTTAGGAGAGCGAACCCAGAAGGTGGCTTCATCAGCCCGCTGCAAGCACTGACGACGCACCTACCGGCGACGTATCGAATATGCAACCCGGCATTTCAGTACGAATCCTCACGAAATCCGCGAAGAGTGCTCACGAAGCCGAGCAAGGGTGTCAAGAATGATGGCTACGATAATGAGGACAGTGACTACATTCTCTACGTGAACGACATCCTGGGGTCAGAAGAGACGAACCACAAGAACAGGTACTTGATTCTTGATGTGCTAGGACAAGGTACTTTCGGACAGGTGGTCAAGTGCCAAAACTTGAAGACGCAGGAAGTGGTGGCTGTGAAGGTCGTGAAGAACAAAACGGCATACTTCAACCAGAGTATGATGGAAGTGTCGGTGTTGGACCTTCTGAATGGCAGAATGGACAAGAATGATGACCACCATATTCTGCGCTTGAAGGACACCTTTATCCACCGACAGCATCTGTGCTTGGTCTTCGAGCTGCTGTCCGTGAACTTGTACGAGCTGATCAAGCAAAATCAGTTCCGAGGGCTGAGCACCACACTGGTCCGGGTGTTCGCACAGCAATTGCTCAATGGACTGTGTTTGCTCAGCAAGGCAAAGCTGATACACTGTGATCTGAAGCCAGAGAACATTCTGTTAAAAAAGTGAGTGCGCCTCCGTCCCCCCCACCCCCGTTGTTTTTTGCAAGCAGCCGCCGCTGACACATTGGTGGGTAGCCTGGAGAGCCCGATCATCAAGATTATTGATTTTGGGTCTGCCTGCGATGAACGACAAACCGTATACACGTACATCCAGTCTCGCTTTTACCGATCACCAGAAGTCTTGCTCGGTCTGCCCTACTCTGCCGCGATCGATATGTGGTCGCTGGGTTGTATCGTGGTGGAACTGTTTCTGGGTCTTCCATTGTTTCCCGGTTCGTCGGAATATAACCAAGTCTCACGAATTACGGAAATGCTGGGATTGCCGCCCACGTGGATGCTCGAAGTCGGCAAGCAGTCGGGAGAGTTTTTCGAAAAAGTACACGATGAATTTGGGCGGAGAACGTACCGACTGAAGTCGATGGAGCAGTATTCTCGGGAGCATGGTACGAAAGAGCAGCCGAGCAAGAAGTACTTTCAGCAGACACGGCTGCCAGATATCATCCGAGCGTACCCTATGCCCAGGAAGGGAATGAAGCAGAACGAGATGGAGCGAGGTATGTTTCTGCAGTGAAGAGAAAGAGAGTGCCTGAGAGCGAAGAGATTCTGACAGTGTGACAGAAATGGCCAATCGTGAGGCTTTTATCGACTTCGTCCATGGTCTCCTCAACATTAACCCACTCGAGCGATGGACGCCGCAGCAAGCACGTACGCACCCTTTCATCACACAGCAGAAGTTCACAGGGCCTTTCCAGCCACGCATGGATCTCAAGCCGACATCGCGGTCGCCCGCACCGGGTGTGCAACAGCAACAACAGGCGGAAGCTCTGTCCAGACAACGGCAACAGCAAGCGCAGGCGGCACAGGTGCAGCAAGCTGCGAATGCCGCTTATGCAAATGCTATGCATGGCATGACGCCCAGTTATCCCACCACTCCCACCGCTGCGCAACAACAACATCAACAGCAGCAGCAGCAGCAGCAGCAGGCTGCGATGTACCAGAACATGTACAGCCCGAGTCAACAGGGCGCCCCTCCACCGTATCCTTCCAACCCCCCGGTGCAATCTGCCTACGGCCAGCAAATGCCCATGATACAACAGCCGCCTCCTGTAGCCGGCATGAATCCTTATGCGCAGCAACCCCCGCAGAACCTATATGCCCAAGCTACCACTCGGGCCGGTCGGCAACGAGCGAGCACAATGGATGGAAACGGGAATGTTAATGGCATTCCCTCTGCGCTCCAACGAGTGGTGAGCCACCTGGACCCCAACCAACCTATCAGGTTGCAACCCAGTCCAGCATACTATCCACCGCCCCAAGATGGACAATCAGCAAGTGATATCGGTAGTATCGGGTCGCGACGACGAGCGAGCCGAGCTGCCGGAAACGGCAGACAAGGAACAAGTGGTCAGGAACGCAATTTTGTGAGAATGCTAGAGGACCGGACGTTGGAGGAAGGCTGGAATGGCAAAAATGCGCAGTGGCCGGGCAGCAATGTATGAGTGACACAGTGAACGAAGGGCGCTTTATGACGAGCATGACGGAAATAATCGCATGACGGACAGCAGAATGAGAGATGAAGATGGTGGGTGGGGGAACAGGTGCTGGATGGGACAGCTATCATATCGTGCTATCGCTACCTTACCGCCGAGGCAGGACCCTGATGCCACCCGCGAAAAATCTCTCCATCACCGCGACGATAGCGAAAAGACATGATGGGAAAAAAAAACCTCCATCATATTCCATCATGGACGACGTGTGCAGAGACGCATGTTCGGATTGATGCTCTGCTCTGCTCGTGCGCCCAGGAGTGGATGTGAGGTGGTGGCTATAATGTATTCTCATGCTCCATGCTCCATGCTGGCGGCGACATACCTCAGGTATATATAGTAGAACTACCTACCTACCTACCCATCATCCATGCCTGGTGAAGGAGGAAGATAAGGAGCCCGGAAGAGGAGTAGAAGGAGTAGTTTGTGGATACGATCGAGTCAAGAGACTAAAAGACAAAAGACGTGGCGGTAAACAGGCAGACAGGGGTCTGGCACATGTGATTGATTGCCAGTCAAGTCAGTCCACCACTCCACCACTCCACCACTCCACCGATACCACCACCACCAGGAGCAGCAATTCGCATTGCTCCGGAAATCTCATTCTTGGTACTTGATACTTGAGTGAGGATGGCGAAAGAAAGGCCGAGAAAAAAAAAGCAGAAGCACAGCGGATGATTATCTCTTTTTGCCCCAAGCGAATGAAAAAGCAAGAAATGGGGGAGAGGGAGGGAAAGAGAGAGAGAGAGGGAGAGAAAGAGAGAGAGAGGGAGAGAAAGAGAGAGACAGCAAGAGGAAAGAACCACCGTCAAACTTATGATTCTGGGTGTTGTATTGGTAGTATCTTGTACATGCATGCTACAGTACGCATGCTTCTCCCTCTTGTTTCCTGCTCGTCCCGCCTTGAAAGCTAGAATTTCACATGTCATCGTGTCCACTTCAAAAAGACCCGAATTCGTACATTGTGTGCTTCTGCTCTGGTACATAATCTCAGGTGATGCCACGTCCATGAAACTGACCACTTGATCGCCGCGGCGGCAGCACCACGTGCGTCTGCATACATGCTATAAATTCAGGTCTGTCCCTGCTTGGTAGTGTAGTCGTGTGAGGAGCCACCAGTATCATGGGGATGTATGCGGACCCGCTGAGCTATCTATGCTCAGCTAGACACCATCTGGTCCATCCTTCTGTTATCGCAATCGACATGATTTCGTGTTCAAGGTGCCCGTTGCACTGGAGATCCGCTCCGAGGTGTTGCCATCGGAGTGGTTTCCACCGGAGCAGTCTTCGAGGAAGCTTCGTGCACACCCAGCACTGGCGTCGGGATGGGCTTCAACGGCAATGCAACCGCAGCCTTCGGTAAAACGACTCGTGGCTTCTGTCTCGCATTCTGTGATTCAGCGAGAGTGGTCTTCGCAAAGGCTGCCTCCACACTTGATAATGTGGCAGTCGTCGAGGTTGTAGGAAGAGCATCGAGCTTGGGCTGCTCCTCGGCTGTCTGCACAGCAGAAGCCGGTCCCGGTGCCTCTACTGGCTTCGCAGTTGTTAAGGGAAGGGCCTTTTTCGCAGCCAATTTCGCAGCCTGCGCTGCTTTGGCCGCTGCGGCATTCGTGGGTGCACTCGTCACCGGTGTGACAGTTACTGGCAAGATCTCCGTCTTGAGCTCGCGATTCTTCTTGGGCTTGGGATCCGGTGCTATATGACCTGTCAACACTGCTCGGCCCTTGTCTCACTGCCGGAGATCAGCACAACTGACCTTTTTCATTCTCTTGCACATAGAATCTCCTCAGTAGCATGATGGCCTCCTCGCGGAACAAGCCTCCGTAGCACGGGAAAGTACTATCGATCCCCGGGTCCGAGTGGACGTTCATCACTCCTCCACAGCCTCCAAAACGGTCGTTCAGACAACCAAAGTAGACAGCCCGAATACCATACTGTCGAAGAGCAGATCCGCACATGATACAGGGCTCAACCGTGACGTAGAGGTCGGTCTGATGGAGGATTGATTGCGGGTGTTTCGACATGATCTCCGCGAGGGCCACGAACTCGGCATGGCGGGTGCCCTACACGTTAAGTCAGCTCCTGAAGCAACCTCAGAGGGTGGTGACCAGCGGCACGGTGGGCCCTGCAAAGCCGGGGGAAGCGTGAATCTACTGACATTCAAACTCGCATTTGTACCGTTAATGCCCCTTCCAATGATCTTTCCCTCGTGCACGAATACGCAGCCCACAGGCGTTTCGTCCGAGGCAAGTGCAAACTCCGCCATGCCGATGGCCTCGCGCATGAAGCCTTCATGATACTCGCGGTCCGGGATGGGACCGAACACCATCTTGGCGGGGGGATCGCCTGTCGTGTGTGGATGAGGCGGCCGAAGAGGTCTGATATAGTTTTCGTCGCGCTAAGTTGCTTGCTGGCGCGCACTTCTTGTCCAAGTCGTGGTTATTGGTGCTGTTGCTGTTGTGGTTGGTGTTGTTGTTGCTGATGATGAGAAAGCTGCGATGGAAAGTCAGAGATGGTGTGATGGAGCCCGGGAACAAGCAGGAAAACATTTTCACCAAAAGTCGAAGGTGCGAGGCTCCACGGGATGCGGTGGCAGTAGCGAGCGCGACATTCACCAATTCGGCACCAAGCGGCAGTCACGAAACTGGTCATGGTACAGTACATTCACCTACCTGGTTAAGGTAGTAAGTACCTTGAGGCTCCACCAGCGCGTGAAGTTGAAAATGAAGCTAAAGTGAAATGTGTAACAGTACAACTACCTAGGTAGACTTAGTTCGTGGTGGATGTGACATGTGTGGAGCCTCCGCTGGACAGCGACAGTGACAGCAGCAGCAGCAGCCAGCCATCCATATAAACAAGGAAGTGTATGCACTTTCTCTTCATCAAGACATCGCCGTGTACGCAATTAACTAATGCTACAAACTACCTCGGCAAGTCCATGCCTCAGATGTACGTACGTGCTGCAACAGCTCACAGAATAGCAAGCATTGTGAGACTTCCGCGCCGCTCTTCAACGATAGCGCGAGTTCGGATAATGATAGCCAAAGCAAATGTCACCAGCTCCTTCGCTGTCCCGATACCTCCAAGTCCCCAAACCAATCCGTGAACCGTATCCCGTGTGCCCATGTTCCAAGTCAGTTGCTTCGCACTCTGCATCGACTGACCTCAACATCTTCCCATGAAACTCCTGTACGCCCCCAAATTTCCGTCCTGCTCCTGCGTGGAGAGGTACATACTCGCGATACTTCTGGTCGCCGGCAAATCGCCACTCGTCAAAAAGAAACAGAAACGCCGTCGTGGCTAGAACGTAGCAAAAACAAGTTTAACAAAGCAAACGAGGCGCCAAGACAGCGAGTGAATAGGCTTTTAGTTCTCTCCACTCATCCATTGACAGTGGCAGGCATTAGGGACGCTGCGCCTTTGCATCATCCTATTGGGAGTGCGGGCGCCGCGGTCATAGTCGGGATCCTGCTCGTCCAGCTGGACGATGACAGGCTTCCCATTATCGTCTGATATCCAGTTGGCGTGTCCATTATCCAAGATTTGATATTGTTGGCAGTAAGGCGTCGGCGCTCCCTCCACTCGTCGCTCCTCAAGCTTGACGAGAAAGGGAAATTGTGGCAGTTGAGTCCATTGGTCCACAGGGTTAGCAACATCGCCATCACCATCACCATCATCACGTTTCGGATGGCTCTCCGGTGGCCCTGCGTCCTTTGGGCCTTGCTTAGCTGCTTCCTTGACGGAGAAAGACCATGGTGTGAACCCCGAGGCTGGACCAGTGTACGTCGCCGTGGTCATTTTGTGCGTAAGAGTTGAAGTGATGATCGGTCCGCCGGCGGGCCGCCCTGAAGGGACAAAGGTATTCGCGACACCTGGACCAGTCGAAGTGGGAGTGGCTGTGGCCAGAGCTGGCGAAGACGGCGGTGACGTAGATGGCATGACACTGCTGTTACTGGTCTGAGTCATCGATGTTGTCGTAGTGAGTGATTCGGTGACATAAATGAAGCCTTCGAGCAAAGTCTCATTCCAAACGCAGAACCAGGGCTTTTCACCGGGGAAGGCACGCTGCTTCCGGCGTTGCCATGCCTCCGGCACTGACCACTCTGGACTGTACAACGCTCGTTTGCTTTTGTCATTGCTGCTGGTCGATATCGCCGCCTCAGGCACTACAACGACTTTGTCGTAGAACTGCTGGAAGTAGAACGCTGGGCCATTTTGTTTGTCGTCTTGGTCTTGCACGGTGAGGAATTGTGCAAAGCTAGTGTTCATGAAGGACAGCTGAGCACCGTATCCAATCCTCCAATCGTATGATGCATACTGAAGGACGGCTCCGAGTCCTTGCGAGTTCGGCGGCTGATCGACAATCATGGAAAGTGCGGAGTTTGGAGAGAGATTACAGTCCCATGCGAGCTGTTGATCCTTATTCGTCAGACAATCGCACTGTGTCTCTTCAGGCTCGCCCAACGAAAGGGCGTATGTGCCTGTTGGAGGTGCGCCTGAGGTTGGTGATGCGATGATGCTAGCATCGTACAGCGAAGTGACGACTGTGACTGGAGGATTTCTGCGCATGTCAGTCAGCATGTTTTTGAACAATTCGAATAAATCCACTCACTTTCCACGCATGTGGTTACCACCAGCGACGAATCCACCAACAACGCCCCCTAGCAAAGCCGCAACAAAGGCGATGACGCAGACAACGACTAAGATCCATTGGAATGCAACTCCACGATATCCGCCCACCGCACAGAATCTCGTTTTCCGTTTCTCTTTCCATGATTTCTTCTTCCAGCACTTCTCAGCGGTGGCGGTACTTGTGCGCTCAGCTGAGTCATTCGAGGTATTCGGTCGTATGAGAGCCTGGCCAGACATGCTGGACAGTCGAGAACCCTGCCGATGGAGTGTCGACACGTCTGTCATCGATTGTGGAGCCGGTGCCGCCGATGGCTGTATCATCGTGTGCATGAGTGGCATGCTGGGATCTGTGCCAGCCACTGGCGCCCTACTAAAGAGTGCTGTAGGTGCTGTCGGCATCAATAGCGGTGCCTTCTCTGGTGCATCTTCTGGATATCGTGTGTATGGTGGAAGTTGTTCCGTATGTCCGTCTTCGCCGATCAGGTCCTGATCTTCACCATCAGGGCCTAGCCGCCGGGTGTAATTTTGTCCCAGACCAGGAAAGCCTACAGGAACCGGATTCTGTCTTATCCCAAAATCATCTGGTTCGTCCTCATCATCGTCCATATCTTCTCCCACGCCTTGCGGATACATTGCATATGGATGTGCTGGCACATTGTTGGAGTAGGAATGTCTTGCCGAGGGCGCTACTATCGTAGATTGTGTGGCATTACTCAGCGTCCGCGCCGAGATCGCGGTCTGAGGGTATATGTTGTAAGGATGACTCGGGCCAGTGCCGAATCGTGGGCTATGCGTGGGCGCAAAGTGTGAGGAGGACGTCGAAGATATTGACCTCCGTACAATGTCATCTTGTTCGAACTCTAGGCTGTGATCTCGCGGCCCATTCGGCGACGCTGAATGTTCGTCCTCGGGACTCGCAAAGGGATTTTGGTGGGCGGTCGATTTCCTTGTCGAGTTTCTGTTGACGGATGCACTCATCGCCGGTGTTATCGTCCCTGGAGCGTAGTGCGCTGATATGCTGCGAATAGGGTGGCCGTCGACCACGTCTTGGCGCCCACCCTCCCCTTCACTTCTGTCGACATTGGGCCGGAAGCCATCGGCCACGCCATCCCACTCGGAATCATCGTCGACTTCGTGCTCGTCGCCAAACACATTGGCCCGCTCCTGTGTCGGTGTCGCGTCGCCGTCCAGCAGTGACCGTCTGTGTTCCATCATCCTGGCGTCTGTCACCGGCCGAATGGCCTGCTGCGCCTCCTCGACGCCAAAACGACTCCCTCTCCGTCTCGTCCACTCGTCCCGAGGCCGTCTTCGGTCGTCACGGCGCGGCAATGTGGTACGTGCGAGTCCTGGAGGGCGAAGAAGAGTAATATAGCGAGCGTGTTGGAGGGTGGTTGTGGTTCAATTGCGTGGTGTTGTGGTGTTGTGTGTGGTGGAAGACGACTGAGATCGCGAGTGGTGGGTGTGGAGCCTTCAGACTTGAGCACAGACCTGAATCCTTTCCCTGCCTGTCAAAACTCGTGTGATAGGTTCAATAATAATGGCTCTTTCCGAACGACTCTCTTATTAATGGATAATATCAGGTACATGTATGCTGCAAAGCCCAAGGTACCGCTGCATACTGCGACTGCAGACTGCATCAGGTATTATTGCTCTTCCACGCAGATTCCGTCTTGTATTCCCGAGACACCTCTTGCACGGCGCAGTGGCGGCAACAAGCGAAGCCTGAAGCGAAGAAGTCCTTTTTCTCCTGCAACAAGAGACGCTCCACAACATGGAGGTACTTCTCCGACATCATCCCTCCCTAGCGTGTCTACACCCACTGTGCACCCGTTCACTCGCTTGGCACACACTCTCTCCCTCGAGGTATGGAGGCGACGGTCTTTTCACATCGACGGGCTGGCCTGTGGTAACCGTCCCAGTCTGGCTATATAAGGCATGTCTGTGTGTTGTACATATGGTCATAGGCAGATGATCACAAATCGGATCCTGTTCAGCCCGGCCTCGGCTTATGAATATTCTAGGAGGTAGTAGAGCCCCCCTTTTCTTTCCTGTATGGACGCCAGCAAGACCCCGCGATTGATGGCATGAAGTTTACTTTACTCTTGGCTACCTTATGTACCGTAGGTATCGACACGCTCAATCATCAAACCGTGTACATCAATCAGCTCACGACTCTGGGCGACGCTGTACTTGCTTATATGCATATATGCTATGCAATCTGTGCATGGTGTGTGTGTTGGTGTGTGTCTGTGTTGAAGGCTCACCATCACTACTACTTCATCTCCATACGACAGCCATCGGGGACCACACAGCACGTTTCATCTTCATCTGGGATCTTTTCGAACAGTTCTGTAAAACACCGTCCGTAAAGCAGCGAACGTCCTTTCACAGGATACTGTCGCTGAGACAGAGGCTCAGATTATAACATCAAACACTCGTCACTTTCGTGCATTTGGTTCGTGAGAAGTGGTTTGACAGTTCTTCCGAATATCTACAGTCGGTACGGACTAGTCACAGAGTCAATGCCAAATTGGTATCTAATGCCTGTTCTAAACGCCCTCAATGCCCCACGCGCGAATGTTTCACGCCCTTCTTGTATCACATCTATTGCTTAATCTCGTACTTCCTGCGGAACATGTCATCAACCTCAGTAAGATAATAGGTACCTGGTGCAATGGTGTCGATGCTTCCTTGAGGCTTGTAGTTGCTCTTGAGGTGAGCCTTCTCGCGGAGGTTACAGAACTCCTCGTAGGTCTCTGGAGATACAACCCGACGGCCGTCAAGCTTCTTTTGCAGGTCAAGCTTCTCAGCAATCTCTTGAGTGCTGCCATTGACCTTGAGCGCGAATAGGGAAGACGCAAGACCAGATCCGTAGGAGAAGATTCCGAGGCGCTTGCCTTGCAGATCATCCGAGGAGACGTTGCTGAGCAAGGATACGAGCGAGGCATATACAGATGCGCAGTACATGTTTCCACACTGCGTGGGGACCTGGATGGCTGGCTGCACACGCGCAGCGAAGCGCTTCTTGGCCAAAGTCACAAACGTCTTCTCCACAGTCTTGTCCGATATCGATTGCTCGTATGTCAGACCCTTGATTTCTGCGGGGACTTCCTTGAAGATTTCCGCTTCTGGATTTGCCAGGTAATCATTGTACAGCAATCTTGCGTAGCTCTTCGAGACCAACTTGCAAGTCGGGGCGTGGAAGGCCATGTAGTCGAAACGATCCAAAGGTGTTTCCAGCTCTTTCACGCCATTTGCATGACCGTTTGCCTTGCTCTTCAACTGCTTCTCGCGAGCGTTGTACGCCTTGTAGCAAGCGTCAACTGCTTCAGTGTAGCACTTGATGGAATAGTGGCCATCCACGATGGGGTACTCGCTGGTCAAATCGGCCTTGTAAAAGTCGTATGCGTGCTTGACGTAGCTCCCACGCTGGCCTGGCTCGAATGCGATTGGGGCGTCTGGTCCGATGAGCATGGCAATACAGCCAGCGCCGCCAGTGGGTCTGGCGTTGCCCTTCTTGTACAGCGCGATATCTCCAGCAACGACAATCGCGTCACGTCCGTCCCATGCAGAAGATTCCACCCAGGCGACGGTGTTGAAGAGGGCATTTGTGCCTCCGTAGCAGGCGTTGACCGTATCTACACCCTCAATGTTGGTATTGCCAGAGGGCTCAAAGAGCTGCATCAGCACCGTCTTGCACGACTTGGACTTGTCCAAAAGCGTCTCCGTGCCAACTTCGAGTCGGCCAATCGAGTTGGGGTCTATGTTGTACTTTTTCATGAGCGAGGAAACTGCGGTCAAGGCGAACGAGTAGATGTCTTCTCGGTCGTCGCAGAAGCTCATCTTGGTCTGTCCGAGACCAATGGTATATTTTCCGGCGCTAACGCCATCGAACTTCTCAAGCTCTGCTTGATCGACACACTGCATGTAGCACTGTCAGCGTGTTGTCTGCCGGACAGACGGAATCTTGGATGCGACAGGTGCTAGCCTCAGAGTGCTCAGAGCGAGGAGAGGATTCCAATGGCTCTGCCTGCATCGCCCTGTATCGATGTGTGCCCACGACGTACCTGACTAGGGAAGTAGAGCTCAATGGCCTTGATGCCAACGTTCTGAGGTCGGTCCGCCATGTTGAATCCGCTGTATGGAAGGTGTGGTGTGGTCGCGTGCGGAAGCGTGCGAGGAGACTCGAATAATGCGGTGTGGAGAGAATTCAATCGTGGAGGGTCGGTCTGCTAGTTTTTGGTACTCGGGGCGGTCGGAGGGTACAACAAAGGATTTTTCTTGTAGCTCAACTTGTTACGATTGTTCACGTTGGACACGGAGCGAGAGGAGGGGGAAAACAGTGAGGTGTGTATGAATGAGAGAAATTCAGGGCATGATATCTACAGTCAGGTAGTTTTAATTGCGATTGCGCGTGTACAAGTACCTGGATCGTGCACGCACGATGCAGGGTGACCAGGGTCCAAATCGAACCATCCTCAACGTACGATTTTGCTTGGAAGAGGGCGCACGCATGAACAGTTTAGTTTTAGTGTCTCCTAGGCGACGGTACCTCCTAATCCCACCATGCTTAGTCACAGGGACTTGTTTATAACGTCCATACAGATGATATATCATATAGTACATGCAGCCCGTCTAGGGAGGAGGATACCTGGTGTAGTCCCCCATGCCACTCGCATGACTCGTACCAGACTGTTCGTACTTCTCCTGGATAGGTTGATATCAGATGACATCCTTATCCTTTCCACAAGGACGATAACGACCCTTGCCCAAGACAACAAGCACCGCTTAGCCAGACGTTGTTTGTTGCTGTATACAAGGTCCGAACTGTTTCCACACCCACAAGAAGCTGGCTTAGCGTGTCGTTTGCCTTTGCGATGCGATTTATCACGCGGTACGATCAGATCCGTAGAGCACGGAATGATGACATATTTACAGAGGACAAAGTCAAACAAGACGAGATCCAGATATGTACATACATGAGAGAATTGGACGTCAAATTTGGGTCATGTAGATGGTGGAACATACATGTAGTCGCCATCATATCCCTCCTCTTACACGACTAGACAGCGTAGCAACGCAAAACGAAATAAAAAAATAAAATAAAAAGGAACCTCTCTCCTCCCCATCGAACGCACCCTGAATCATCGGCTTTGCCTCGAGTCTCCCCCCAATAGCACTCCTCCTTCTCCTCCTCCTCCCCCTCCAACTCCCTCCTCTCCCTCCTCCTCGCAAACACCCGTGTTTTCCATTAGGTAAGGTAAAAGTCTCACATGTCTCCACCTTTTCTCCCACTGCATATCTATCAAATTAATGCTAGGAGGTTACCTTACCTTATGCTGCGTGCGCAGAAGCCACCTGATGCATCATGATAGGTACCAAATGATGATGATGATGATGATGATAACCCACAAAATGATTCAACCCAAGCTGGGGAAAAAAACAAAAGGAAACTGGAAATATACCTTAATCATGTTCCAAGGGAAATAACTACATCATCATCATCATCATCATCATCAGACGAGACATTTTGGCAATATTGGGATGAGGGAGTGGTGTAAGGTAGGCAGCAATAAACGGTCACAGCAAGAATCGGCTGGACTCGACACGGAATTCAAGAAAAAGTCTCCTTGGTTCCTGTACACTAGGACTGTCGATTTGCTATACAAGCTACATGTCTCAAACTACATGCATACCTACAATAGGGTGGAAAATAGCGGCGTCGTTAATGCATCATCACATAGACCAAGTGTCGCGTTTAGTAGCCTGTCGGCTTTTCTTCAGACTTTGCAAGTGCCGCATCGACCAATTTGGGGAAGTTTGGCGTGCCAAACCCAGTCACAGCATCCCATCCAGCTTGCGCAGGGAATCCGTCCGTGTCACAACCGAAGCTAGAACCAGAAAGGACGTCGGTCAAGGCCTTATAAGCACCAGAGTACAACCACGGGTTCAGGAAACCAAGAGTAGGCTTCCCTTCAGCCAACAGGGCATCGTTGACCAGCGAGATGATCGCAGCGACTGTAGGCGAAGATGCAGAGGTACCCCCGATAGTGATAATGTCTCCGTTCCACACAATGGCGTCACGGTTTGACTGGGCGGAAATATCTGGGTAACCTCGGCCGGTCTTGTTGTAAAGTCCATCGTGAAGTCCCTTCAAGCTGTCAATGTAGGCCTGGACGGTCGCGTTCTGATACTCTGGTGCCGGAAAGTAGTTGCTGAAGCCTCCGCCGGAAGCGAAACGTTGAACGGCAACTTCGGGCTCGAAACCTTGAGTTCCGCCCACGGTTGTCACCCAAGGGCAAGACTATCAAGAATGTCAGCTTCTGGTTCCTGTGATGACGAGATTTGATTTTGACTTACAGCTGGGAAAGACGGCAAGAACATCTCAGTTTTCTTTCCATCATTACTGAAGCATGTGCCGTCGCTGCCCACACCAGAGTCGCCAGAAGAGAAGAAGAGCGAGATACCTCTCGCTCCAAGCTGGGCAAAGCTAGAACAAGCTCTCTCTGCATACGATTGCGGCACAGTCTGCTCATCATCGCCGTAACTGGTGCTGATGACCTGTGGCAAATCGTCGCGATCCAGAATAGAGTCGAGCCAGACGAGGTACGGCTCATTCGTGTCGGTAGGAGTGTTGATATCTGGAATGAATGGAGGGCTGCCGCCAGTCTGCCACACTTCGAGAGGTGTTGGATATGCTATTGAGATCATGTTCTCTGAGTCGAGAACAGCCTCCTCGTTCTTGCCTGCTCTCACTTGAGCATCAGTATATGGACCTTGGTCGTTGTTACCGTCAGCAACAGTGGTGATGTTGAACGAGTCCGCTGCCTGTTTACGTGTTAATCATGAACTCGTGGTCCCAGCGCAGAAACTGAAAAGAAAAAAAGAGCATACCGAAACAGCTTCGGGTCTGAAGTTCTGGAGGGCCTTCTTAATGTCTTGGCGGTAGCTCGTCTCGTTGAGGTAATTGGTGTGGCCCATTTTGTTCTTGCCCGGCACCTGAGGCTTGTAGTCGTAGGTTCCGTAGAGCGTCCGCTTGCAGTCCGGAGTAGTGAAAGAAATGTTACAGATTTCGCTGATAGGGCCTGCTCCGGAGCCTCTATAGGCTGGCGGCGGAGCGAAAGCCTTCTTTCCTTCATTCTGCCACCAAGAGTCGGAATACTGGATGGTGTCCCGTTGCAGGGACGTAGCTCCGTGGGAGGTTGCCTTTGTGCGGAAGAACGAGTTGGTTGGCTGCACCACGTCGATGTGCTCGTGTAGGTGTCGAGGAAGGGACCACTCCGGGGCTCTCGCTAACGTCGACCCATCCTCGTGCTCAAAGACCGAGTACGAAGTCTGCAGGAGCTCTTCTGCCTTCTCGATGGGAACCAGGACGTGGATGGTGTCCTTTGCAGCGTTGTGCACGCCTTGAATGCCATGCTCCTCCAACCAGCTCTTGACCAAATCCTGGGTCTCCTGTGAGGGACGGACAATGTCCGCAATCTCGGCTGCCGTGAGATGTTGTCCGTAACGAGCGTGCGATGGGTCCGACACTTGGAGCAGATGCTCCTCGATAGCACCCTGATTCTGCTGCTTCAAGCCGATGGTGAGGTGCACTCGGTCAGACTTGCCTGCCTCGCCCACTCTGGTCCAGCCTCTTGGCACGGGATGGTATTCCTTGACAGCGTACGACGAGCGCGGGCTCTTTGGCAGAGCATATGCAGCGGAGATGGTGCCAAAGGCACACACAATGCTGGTGAAGAGCATGTTGGGGGGCAGGAACTAGGGAGTGCCCTACTACTGCTGCTCGAACCTGAAAATGATGAATGGCTCTGGGTGCACACTCCAAAAGGAGAGCGGCTGCCACATTTTGTATCCATGGTACCTGCTTCGTTGCATTGCAAATGCGCACGCTAGCGCAGGACGGTGGATATGGGTAGTGCCTTGCAGCTCTCAGCTACGTGACTTCTTGTTCCGCCGTTGGTAACGATTCGTAGCGGGTCCAAGTAAGGCACTGGAGTGCGAATCTCAATGAAGCAGGAGGAGGGTGCGCTGCTGCCGACCGTATCAGATCGCTCGCGGAGAACGGCGACTGGTCCATAGGAGGTAGTGCGCCTCCCTTCTCGCCGTCCATGGATTTCTGTGATGTCTGTGACTTCGCTTGTCGCTGTTGCCGGCGGGGCAGCACATGATCACCATCATCGTCCTCCTCCATCCTCCATCAGCCTGCCACTCGAAATCCAGATGCGGCAGGTGATAGGCACGTCGGCGGACTGTTTGCACAACAACTGGTTGATGGGGTGAAGTGGAGCGCAGCAGGTCGGAGCTTGATACTGTGCCTGGCTAGGCTTGTGCGAGCTTATCTTCCTGCAGTGTGTTCTAGTTTGGATACTAGTGGCTTGACGGGATGCTTAGCAAGACGGTGTGCTTACTAAGGTAATCGTGAACTGCAGTACCTCCACAAGGTACTGTACTACCGGTACCTACCTAGGTAGGTACATATCTGTACCTTCACTGCATCCACCTCCAAGTCGATTCTTGGGCGCCTTTTGAGGGCAGTGAGAGCAGAGGGCGAGAGTGTTTCTGCATCCCGTTGTCTATCCATATCTGGTCGAAGCCTGATAACCATGTGGCAGTAGTCAATGCAATGGATTTAGTCAAATGGTCAATGGAAGAATACCTGAGGTGATGAGAAGTTGATAACTTCTGTGTGGACCTCTTTCCTTATTGAGCTTTAGGTCAAAGCCTATTTTACAGATGGCGGCTTGGCAAACTCACCATGACGCCATTTACCATCGCCTCCCGCAATTCCACCTCGCTAGGTACGGAGGTACATGTAGGTTCAGGTTGGAGTCCATTTCAGCATACATCTTGTACAAAGTAGGAAGGTAAGCTATATCATCACATGCCCACCATCTGCCGGTCCCGACTACCACGAATGAGCCGCTCCGTAGGCATGTTCTCCCCTTTCCCACCTCTTTGCAGATGAAACATAATTCATCTATTCCTCCCCCAACGAGACTGAATCTACCTCCTAACGTGAAGTGCGTAGTACCAGACCGCTGCCCGCCAATGCCAACAAGCCACACTGGTACCTTAGTTCTAGAACCACCGCGGCAAGAGTCGTGACGCGGCGCATCTAAACTTGACATGGGTCGCCGCCAACAAAGGCCTCACAATCCGCCTTGTTGGGTCCAGCACACACTCCGGCACAGCAGCATTCTTGTTTATCGGGCCCATACTGTCTTGCTGCAGTGATTTTTGATCCGGGGTAATCTTTTGCCCACATGTCGACACAGAACGTCAGACATCCATCGTCCGAGGTTACAGAGCAGTCGCACAATTTGGGAGGCGATGCTGTAATATTGTTTGCTAGGCAGTGAGGATCGAAAACGCCTGTAAAAGGGTTCGTAGCGTCCGCGCAAGGTTTTTGGCAGTCGTCGTCGGTCTTGCACTGTCAGGTTTTGTTAGTCGGGTCGCTCGTATCTTATTGACTTGGGCACTTACTTCTGCATTGATGAACTCCGAAGTTACAAGTCTAGAGCCGAAGGCCGCGGCTAGCAAGACGTACTGCGAGAGAAGCATGATGTCTGGATACAGTCTTGGGGGATGTCGATGGAGTAAAGCTAACCTTCTGGTATGATTTTGGGGGAGATTCTCGAAGAAGGGGAATCCGCACGTCTCTTATGAAGATTGCTTGATTGTGTCTAAATCTACCAACGCCAATTTTCTGGGTAAGAGGTCAGACAAGGAACAGACGTTGGTGTTGTTCATCAATTTCTTTTGGCTTTCGCCGAGCAGTTCCCCAGCCAAATCCGTAGGACAATTCCCCATGTTGATCCCCTCATTCCCCTGTATGCCATCTTCCCGGGTCCGCCACCCCTCAGGATCAGGTGATTATGATCAATTGCAGACAATGCAAATTGCAGAGCATGATTACATGTATTTGCTTTCCCAAGGACTCAAGGACCCAAGACATGAAAATCTACGGAGCATGCTGGAACCACATGTACCAACAGGATGCAAGTGTATAAAGCCTATAAGGTATTGAATGTATCGCACCGGGTCACCGACGAGAGTTATTTGTCCGACACCAACCTGGAACCTTGGTGAAGTATCGTGGAAACATAAGGCTACCACAGCGGCACAGCCTACCAGCACATGTACCCACGGCCAAATTTCTGGCATCCAGCCCTGTAAATCATGCCATGCGTGCTCTATAAATAAGCATAGGTAATGTATAATTTATGACCAGCTAGGAGGTGCCCAAGCCTAGGCTGACATGAAAACCAACCGCACTTTCCCAAGGGCCCTGGATGAGGTAAGAGAGAACATCCGTCCGTCCGACCTGCTAGACATAGGCTACCTATATTGGAACTCTCGGGCGCAGGGCCAACGCGTCTACAAGACTACAAGACTACAAGTACTTGCCAGATCACGGACCTCAAGTTTGCGTTTCACAGAAGCGCCTAGAACATCAGCATTCGCGAATCGCAGGCCCCTCACCCCGGCGGAGAAAGGAGACATGAGTGCCAGCCGCCAGGTAGAGGTGTCGATACTCTGGCCGGGTAACTCTACGCGGACGACGGTTTCGACGATGTATTGTAGGGTCAGGACTTCTTCCTAGGGCCTGACTCAGGGGCTGTTCAATAGCCTCTAACCGCAGGTGCCGCAGTTACTGCGACATGCTTTTCAATGTGGTTTTCGATAGTAGAAATGCGGCAGTCAATGCGACAGTCAATGCGATTTTCGAAACGCGACCGGCAATGTACCTCTGTAGCCGTATTAATAGTCGCAGTGCGAAATGTTCGACGGATTACCTTATTAGGTAAACCGAGACGCCAAGACGCAATGCGACGACTGCGATTGAGTTGAGTACAGTTCGACTGGACTTTAGACAACTCTATAGACTGTAGCAACTGCGGTTGGTGTTCAATAGCTTCATTAACTGCCGCATTCCGGCGTTAGTACGTTCAATAGACCAGAATCACTGCGAAAGCAACTGCGGTTGGAGGCTATTGAACAGCCCCTGAGACGTTAGTCTGATATGCCTTGGCTGTGCCTACTGCCTATATGCAGATCTTGCATGCCACGTGGTAGGGAAAAGCGTGTTCCAGTCTGTCTGCGGGTTTCTTGTCCCAGTGAAAACATAAGGTAGTCTTCCTCTCGCTTGTTCAGAATCGCAGTCACGAGTATGAGGCCTGCAGATCGACCAGGACTGCGAGCCATAGTGCTGTGTCCGACGCGCTGGCCCAAATTGATGGCAGTCGACTTGCCAGTAGAACGCCAGCTTTAACAGTACATGTACACAACGCGGGGGCCAGAGAAGCATCGACGCCTCCGGGGCTCCGCATGGAGTGATCAGTGTGAGAGATGGAGTTCGCGTGCGTTCCGCTGCGCGCCGTCGAACGGGCGAACAGGACCGGAAGGCCCGAGAAACCGGTGGGTTCGACCGAGCAGACCTCGAGACTTGATGCCAAAAATATTTCGCCCAAGACGCTGTTCGTGGCTTTGATTGGCGAGGAGCTATCTTCGTACTCTGTAGAGTCTGAGGAGTCGTCAAATTAAGATGGAGGTTGACGCCGTGCGCGAAGAATTACTAGTAGAAAACCTTATACACCGGTTATACTTAGCACGGCCGTTAAAAATACATTGCGAGCGACATAGATAATAAGGTACTATGTAGTAACTATCAGAAGATGGAGGTAAGATACGTGCGCCCCTTGGGAGCCCTCCGATACGTGTAACTTTAAAATTCCTGCGCCCGCTGCCTCTTACGTTAAGTTACCGCCTTCAACCTGGCAATGTTCCGTTCTCACTCCTGCGCGTCTACGTGCTCTTCAACCTTCAGCACCATTCCAGGCGAGGCGTAGTCCATTCTGCGCCAAACCAACTTGATGTTAGAGACGTGAAAGTCATTATTCTCCTATATGAACAAGGTGGCTCCGTCGACGGCGTGATATCCAGGCGGATTGGTAAAATCTGTCCTCCTAGCGGTAGTATTACCGGATCATTGGGAAACGTAGTTCCCTAGGACTAGGAGTAGCAGACTTTCTATGTTCTGCATCTTCTTATACAAGACCGGTCTTCTCTCTGCAGAACATTACAACGATCCTCATCAAGCAGTGCTTGGTCCTTGTGGAGATCCGTTCAAGTTGCAGTCAGCGACAGCTGGATCCATAGCGCATGGTTCGACGAAGAGGATCTTTAACCTCAGCAGGAAAGACAACCTTTCACGATCTCTTCTCCTTCTGCTAGGCGTATGTTGGAAGGACCGCAAGGGCTCGCGATGCCGTCTGATGAGTGTAAAGTACCTACAGACAAAAGGAGTCGCCTTGTCATTTTGTCAGATTTGTCATCTCGTCAAGCATCTCCTGGCGTGTCGATCGGATGATCCGGCTGTGCCCTGACAGACAGAAAGCAGGCATTTCGCATTTATTACTCATCTCCTGCAACGGGCGATTCTTCTCTGCAGTAAGCCATTCATTGGCATTGATCAGGAGCCAACAGCGACCTTGAAGCACCGCTTTCGAGGGACGAGCCTGAAAGTCGGGTGGCAAGGGAAGGATCGAATGGAGCCGCCGCTCCGGCGCTAATAGAACTACACCTATAAGGTATTCTGGATGGTCTTGTTTACCTACTCACGTGCCGTCCGCATACATATCACCCGCCTTCGCCGCGCGCCCATGTTAGTCAGAATAGCTGACTAAAGTGCGAACTCCAAGTCCAACGACTCTCGAAGGTGAGTGCCGTGCTACACCTGTGAGCAGTTACAGCGCTTCTGCAGACGCCGCCATGACGCGCATCGCCGGACTGGAGGACGCATGGCGCGATGGATTGCTGACCGCGAATAGACTCAGGCACGACTATCGCGGCCGCCAGCGACGATACCATACACTCGTGGAAAGAGAAGGGCTGTGAGGAAACCAGGCACGCACGCCGTCTGTCATAAGAGCTTAGAGCAGGGCGCGGACGAAAGAGCGTCCCTCAGTATACCGCGCAAGCAGCGCAAGGAAGCAAGCCATTATGCAGCGGTCTCAGGTAAGCGTGTTGTTTTGGGCCTAGCATAGCTCTGCGTAAAGTGCTCGGAATGCTGACTGAGGGCTCTCTGACAGGAGATGAATACGGACATGAGTACGTCGTCTTGATCCTAGCCTCGTCCCCTCACACATACACCATGCTGACTACTGCTTAGGCCTGCGAGAGCAGCTTCTCGCCGAGGCTGGCAATAGCAGTGCTCCTTCACCATATCCAGCAGCTCCTGCGCCCGCGCAGGGCCCGAGCAATCCATATCCGCAGTCCGACCACAGTCCCAGTCCTCACGAGCATCAGATCGACCCCAACGTCTCCAGTGGGCAGCTACAGTACTCTATGAGCGGAGATGCGCAGATGGAAAGCGCGGACGGGAAACGCAAGCGCGAGTTGTCAACAAGCAAGAGAGCGGCGCAGAACAGAGCAGCACAGGTACGAATTATCATTTGGCGCACTCGTGTCGCGCACACCATCCGGCAGGCGTGCCCGTGATCAAGGTGCAGATGCAGATGGCGAGCTGCGGTTTGCAAGGCCAATTGGTCCTCTATGGTCACAATCTTGACCTGAGACGCACGCCTGTCGAACATGCTTGTCACATTCAACATATGCTAATGGATCTCCTAGCGGGCCTTCCGACAACGTAAGGAGGGTTATATTAAAAAACTCGAAGAGCAAGTCAAGGATTTCCAGGCCATGGAGCACAACTACAAGGCCCTGCAGAACGAGAACTACTCCTTGCGCGAATACATCCTCAGTCTGCAGTCCAAGCTCCTTGAGAATCAAGCTGAATTTCCTCCTGCGCCAACACATGCAAACGTATCGAGCGCGCCTTCACAGCAATATCGAGGAGAATCATCGTACGAACAGCAGCCACGAGAGGAACAGCAAGCTCCGCCCCCTGCACCTGTAGTCGCGCACGAGGACCAGGACTATCAGCGACACGATGGGATCAGTCAGCTGCACCAGGCGGCCATTGCACAGGAAGCGCGAGCTTCTCCGTATGGACTGGCAAGCGAGTATCCCAGTAGACAGCCGGATGCTAAGAATTGATGAGATGTTGCGCGCGCGATAATGCTGTTGAATTCGGATGCCAGGTGGCGGGGTTTGGGCGCATTATAGGAAGAAGACTGCTAGAGACAGCACAGCTATTGCCATGCGCTCAACATCAACCTACCGAAGCTTGTTAGTTCTCAATTCATGTTAAAAGAGGTCACGAAGACCTTGCGAAGGACAACGACATACTTCACAGCTGAACCTTGGTCTCCTTCTAGACTTGACAGCGGAAAATGTCTACTTGTGATGAGGTGTTGCTAATAGTGTTATATAGCAAGCCGATCGCAGCTGTGCCCTCACTTTGCCGCCTGAAACCGAGCTGTCCAGTGCGTCGATTATGATATCCCAAGTCTGGAGCGCTACAGTGATACCGGCACCTCGCTTGGTATTCTGGGCATCGAAGCGTAAATTCCTCCAGCCCAATAGGTGTGACATGTGCGCGTTTCTGGAAGCTGCCGATCTCGATGTGGCCGCGGGTACCTGTATCTACCCATACAGCAATCTCCAAACTACCCGCCGCAGAGCATGGTAACATGTGGAAGCGTAGAATTTACGTTTGTCCGTTCAACGCATTCTGGGACTCTCACAAAAGCCGACGTCATTGCGCTAAGCTCTAGCGTGATTCCGAAGCTGTAAGTGAAATTGACCCTTTGGACCGGAACTCGGCCCGCATTGTTTGCTCGGGCACGATCACATTCAACAGCTATATACTATAGACCAAAATTAGATAGGCGAGAAAACATGTGAATAAGGCTTATAAAACTGTTGTATGCCTGGGGGCCTGTGCCGTAACGGGAAGCCTGATTCGAGAGATAGGTGAATTAAGTTGTGAGCGTACCACAGCTTTACTTCCGAATCATCAACACCACAACATCGCCAGTGTCCAGGAGTCCCCTCTGCTTTTGCCAATATCACCTTTGCCAACACGAACCATTCAGAATCGTTTGCTAACGTACTTTCCCCAGATCATCACGGCGCCCCATGGCCTTGGGATTGAGCCTGTGGGCGGGCGCCCAAAGCGCATACTCTGGCGTGAAAGCGGCTTACTTAAACGCTAAGAACGGACCAGAGTTCAACCTCGAGTCGTACAATGAGGCGCGTAAAGACCCTTGCTACCTTGAACCAGATTGCTTCGAGGAAGATTGGACTGCTATCGAAAAGCCGAAGAAGAAAGGTCGAATTAAGGTCAGACTCAGCTTACTACTCTCCTCACTACTTCACACTCACTGATATCTTCTCTTACAGTCCTCATTGCGATTATCACTAGCAGAAGGCGGTGGAGAAGCAGAAGACGACGCTGACGCTAACGATGACGAAGAGGAGGAGGAGGAGGAGGAGGAGGAGGATACCACCTTGAAATTCGAGCCATACATGATCCAAAACACGCGTAACTTCGAGCAGCTTCGTTTAAAAGCCACACGCACCGCCGTCCGCACCGCGAGCGAAGCCGCAGATGTCTCACTCATCTACGTGAAATGGGCTCTAAAATTCGCCGCGCTCGAAGCCGCACACGACATTGGCTTCCTAGCGAATTGCCAAACCGCTACAGACGCGGTGAATGCTGTCAAAGCACGCTTTCCCGTTCTCGAAGATATCCAACGAGCATATCATCTCGGCGCAAACAATTCTTCTTCCTCTTCGCAGCAGTGGTCGCCAGAGGAGAGGTTATCGGCAATGAGAGCGTTTCACTCGGAAGCTGGACTCAGACTTTCGAATGATGGGAGAGTGGCAGGTCAGTGGGATGATGGCTCCATTGTTTCTGCCATGACTGCGCAGCCACTCTACGATCCCGAGACTGGTGCGGAGGTTGAGTTGGTTTTCGAGCGTGTGATTCCCAGGGGTGATGCTACGGCGTTCAAGATACAGCATCAGGCACCGAAGCAGACGAAGGGACTCGTTGACTCTGAAAACCAGCAATTGATGGCATTTTCCGACGATGATGACAATGGTCCATTCCTGCCAGAGGGGGCATCACAACATCGCCACGGCTACATCAATCCCAGATCCCATCAAGTCACAGAAAAATTCAAAATCGACGACGACGACGACGACGACGACGCCAATGTTGTAACTGACGAGATGACATTCCCTCAAAAAGCACCACCCCATCATCATCATAACCTCTCAACTCCCTCCTCTCCATTCCATCCAAGCCGCACCAACAGCAACCCGAACAGTACTCATCTCCCTGCCACCTTCAACTTCCTCTCGCCCTATCGCCAAGACCATGATGATGAAGAAGAAGAAGAAGAAGAAGAAGAAGAAGAAGACGATTCCTTCCATTCCCAGTCTCAGACTCCATACGAGTACCATCATCATCATCATCATCATAATCCATGATCCACGATCAGAAGTACGAAATTCTTTTCCTCTGAGAAGTTTCAGAAAATTCAAGCGACAAATGCTGCACACTCTTCAAGGGAGGACGTTGTGGCCAGGGCGAGATTGAAGGGGGGTAAAGGGGGAGGGAAAATCATAAAAATCGACAAATTGACCCGGGGGAGCGGAGTTGAGATGGGAAGAGCGCTTGCTTGCTTATTTGCCTTACCTCTGAGAGAGATGAACGGACAGATAGATGGACAGACAGAGACAGACAGACAGACAGAGACAGGCTGCGAGCATGCGCTTACAATAATGAGAAAGGATACGGGATTCGAAAAGAAAAAGTGGCAGTCGAATCGTCTAGTTATCATCACAACTACGACTGTTGCCTTGCAATGTTGACTCCCTTTCCCCTCATAATCTACTTATACTCCTCTCTGAGAACCCATTTCGCTCTCATCCTTCCACCCTTCTCCATGACAGCAATCTTCTTCAACATTTCGGAAAACTCGGCCGTCCTTTTCGGACTGTTATTACAATACCGATTGAAATGGTCCACCAACATTTGCGAGTAGACTGCTCCACCATGCGATGAAATGTAGTCCCGAATGAGTGTCATGAAATCGAGACCTTGAGGTAGATTCCGATCGTCATTCGCAGCACGCCGCCCACCTCGCGTAGCAGTACCTATATTACCATCGCGTGAGGATGTCGTCGCCATAGTGGTGTTGGAAGCGTTGGCCTGTCGATGTTGGAGATTGGCGAGGACGGAGGACGAAGAAGGTCCGCCGCGACCTCGAGATGACATGCCACCTCGCATGCTACCGCCGCCGCGTCTGGGAGGAGGTGAGTCAGGTCGACCAGCAGTGCCTACTTGTCCAGTCCACGTTGGTATGCCGGCAGGAAGACTTCTCGCAATTTCAGCAGCGCGTTTGAGTTCTCGTGCGGCTTCGTCTGCGATCTTCTTGGCTTCTTTTCTGATCATTTCAGGATCAGCACGGGGAGCTCTGCGGCCGCTGACAATAGCTTCGTGGTCTTGCGCGCCTTGAACTCCGGCGCGGGCGAAGATGCCGGAGAGAACACGATCAGAGGAAGATTGGTCCGCTCCTTCGGACTTGTTGTTCTTGTTGTGTTCGTCCTTGTCGCCTCGGAAATCCTCCTGTCGAGAGACACCTGCAAAATCGTTGATGGCGACGCGCTCCGTCTCCTTCTGCTTCTCGTCTTCATCTGGCGGAGTGGGCAGGCTGTTACCGCGCTTCAGCTTGACTTCTGTGCCTTTGAAGATGGTGCCGGTCTCTGTTTGGCCATCTACGGATTCGCCAAGGGTGAAGAGATCGTGCAAATCCTTGAGCTGGAAGTTTTGACGCTGCTTGGGATCACGCAAAATCTTGTTGGTAAGGAAGAGTTTAAAAAGCTGGCGATGGTAGATCTTCTCCTCAATCGTGCCTGCAGTCATGAGACGATAAATTTCGACTTCTCGCTTTTGGCCAAGTCTCCAGGCCCTTTCACGAGCTTGTACGTCTGTAGATGGATTCCAGTCGGGATCATAGATGATGATGCGATTCGCACCCGTCAGATTCACACCGAGCCCGCCGACCTTGGTCGTGAGGAGAAAGACGTGCAGATCAGGATCGTGATTGAACTCATTCACCAAGTCCTGCCGATGCTTAATATCAGTAGTGCCATCCATGCGTCGATAGTTTATGCCAGACATGCTTCCAATGAAGCGTTCGAGGATGTCCAGCATGATGCGGTGTTGCGCGAAGAGCAGTGTTTTGTGCCCCTTGTCCTTCCATATCTTCAGCAGTTCTTTCACCACTTGCATCTTGCCCGACTTGGTCCCGATCCCATATTCGTACCCTGCTTTTTTCGATAAAGTCTTGTGCTCGACAAGATCGGGGTGGTTGCAGATCTTGCGCAAGATGTCGATGCCATACAGCGCCTGGCGCTTCCCATTCATGATCGACTTCATGTCTTCTGAGTCCAAGAACCACTGGTATGCATCGCGCTGTAACTTTGTCAATTTGCAGAACAGAACGCGCTCAATCTTCTTCGGCAGATCGGTGGCAACATCCGCTTTGAATCTCTGCAGAAGATACGGCGATATTGCGTCTTTCAACGTCTCCGCACATTTCATGGCTGTCTCCACCTGTAAATTTGAAGCATTGGCATATCCTCCTTGCTTGATTGGTATAGCAAACTGGTTCTTGAAGTTGACCAGTGTTCCCAGACGCATGGGAAATACGAAGTCGAATAGCGTCCAGAGCTCTTCAAGGTTATTCTGCATCGGCGTGCCCGAAAGAATGACTCGATTATGTGTCATAATCTCTTTGCAGAAGATGGTGATTTCTGCGTTCGGGTTGCGGATCTTGTGACCTTCGTCAAGGACACAGTACTCCCAATTCACCGGCAGTAACTGATCCGCGTAGTTCACGAGTCCGGCATATGTTGTCACAAGCACATGCCCATCTTGGACCACTCGATCAATTACATTCCTGACCGATGGGTTCGGCCGGCCTCTCGACTTCTTGCGCCGATCGTCGTCCAGGTCGTCCTCGAAGCGTGCTTCTCGCTTGACATCAAGCATGCCGCTCCCCGAAGAATGCAGGATGGTGACACGGAGCGGGGGCCACCAACGGTGAAACTCATCCACCCATTGCTTGAGCAAGGTCGCCGGGCAGAGCACGATGATGGGTTTCGTGATCTTGCCCGAGTAATGCAGCCCGGCTAGGAAGGAGATAACTTGGCAAGTCTTCCCTAGTCCCATTTCATCTCCCACAATGCCACCAACCTGTTGCGAGTACAGCTCCCACAACCATTGTACTCCGGTTTTTTGGTAGTCGAAGAGCGAGGGGTACACGTCGCCGGGCACGCGAAAGCCGCCGTCAAACTCAGCATCAGGCCGAGTCGGATGAGGCATCTCCCACTCAGGTCGGGTCTCTTCGATCTCGTCCAGTGGCGATGTCACCTCGCCCTCCGCCTTCACAACATCGGCATCGACGGTGGTATCATTCTCTTCCGAGCCATCGCCAGTCGGTTTCTTGTGCCGTCGTCTCGCAGCACTCCTTCGCTGAGTCCAGCTCTGCAACCGTGCTTGATACACTTCCTCATTACCGTCGTCCACTCCTGCAAAGTCTTCTTGCCCATCCACGACGCGGACCGCCTTCCGCTTGCCCTTTCCTTTCCGCTTGACTCCGGGAGTGTCAAGAGGAAAGTCGCCCTCGGCTGCCTCATCCTGCGGCTCTTCTTCATCTGCCGATTGGCCTACTGCTGCCAGTCCGTCCTCGTTCACGTCTGGCACGAACGCGTCAGAGTCATCTGCTGTCGACGCCACATCTGGAGATGGGCCTCGCATCTGCCTCCTTGATTGTAACCGTCTCCTCTTCGCAGGCCGCTCCCTTGCATCTTCCTCATCCTGTAGTCTACGAGCCAATGCAGCATCGTCTTCAGTGTCCTCGGCTGTGCTCGCCGCTGCACTATTGTCATCCTGCTCGAATCCAGGAGCTAGCAGATTTCGATGAGACTTGGGCCCAGACTGTGATTGTTCCAGAATCTCGGCTTCCGCCTCCTCCTCTTCTTCCTCAATCTGACCCTCCTCTTCGGCATTCAGCAGAACTTCACCCAGGCTGGACGAGGTTCGCAGCAGTCTTTGGCCCAGCTTAGAGAAGGGCGTGATCTTTCCAGTTCGGATGAGGAATTCGCGTTGACTCTCACCGGGCATGCGCTTGTTATTGGTATCCTCGAGCAAGGTCTCCCCATCCTGTTCCTCATTCAGCTGTTCGCGTATACGATTCTGGATCTGTGCAAGGTCATTATCCAGGTTGGCGATTAGTGCTTTATAGTGCTCAATCTCTGCTCTATACTTGTTTTTCGTAGCAGAACCTGCTGGTTTAGCAAGATTCTTTTCAGCTAATTTTAACGCTACTTGCATGCGAGTCTTCTCCTTCTGGGTCTTGTCTAGCCGTTTCTGCTCCCTCTCCAATGTCTGCTCGGCGAGAGCCTGGTCGGCTTGTTGGCCAATATCCCTTTCCAGGTCTGCTTGATCGCGCACACCGGCGCCGAGCGCAGCTAGACGAGCAGCCTCGTCATCCTCGAGGTCTGGTTCTCCCTTGTTCGTATCATTACCGGCATCGATGTCCTCGGGCTGGGAGACGATGTCGGTCGCTTGCATCTCACTCGTGTCGCCATCCGATAGCGGGTCGATGACGGTGCGCGGTTGACTGGGAGAAGACATAGTCTTGATGGGATTGGATATAAGCAGGTGGTGCAGTTCATGCGACGGAGAGTAGGAAAGCAAAGAGATTGTCAGAAGCGGTACTCATGGTGGCAGGCGTAGTATGTAGGATCCAATGGCGATGTGCCGCCGGTCTTTCTGAAGTGAAAGCAGTTTGGGAGGGTACATGTAGGTCGGTAGGTCGTGATGCAGATAGCAGCAAGGATGTCGAGTGAAGTGAAAGTGCTTCTCTGAACAAAGAGACGCGAGGCATGCGCGACTGATGTCATCGTCAGCGGCGCGCACATCCTAGAACAGGGCAGGTACAGGTACTCAGGTATAGCACTCGTGTTTGGTAGATGTAGGCATCAACTCGTGCTCAACAACTCGCCTCCAGTCTGATTCTCGCCACTTCGACCATCTGCGTGTTGAAGAGCACAGTTGTCTTGCAGCAGCCCAGAGAGAGCAGCCATGGCCAGCCTTCCCGCTCGACAGCCCTCATCGCGGAGAGCGTCTTCGCAGCGCTCGGAAGAGCCACTAGAACCCTCCCAAGCACCCGAGTCGCCTCTCCACTCCCACCCCCACTCCAACTCCCCATCGCCCTCCCATCGCTCGCCCTCACAACAGTCGCGCGAATCTCGCTCCCCGGCCCGCTCGCGATCGGAGGATTCGGACACCATCTTCGTACACAGCGCAGAGCACACGGCCGACGCGGAAGGCCAGGCCGAGGAACCGCGGGACATGGCCTCGCCTCAGTCCAGGAACGAAGAGGATCGCAAAAAATGCTGGATATGCATTTCAGATGAGACCGAAGACACGCCAGACACTGCGCCATGGCGAGATCCATGTCCATGCGCCTTGGTTGCGCACGAAGACTGCCTCCTCGACTGGATAGCAGACGTGGAAGCGCCCAGGAATAGGGCAGGTAGAGGCATAGGCCCGCCCAAGATCGAATGCCCTCAGTGCAAGGCGGACATACGGCTATCCCGGCCAAGAGACTACCTTGTTGATGCAGTCAACACCTTGCAAAGACTAGGCGATACTGCTGTGATACCCGTCAGCGTCTTCGCCCTCGCCGGTGCTATGCAACATTTGAGTGCGGTGTTTGGGACCCACGCCATATACGCCGTGTTCGGCGCTGAAGACAGCTATAGAATCCTGCAGCCTTTGTTCGACATGACCGAGAGGGTGCCTCTAGAGGTGTCCGCTAGAGATCCAGGACAGGTGATGGAGCTGATGTCCAACTTTGTGTTGGAACGAGCGCGCAATTGGAGACTCCTCTTCGGCCTTCCACTGATCGCACCAGTGCTAATTCTGTCGCGGACGTCACTTGCAGATAGCGTGCTACCAGTCCTACCGATGGTCTTCTGTGCTTCACAAGCACAATTTTCTGGCGTCTCTCCAGACTTTGCGACGTGGCCTCCTTCTGCAGGCTTTGCGTTTGCGTCCCTACCATATGTCCGATCACTCTACAAAGCTTGCTACAAGACGGTCTGGGCAAAAAAGGAAGAACAGTGGCGCGAAGCGATAAAGCCACGAGTGAGTCAGCAAAATGAGGAAGATGCTGCCGCTAATAACGGGCAGAATCCGGCAGAAGTAGCTCTTGAAGGGGAAAACATCTTCGAGATACGGATAGATCACAATGTTTGGGACGAGGGTGATTGGGACGAAGAAGAAGAGCGACTGGTCCAGCAAGCGGCCGACAGACAGCCTGCTGCCGTGCCACATGATATGATAGCAGGAGGTCAAGACCAGGGAGGAATCGGTGGCCATGCACAGGCAGAGCGACCACTACGAAACCTACCACCAGAGGGAGGCTTTCCACGAGCAGACGAGGCCGCCGCCGCCGCACCCGCACCCGTGATACGAGATGGCCGAATACTGAATGGGGCTGAGCAGGAGCAGCAAGACGCACCAGCACCAGCACCAGCACCAGACCAACCGAACAACGGCAATGGTCGTCGCCTCTCGCTCTCGGTCAATCATGCGCTACAAAGCGTGGTCGGCGCCTTGTTCTTCCCCACCATCGCCGGTCTCGCGGGAGAAGCCCTCAAGCTCGTCTTACCACACACATGGGTGGCCGAACCACCTCCCTCGTTACTCTTTTGGAATCGAAGACCTAAGGGCTTTCTGCAAAATAAGTGGGCTCGAAGTCTGGTGGGAGGTTGTCTCGTTGTAGTCTGCAAGGACGCGCTGTTGCTCTACGTGAAGTGGAGAATGGCGCAGATGCACAAGAGCAGACGGGTGCTTGATTTTGACAGGAGCAAGGGAAGGGGACCCCTCCGATCTTCTTCTCCTTCTTCTGGATGAGGTGATTCGTTGCTAGCTATGCGAACTTTTACAGATGGAAAACAGCGAGGTGTTGGGGGCGTTCCAATCATTGCTTTTCATTGGGAGACTGGTCACCATGAGGATGACCAAAGCCCGTCAGTAGGTAAGGTAGCTCTCTCACTATGCTACATGGTCAGGCATGCGTATACATATGGCTAGTACCTCACGACCGGCTCGACAAGTCCACGGGGTAATCCGTAGTCTCAATATTTTCCGGAAACTCCAGCCCATTCTGCTTCCTCACCTCATCCATCGTCTTCATAATCACCAAACTCTCCTCCAGCCCCTCATACCGACCTTCCTTTCTCCCATCTCGCAACGCATACGCACACTCATCCGCCTCATAAAACATGCCATGTCCCACTCCCTCAGCCTCCCAACCACTCCTATCGCCAAACCCATTCGACCACCCCGAACCTTTTCCCGGACCCGGCATATCAAACGTCTTCTCCTCCACCGTCCCATCACTCAGCAACAACCTCGTCTTCGTAGGCCGATACGCCGGATGAAAGACTTGAATTTCCCCTTTTTCTCCTTGCACTCGAATGGCAGGTCCCGCCGTCCCTTTCCCATCAGGATCCGCAGAAATCGGCATTCCCGTCGTAGCAATTCCGTGCGCAGAAGTCCCATCTGCACGAGGGAAAGTCAAAATCATAGACGTCAATTCATCGGCGCCGGTTTTGTATTTTCGTGATGTGGAAACTACACTGGGAGCTGGCTGGGGAGCGGGTTGTGTGTGGTAGAGAGTTTGAAACACCCAAGTGAGAGCGTAGATTCCTAAATCGAGGAGTGCGCCGCCCGCGAGCGCGAGGTTTACCATGCGGTGGTTGTCGGGGAAGGTGGTTGCTGGTGGGGCGCCGATGCTGAGGTCTGCGAAGGCGCGGTGTACGGGGCCGAGTTTGCCTGAGGTGATGGTTTCGCGGACGTAGATGGAGAGGGGGAAGTAGCGGGTCCAAACCTGCAGTGGTGGTGGGATCATGAATTAGTCAAAATTCGTTTCTTAAGGTACCAGGTTATATAGGTATCCATCATATCGGAATTTCGATGAAGAAATGGGACGGCTACCCAGGTAGGTATGGATAGAACTTACCGCCTCCATAAGAAAAAGATTCTTCTCCTTAGCAATCTTAATCAAAATCTCCAACTGCTTCGCATTCGTCGTAAAAGCCTTTTCACATAGAACATTCTTTCCCGCTTCCAACGCAAGCCTCGAATTCTGATAATGATGACTATGCGGCGTCGCCACATACACAATATCCACATTCGGATCCTGCACCAACTCTTCATAGGATCCATATGCTTTTGCCGACTCGGGCGCTCGCACTTCTTTCAAAAAGGCTTGAGCCCGATCGGCAGAGGACGAGGAGGCGGCGGCGACGACGACATGTTCAATGTCGTTGACTCCTCTGGTTTCGGGGTTTGGCCAGAGATCTCGTGCAAAGGATTCGGCTATGCCTCCTGTTGCGAGGATTCCCCATTTGAGCTGGAATTTTTTCGACATTGCGGGGTGCGTGCGGTAGGAAGGAGAATGAATAATCGGTTAGGTAAGGTAGTGTTCGGTTTGGGCGAGAGTGAGTTCTACTGAGTTGTGGTGTCAATGGACAACAAATCAATCAATGGATGTATCTGAGATCACAAACGAGGTGGGTTTTTTTCAGATGAGGAGAAAGGTGAGGAGTTCGAGTTGAGAAGAGAATCGTTAAAAGCTTCAGTCATGGAATTATTATGACCCAACAACGGCGGGCGGCCAACGATGGAGGTAGAGCTGTTTGCCTATCTCGTCGCTTATTAATATCGAAAAACATGATGAAATGTCGTCGGAGCATGTACTAGTAGGAGGTATTACAAGGTGACTACCAAGACCGCTAACATAAAGGATGGGGTCTAGCGTTCCTTCCTTGTACCCCACACACACATGGAAAGAATCGACACGACAATTTGACGTATCGAAAATCTGAAACTTGCAACAGATTCGCTAAGACACAATACCACTCACGATATCTGTCAGCGAAAAACTCTACACCAAAAGGGATAGACAACTGGAAGAAGAAAACAACTGCCCAGTCTGGAATCATGGTCGAATAATCATACAGGTACAGTACACGTACATACCGCCACTCTTGGAGGGAGGTGATGTCAAGCGGGGTTATTAAGCCCGGAGAGCTTCCGTGAAGTGGGGGGCGGCCAGTCGCCCGTGGGGTTTTCGTACCAAACTGCCAAGCTGCCAAAGGCCCCTTCGACAATTGCCGGAATTCTGCCTTGCCTTCTGGAAAGTCTCCCACAACATCTGGAGAGTGGCTAGGAGGTACATGTAGTCTCATAGAAGGCAGTACATGTATCAATCACAGGAAAAGGGAGCTGAGCTCGAGGACGAAGTCGATATCCACTGCTGTGGAAGCAAATACAGTGAAAGAGTAGGAGGTACCTATGAACATTGGCCTTGATTGCAGCCTGGAGAAGCTGGGATTGTGGTTGATATTAGACGCAAACGAGGAGTTCGCTCTCTAGGCAACAAAAGGAAATCTAATGCAGCCCGCTAAACCTGTCTGTACCCGCACGCCCAAAAACCTGGTATCGTGTTGTTGTATGTCCTGGAACCTGTAGACTGAACTCCGCTGGCGCCTGTCGCTATGATGAATAATTCGTAAAGATCGTGGTCAAAATATACACTCATGCAGGCTATGCAATAAAGTGATTCATATGTCCTGGAACTCGCAGTCGACACTTTTCGCAATCCGCTCGAAATCCCATGCTAAAGCCGCCCCTCTTGTTGCTGGTCGCGGCAGGCGTTGTCCTTACAGGGGAGTTGCCACTGCTGAGAGCGCCACTTCGTTGGCGCTGCTTTCTGACAATAATATGGTTAGAACCCCACTCCATTGGCTCCGAGTCAATGGCAGAGTCGAGTTCTGCATTAGGTCCAGTATGGGTGAGATTGGGCCTCGCTGGGTGTATGGAAATGCGAGGCACGGTGGCATCGTTCTCAGCCATGTCTACGTCGCTAACACTGAGCATACTAAGCTGCGATCCGGCTGCCTCGGCTGCCGAAGGTGGAGTTGGTACTTCGTCTTCGTCGATGGGGGAGGGCACTTCGAGAAGGTCCGAGCTGGCCGAGAATTCTTGCTGGTGGCGTCGCCGGACGTGTTGCTTAAATCCAGTTCGTACGCGATCTGGGCTCGCGCCTGGCCGCATCGGTACCATCGGTGTTGGTACGCGATTCACCTGCAGTCTTTGGCCCAAGACAGCGGAAGTTGCAGCACGAGCTCGGGGCAAGGGCTCCTCTTCTGGCGATTGAGAGAAAGTGCCGTCGTCCATATCCATGTCCATGTCGTCGTCCATGTAGATATCTGGAGGGCTGCCCGGTTCAGACTTGACGGACGAGGTGTCTGCATCGCTATCATAGCCTGCAGGATCTCTCGCTCTCGTGGGCGTGCTGAGGACGGAGTCGTTGAACCATTTTCCGCTGTCGGCAGAGGCCTCCGTGGTGGCGCGGGCCCTCTATTGTCCACAGTCAGAGAGAAAGAAGGTCACTCGAGCCACTCGAGGGTGCGATATTTCTCAGATTTTCTCACCTTGCCAAAAGGCACGTCATCCGCTCTGAACTGGTCACTTTCGCTGTCTGCACGCGAGCGCTTCTTCCTCGAGAGCTCGATCATGGCTAATGACGGGAGTGACGAGCCGACAGAAGGCTAAGCTGCGGAGGGCATGATGATTGTTGTTGTGAGGAAAGGTGGCATGTCCGCAAGATGGAGCAGAATGGGAGAATGAATAGCGCCGGGCCCGGCAACGGACGTAACTACACAGGAACAGTGCTCGGGTGAAGGACGAGGCACTTGCCACCACGACGACGACAACAACAACAGAAGAGTTAAAAGTTGAGCGAGAGAAAGATCTCAGGGACACTAAGGTACCAAAACTACCTCGTAGGAGGCAACACTAACACTTTCCAGTTGCTCCCTCTCCCCTCCCGTCCGGCTGTGTGGTTGTGGTTGATCAAGTGGGGGGCGCTTTGGCTTTTGCAGGCATTTCGGCGGACTGGCTCCCGAGCCTGCGGTCCCGTTCTCCGTCCACCGTGAGTTGACACCGTCCATGCTTCTGTCAAGCTCTATCTTCTTTTCTTCTTCTTCTTCTTTTCCTTCTCGGAGGTACCTGTACTTCATCTCCATGTCTTGGATCTGCACCGGATAGAACAGACTTCACTCACACCGACATGAATATTCACTATCCACCACCCACCATCCACCACCATCTACCCTGTACCCACTACGGTATATACTCTGCACAGTATGATGAACCCTGATCATTCATGTCGTCAACTGCCCGGATGTCGCTACGGCCCTCTTTGCTGTTGCCATATCAACTGTCTTCGAATCAGTTGTCCTAGTTCCAACTTCCAGGCATACCTTAACCCGTTACTGCCAACGTCTTTCTGGACCAGGGATACATGTCTCCCCGTGACAGACTGACAGTATACATCTACCTTATCCATACCTACCTACTTACTACTACCTACTTTACTACTGCTAACTACTACGGACATGCTGCTCTATCTCTTATTGTGTATCTGCCACGCGGCCTACGAGCCAACAGCACTTCCATGCTGTACTAGCACAGACTACCGCGAGTCTTATGGTAAAGCTTCGAACTGTTGGTGCTGACGTTCTGTGCGTTTCAGTCGATGAGCTCCGGCTCCCCAGCTCTACACCCAAGTTGCAAACTCTGACTGCGTGTCGCGGCTTCATTCCTGCACGACCAACATTGAAGCCTCCATATCCTGGTCAATCCTCGCGGACGTCATCTCCCACGCGTCTCAGCACACCTGATCAATGGAGATATACATAGGTCGCCCATTTATCCTCTTGCTTTCTGCCCACGTACTCTTGTTCAAGTGATCTGGCCTACTAATCAGTAGTACTACTTCGTGACACGAGCTGCCATTTTCCCGCGCCTAGAGCATCATGGTACCAGAGAACAAAGACTGTCTGGACATCGCGATCATCGGGGCCGGTATTGCTGGGTTGGCAGCAGCGTTATGTCTCTGTCGTGCGGGCCATCAAGTTACTCTCTATGAGCGCTCCGAATTCAAGAATGAAGTTGGCGCTGCCATCAACATGCCTCCACAGGCTATACGATTGCTGCGGCAATGGTATGTCGCTCGCCCCGATTCTACCACAAGGGCTCATCAGTATGTGGACGAGGCATGCGGTACTCCTCTAAGGGGAACTCGCAGACTAGACGCGGAGACTTTGCAAGTTCTACTAAGCTCCAGCTACGACACTGACGAGGAAACTTATGGTGCCTCATTCTCCACCTATCATCGTGCAGACCTGCACTCTGCCTTGCGCGTACGCGCCGAGAGTGCTGGTGCAAAGGTTGTTCTCGGGAAAATGGCAGTCAAGCTCAACTGTGAGGCTGGCGAGTTTGTGGTCGTAGACTCTCACAGCAGGACGGGAAAGGAAGTCGTCAAAAAGGATCTTATCGTGCTAGCAGATGGAGTCCACAGCATGTTTGGCGCGCATGTCACGGGCACGCAGATACCTCTGCATGAAACAGGACGATCAGCATTTCGCAGCTTAATCCCCATGGATAAACTCCTCTCCGATCCTGAAGCAAGCAAGCTGTTTCAACAAGGCGGACATCTCGATCTGACGGGATGCACACATCCCAAAACTGGAGTCTTTCTCGTCACATATCCCTGCCGCAGTGGCGAGGTCATGAATATTGCCATCTTCACCCGTATGCAGCCCGAGAGCCGTCGATTGAGCGACTGGGACTCTCCAGCCACAATCGAACAAGCCTTGAATGGGCTTGAAGGCTTTCACCCTTCCTTCAAAGCAATGATCCGGTGCGCAGATGACATGCGAGTATATACAGTCTTACACCGCGATCCTCTACCCAACTACGTCAAAGGGCGAGTGGTGTTGATTGGAGACGCCGCACACCCTATGCTCCCCACGCTCGCAGCCGGAGGTTCCACTTCGCTTGAAGATGCTGCCGCCCTGGAAGTCCTTCTCCACGGTCTGAAGCCAGATGAGCCAGCCAAACTCGCAGATCGATTACGCCTATGGGAGGCCCTGAGACTGCCACGAGATGTCACCACGCAAGTTCTCAGCAAGACAATGGTACAGCCAAAACCTGCAACTGCGTTCGCGAGCGAGGTCAGACACGTCTATTCTGGATATTTGCCCGATGTCGCTCTTGCGGGCAATATCAAACCCACGAGGGACTTTATGTCTTATTATGATGCGTACGAGGAGTCGAGAAAGGCGCTGGAGTGGGCTGAACGAGATGGAGGATTTGCAGAGGAAAATCTGATGGCAGTCATGCAAGAGAGAGGCGTGATCAGGCATTTCGGTGGTCCCTCCTCTGACTCTCCTACCACGGCCACCGCATAGGGATGATGGAACTGTGTCGTTTTTGCTATCTTCACTTTCATAACTGCTTCATGAGCGTCGGTTATTTTCCAGTCCACAATGTGTGTGTCTTTGAAAAAGTATGTACCTAACTTCATAATCCTAATTCGTAGCGGAATGGCCACATGCAAGTTGAAAAGTGTGGTAGGCATCTGGTGTTCAATGCTTGTAAATGCCCAGTATGGGATTCATAAGGTATGGAAGTGAAAGCTGCAGCCCGATTTCGTAATGATCTCTCGGTATCCCGTCTATGCTATATAAGGAATGGCTGGTATGCGACTCCACTCCATCCCTGCTCCCGGTCCTACGGTATTTCCGCGCCGTCTCCAGACAGCAACATGACATTGACGAAACAGAGAGTGATGCCTCGGCCACGACACTGCTATTACTGCTGAGCTGGAGGCACCAACAATCCACTCCTCCCATCCCATCTAGTCGCTGTTGCAGGATAGGATACGTAGATTGACGGACGACAACCGAGTGCGCTCCGTAAGCAGCACCGCACCGCACCGCACCGCTGATCGACAGCTCCAACGCCTCGACAGTCGCTCTCACACGTCCCGCACCCTCCGACCATACAACCCGACGGAGTAGACATACACCACACCCGAACCAAATTCTCCCTCACTCATCTCGAAGTAACACTGGCCACCACACGCTAGGGCGGTGAAGCCCACCCAGGCGCCGTCGACATGGCCGCCGCCGTCTCCGGCATGTTCAATAGGGGCATGGGCCCGTCCAGCAAGGACAATACCATGCGCGGTCTCGTCTCCTTCATCGCCGACCTACGAAATGCCCGAGCACGCGAACTCGAAGAAAAGCGAATCAACAAGGAATTGGCCAACATCCGCCAGAAGTTCAAAGGCGGCAACCTCTCGGGCTACGACAAGAAGAAGTATGTCTGCAAGTTGCTGTACATTTACATTCTGGGCTGGAATGTCGACTTTGGACACCTCGAGGCTGTCAACCTGATTTCCGCGACCAAGTACTCGGAAAAGCAGATTGGCTATCTGGCTGTGACGCTCTTCCTGTACGAGGGACATGAACTGCTACACTTGGTCGTGAATAGCATTCGAAAAGATCTGGCAGATCATAATGAGCTGAACAATTGCCTGGCGCTGCACGCGATTGCGAACGTGGGCGGGAAAGAGATGGGTGAGGCACTTTGTGTGGAAGTGCATCGGCTGTTAATCTCCCCAGCGAGTAAACCTTTTGTGAAAAAGAAGGCTGCTCTGACACTCTTGAGACTATACCGCAAAGTCCCCACGATCGTTCAACCCGAGTGGGCGGAGAGGATCATTGCGATCATGGACGATCCGGATCTGGGCGTTGCGTTGAGTGTCACGAGTTTGGTCATGACGCTGGCACAGGACGATCCAGAGAGCTACAAGGGAAGCTATGTGAAAGCTGCGCAAAGATTGAGAAAGCTAGTTGTGGAGCAGGACTACGCGGGCGACTATGTCTACTACAAGGTGCCGTGTCCGTGGTTACAAGTCAAGCTGCTGCGACTGCTGCAGTACTTTCCGCCTTCCGAGGACTCGCATGTCAGACAGCTCATGCGAGAATCCCTGCAGGTTGTTCTGGATAATGCCATGGAGAGTCCGAAGAATGTGCAGCAGAATAACGCACAGAATGCAGTACTGTTCGAAGCGATCAATTTGATCATCCATTTGGACACCGAGCGAGACCTGATGGTGCAGATCTCGACCAAGCTGGGAAAGTTCATTGGGAGCAGAGAGACAAATGTCAGGTATCTCGGGCTCGAAGCCATGACACACTTGTCCGTGAGAGCGGAGAACCTGGACCCTATCAAGAAGCACCAGGATATCATCATCGGATCATTACGAGATCGAGACATTACAGTGCGACGGCAGGGGCTCGATCTACTCTACAGCATGTGTGACTCGACGAACTCGCAGAAGATCGTGCACGAACTGCTGAAATACTTGCAGTCTGCGGACTATGCGATACGAGAAGAGATGGTGCTCAAGATCGCCATTCTGACCGAGAAATATGCAACGGATGTCAAATGGTACGTGGACATCTCGATGCGGCTGATTGCAATGGCTGGAGATCATGTGAGTGATGAGGTCTGGCAACGAATCATCCAGATCGTGACGAACAACGACGAACTGCAAGTCTATGCGGCACAGAATATCCTGCAGTACTGCAAAGCCGACCACTGCCACGAGACGCTCGTCAAGATTGGCAGCTACATCCTGGGCGAGTTTGGACATTTGATTGCAGATACAAAGTCATGCAGTCCGATCGAGCAATTCCTCGCACTTCAAGCCAAGTTTGGATCATGTTCGCCTGTCACACGAGCCATGATTCTGTCGGCATTCTTCAAATTTGTCAACCTGTTTCCTGAAATCCGGCCTCAGTTACTCTCTGCTTTCAGGACATATAGTCACTCGTTGGACTCTGAACTGCAACAACGTGCGTGTGAGTACTTGACCATATCGACCATGCCATCAGACGACCTGTTGCGAACGATATGCGATGAGATGCCTGCATTCCCGGAGCGAGCCTCTGCTCTGCTTTCTCGACTGGACAAGAAATCTAGCGCAGCCGGCGATAAACGAACATGGGCCATCACCGGCAAAGATGCCGCTCCTGGCCTTGATAGAAGTGCTACACTGAAGAGGAACTTCTCCAACTCCGCAGTGACCACTCTCAACGGAGCAAATGGCACCACCAACGGCGCGAACGGCGCGTACAAGAATGGCGCGGTGAAGACGCCCATCGATGAGCTCGCTGGGCTGGACTTGACGAGTGGAAGCACTAATCTCGCATCCGCAGCACATCTGTCACCGGGTTGGGAGGAAGGCTATAACAGACTGCTCATGCGCTCCGAAGGCCTCCTCTACGAAGATGCTCAACTACAGGTGGGCTGCAGAACAGAGTACCGTGCCGAAGTGGGCTGCGTGATTCTGTACTTTACCAACAAATCTCCTGCGCCGATGCAGTCATTCACAACCACGATCGACAACCCATCGACAGAGCAACTCAAGACGGAAACGAAAAACCTTCCCGAGACAAAAGTTCACACCGGCGAACAAACGAGCCAAATGATCATTTTCACAGCCCATGGTGTATTCACCGAGTCTCCTACCATACGAGTATCATACATGGCGGGATCTTTACAAGCAGTCACATTGAAACTGCCTGTGGCGCTGCACAAATACATGGACGCTGCTGTGTTATCTTCCGATGACTTCTTCAAGAGATGGAAACAAATCGGTGGCGCACCGAGAGAAAGTCAGAAGATTTTCAAAGCCTATGATATTTCTACGGATTCGACGAAACGATCACTGACGGGACTGAAATGGGGTGTTCTCGATGGAGTCGATCCCAACACCAAGAACTTTGTCGGAGCAACAGTTCTGCATACTGCTGGCGGTAAATTTGGGTGTTTGTTAAGATTGGAACCCAACCATGAGAACAAGGTACGTCGTCTCGAACCAACCCACCACTCCTCCCTTCACGCTTTTCTTTCCCGTCGACATTGAGACTCCGCGCTAATAACATGACCTTTGTTTTTTTCCTTTCTCGCAGATGTATCGCCTCACAATCCGAGCTACAGACGAAGCTGTTCCCCCGGTTTTGATGAAGATGATGGAAGAGAGACTCAGGGAGCCCTTTCCCATGTAATTTTGTCGCAAATCATCACAAAACTTCTTCATTCGCCCTTCATGGGCCAAACGGACGCGGAACGTCCACTTTGCAGTAGGTAGGTATGTAGGTAGATAGGTAGTAGTAGTAGTAGTACGCTAATATTTCCAAAGTCTCAAAAAGAGTCTACCAGAAATCAGAAGAAGATTGACTGCACAATTGTACGATAAATTAAAAAAAATCCAATACCACATAGTGACTTTGTCTTGCACTAGAAGAAGACACCTGCAGACATTCATTCATTCATACATCATGTCCTAGAACAAACAAGGTACCTACCTACGAGTAAGGCTAGAGGAGAACGAGACCAATTTTCGAGCAGAAAGAATTTCTTCACTTTCCTTTTTCAAAAGGAAAGAGCCCCCTCCCCGTCCCCCTTCGTTTTTCGATTGTCCTTTTAGCTTCTAAGTTTCGTAAGTTGTTAGGAAAGAGTAAGGTAGATAGATCAGGTAGTTACCTACCTTACCTACCTGAAATTTACATGTGACGACTTGCGTCTATGTATGTACTTGTGTGTATGGATCTCGGGGTTATCTCGGGGGTTTGAAGCGGCTGGGATGGTTGACGACGACGACGACGAGGGGCGGAAACAGCAAGCAAAGCAGGCCAGGCCGCCAGGGCTGTTTTCTTTTACGTGCCTTGTTGAAATACTATTTTGCTTTCTGTCCACACGCATACGCACACACGCACACACACGCACACTATGCTAAAGGTAGGCGCACTAAAAAACGACTCAACTCTTGTGGTATCATTGTGCAGTCGCTAAATCAAAAACAAAGATGCCAACTTCGTTTCTCCTCCTTACGCTTCGATTCTTCCTCTTCTTCTTCTCCCATGGACATCTTGCTCGGAACAGTGTAGCGCCCGAAAGTCCATTCCTCCCCCGCCCCATTCGCCTCTTTCCTCACTTGTCCAGTCCCAAAGCAGAAAAAAAAAACGCCGGTCGACTTTCCGTTGTTCTCGTCATATCATATTTGTACATGAAAAAAAGGCTAGCCACTGGCATGATGGGCACTCCACCCGACGGCAAGAGTCCCGCCCGTCTTTCTCAGAATGATGTACACTTGGAATGCAAAAAGAAAAAAAAAGGTGTGGCCGTGTATCTATTGTTGCTGGTGTTGCTGATCTCGGAATAAAGTTGATTCGTGGGCATCATCAAAACATACCGCCATCCATGGGAGAGGCGACGGCACGATCCGGCCTTCTGGTCAGTTCAGGAGAAGCGGCAGCGGAACGTGAGCCGCTATACTGTGGCATGACTGAAGACTGTTCAAATGCCGGCATTCGCATGACGTTGCCAGGAAGGACTTGAGCCTCGCGTTTGGGCGATGTTTGTGTCAAGAGATTGGGATCAGATCGAGTGGTTACCGGAACTGTTGTCTCTTGCGATTCCTTGGATCCAAGACCAAACATCTTGCGTGTGCCGCGACGGCGGGGATTGATTGGAGGAATGGGCGGCGCATCTTCTCTGCCATTCTGCAGAGACGCTCCTGGCGGCAAGTCCACGGTATCGACGTTAGAAGTCGATGAGATGAGCGTCGGCTCTGAGATGTCGTACTTTGTGATTGTTCGCTTGCGCAAGCCTGTGCCGCGGGCGGGAAATGGCACTCCAGCAGAGAATGCTGACGGGCTAATGGCTGGACTGGATCCGGAAAGAGGCGGCGTCGGGTTCTCGGAATATGCGTTCGCGACTGGCACGGGACGACCTGGGGTATAGATGTTAGGTGTAAGACTCGATGGCGTTGCTGCTGGAGTAGGACCACTACTGCCTAGCTGAGTGTCGACAGGCTGCAGCGTGCGGCCAGTCCTATGCTCAAAGTAGGTTTGCATGCCTGTGCGACAGCCATCGCTGGATCTATCGGAACCGGGTAAACCAGGCGAAACGTCTGGCGTGAACTCGTGAGCGGTGGAACTCGAGCCACGGCCCTCAACCATGGCCTTCTCGAGATCATCACGGAACGGCCCAGTACGACTGCGCGAGCTACCAGTGGCGGCCGAATTCGAGCGACTGCGGTTCCGGCCATTCATCTGAGCAACCGATCGACTAGATGCAAGTTGACGCTCGCGAGGGACGTCGCTGTTGTCGCTCTCCTGGAAGCCGTCTGGAGGCCCAGTTTTGAAAGCAGGGTGCTGTGACCTAGGTGGCATAGGCAATCTCGCGGTGGAGGAGTCGGCACGAGGTCGTGTCGTGTCGGGACTGCGCTCATTTCGTGCCCTGGTAGAAGGATGATCGCGCATATGTGCGAGCGACTCTCTACTAGTCTTCGCTCGCAACGCGCCGAATGCTCGTAGACCGTTGCTACCTGATGTCGCGATTGACAATGGTGGCGGCACTGGGCTGTTAGATCTGGAACCATTGTTCACGTCGACAACGCTTCGAAGATTCTCCTTGACGGCTTCCCTCCGAGCAGCCAGCTCTCTCGAGAACGCATCGCGCCCTTCCTGTGTCGCTATACTGGCGTCCCTCGTGTGTTGCCCGCGCAGCTCTTGTTGCCACGATGGCGCATCATCGTCTGCAACTGAAAGCTCAGAGTTGTCGCGATTTCGGTTCTGGCGAGGATTGGATCCCGTATCCTGGGAACCTAGAACATTCGATTGATTCATTGCGTCTGTCGAGCTCGTATCGCTCTGGTCGAAATGAGCGCGGTCCATCAAACTGCGGGTCTCGTCAAGATCCCAAGGGTTAGAAGCTGTGTAATGTGAATCGCGCAATGACGCCGCTGGATCGAGCGAAGCCGCAGCTGCTTCCAGCGACTCTGACTTGCTACAATTCCACGGCATGTTGGGCAAATTCGAAGGGGCAGTTTCGGTCGTTTTGGGCTCATCCGCCGGATAAATGGACGACTCGTTGCTCTTCTGGCGCAGATGGTGCATCATTCCGTTGATGCCACCGACCGCCTCTGCTCCAGGCAGCGTAGGCGAATCCAGCGCCTTTGGAATCTGCTCACCTCCTCTCGATGCGGTATCCGTCTGTGATGGTGGCGCAGTTGCATTTCTCGGGGACCTCGGGCCCTCCTCTTCTTCTTCACACTCTTCAGTCAGGCTCGCAGGAGACTTACGTTGTCTCATTGCCGGATGCTCAGATACAGAAGGGAGTATAGTAGGCTGCCACTTGCTCTGGTAGCCACCATAGCCATATTCTGGCTGATTGAAAGACTGAGCGATCTGCGACTCTTCTTCCTCATCTTCATCATCACTTGCGCTGATGTTGCCGAAGAAAGTGCGATGCGTGTCTGGCAGAGGAGATTTGCTCGCAGGGGGAGGCGAGACCTTTGTCGGGAACTTGCTCACCGCCTTCTGGAAGACGTCGTATGCATGACTACCCTCATGCTTACGAGATGCAGCTTCAGCTCCTGCTCGAGCTGACGAGTTGTGAGAGCCTCGGGACTGGTTGTCTTGTGCCTCGTTGTACGCATTGATGCGTTGCTGTAGCGCAGATTGAGACTGCGCTTTGCTCTTTAAAGCAGCATTGGAAGCAGATCGTTGGAGCTGTTTTTGGCGTTCGAGGTATTGTTGCTCGTCAAAGGCGAACGCCGGTTTGTTGAACGCACCCATTGCAGTTGCTTTGCCACGATCAGCGGGCTCCAGTGCCTGTGCCAATACACTGGCTTCGTCCTGGTAACCGTCCACTGGCGACTGCGGTCCACTTGGAAGTGGACTAGACGTTGCTGAGTTGGCGCGCCTGATCGATCCAAGTGTAGACAGTGGATTGGGGGACATCAACTGCGGCGACTGAGACCTGAAGGCAAAACTGGGCGATTGCGATCGCTCTTGCAGATTGCCAGCACTCTTAGTGCTGTGCAAGAACGGCGGCACGTTTTTGCCGCTCATCGCACGTTGGCGTTGGATCGAGTTCAGCCGACTCAGTGCTGTACTCTGCTGTTCCTGGAGATGCTGGTCCAGTCCTTGCTCATACAGCCTCTTCGGTTTAGTATTCACTCTGTCCGGCATGGGTGTCATAGCGGGCGCGAGGGTCATGACGCCCGTCGGTGCATGCGCCGGCGACGGTGCTGCACTCGCTAGAGTCTGCGAAGCGACCGAAGTCGCAGCAGTTGATGACCGTGCAATTGAACGCGCATCCGAGGATGTGGTCGATCGCTTTCTGTCATATGAAGACAAAGAAGGCGAGTGACAGAGATCCTTGGCCGAATCGTTTGGCAGGGAATGCTGCCCATCATCATCATCCTGCAAGTCCAGCTCGGCCTTGTCCAACCCGAATTCGAACATTTGACTGTCATCTGAGCTCCGCGGAAGCTCACTTGCATCATGTTCTCTTTCTCTTTGCCGGTATCTCTGGAAAGCTGACATGCCGACATCATCATCGTACATGACCTTTCCGAGGCTTTTAGTAGAGTTTGCTCCACTACCTGCGATCTTGTAGATCTTCTGGCGACCACCAAACAAAATGTTGCCCTCTCCAGGTCGGGACCTCTGCATAATGCTGCCGCCCTGGGCATCGACTTCACTGCTATAGCCATCCTCAGATACGGTAGAATCTGCGCGGCTGCTGCTTGCCTGAGCGAATGGAGGCCGGATGGATCCATGGACTGATGAGACCTCCGCAATATCAGAAAGTCCAGTGGGATGGCAGCCGAAGTCTCCCAGGCGCGAACGCCTCCTAGGGTGTAATACGCTATCGTCGCTGGCCTTTCCTAGAAGTGAGTTGGGGTCGTCTTGCTCGCGTAGCATACTGAACCGTGTCGACAGACTCGGCATCAGTAAGCTTGTTCGAAAATCGTCAGTCGACGGTAGCGCAATGGACACGTCGAGTTCTGGGCGAGGTGCTGGCTCGGGCTTCTTGTTCTTCTTCCACCTGCTGGCTCCGGACTTCTTCGGCGCGGGGGATGGAAGGGGCGGCTGCGAGAGCGCTCTGAGCGCGTCGTCGTTTGAGACCGGGCCATCGATGGCCTTTTTCTTCAAAAGTTTGTTCATTGTGGTGCTGAAGAAGTCAGCAGAGCTCCTTGAGTTGTACGTCTGCGTCCACCACGCCGCACCGTCCATGGAGGGCAGCCAGCAATGTGCGAAGGTTTTACTTACAAAACGAGTGTGGTTGAGTTTTGGTGGAGGTGTATGAGCGTGTACCCACCGCCAATGCTGGTACGACCTCACTCACGCACACGACGAGTCACCAACCTGCTTGCGTGCGGCGAGTCTGTATCGCAGTATAGGCCGACTGCGGGCTGCTCAACGTCCTTCAACAGCAGCAGCAGGCAGAGAAAGCTGTGCGCCGGCTGGTCCTCCGATGCGTGATGTCGCTAGCTTCCAAATTCTCCAACTGAGCATTGCCAATGGGGGTGGTGCAAAGGCGCGAGAGTTCCGACGCTGGCAGTGTTGTACTCGACAGCGCAGGCGCTGGTTGGAGTAGGGGAGGCGGCGGTGGAGCGCACGCTGCAGGTACCCGTGCTCTCGTGCTCTGGTGCTGCAGTCCGGAGAGTGAGTGGAATGCTGCCTCTCCAAACAAGCAGGGTTTCGAGGATGCGTGTGGTGTCGGGGACGGGAATCGTGCAGCCGGCGTGTGTGGTCGGCGCTGGGCGGAGTGTTGGAGCGGAGTCGTTGGTGCGTGTGTGTGAGTGTGTGTTTCCAGGCGGCAGCGCGTGCGTGCGTGCGTGTGTGAGTGAGTGTGTGAGTGTGTTTGAATGAATGCGTGGTTGAAGAGGTTGGATGTGTGCTCCCCAAGGACGCGCAAAGAAAGCAGGAAGATCTTGGGGCAGAGTGAGACCGGCAAAAGTGCTCCGATGGTACCTGATTTTAATCTCCACGCGACCTTCTTGCCGTGTAGGACACCAGTCGTGCAGTGCCCGTCGCGATTAATATGTCGATGAAGCCGAGATGAAGTTGCGCGATGGGCGAGAAAGATGGAGGCGGTGGTAGTAGTGGTGGTGGTGGTGGTGAAGCCGTACGTGAACCGAATTCGACAGCGCTGGCATCCGATGTCTCCTCCTGCTACCTCTTCCCAGTTGCGCGCAGGTTTCATACAAACTGTGATACAGACGGGAGTAGTGCGGGTGTGCGGGTGGAGCCCGAGTCGACTAGTGGGCAAAAACTAAAAAACATGCGAGACCAGGGGAGGGGCCATGCAAGGAACGCGCCTGCCACCCGTCACCCGAGCGAATCAAGCTTTTCCTCGACGCCCCCATCTTCTCACCTTCTTCCACTCTGCTGGGGCGGAACGCCGTTCGTTCGTATATACCTCCTAACAACACCACCGGACGTCATGAAGTCATGGTCGCCATGGACGGGGAGATTGTGCCGTCGTGTACATGCAGGTAGATACTGTACACCGTCCTCTCTGAATACATGTACGGGCATGTAGCTAATACCATGCCATCGTGTCGCCAATGCATCATCGTCGTCTACCTACATGTACCTACTGTATGTAGGTACAGGTAGGTACCCGACTCTGCTCTGCTGTGCGAGATGCCTGAGGCAAGGGAGTGGTGCCAATCGAAAACACTACCTGGCACTGAAGGTCCCTTATTCCGCCCACAGGGGGTGTCAACTCGCCCCGAATGATGTGTGAACATGCAGCTAGCTTCCTCCGGCACCTGAGAAGCGACTCCTGTCGCAGCCTGGTAGTCATACATACTAGGTACCTGGTAAGAGGTAGGTAGCATTCTTACTTGAAAAGGTACTTCTCTAGTCCGTGGCCACTCTGTGTGCTTCACGAGGCACTCCGCCATCGGCCGGGGGCCAAGCCGCCGACTGAGACAGCCAACAACAAAAATCGCAGCTCCGTTGCTCTTTGCTCTTCACTATCTGAAACTCTGGTGATCTCCGACATATAAATCACATTCGAATGCAAGGCCCAGAACAGATCCAGCAAAGCACTCGGAACATACACGAGGCGTCGCCCATGTGAATGGGCTCCAGCTCCTTACCTTACCTCGAGCGCACCGGATGCCGGGCAACATAGCTCCTTTGCACGTCGCACGTTTCAAGAAGGCCTGTTCGTCCATTGCGAAAAGTGATCGCTACAGGTATGTTGCGTATCTACCTTGGTGCTTTTTGAGCTGTCCCCATCGCGCGCCTCTCTCCTGATTGTCCAAATGCGCGCGGATCCGGTGCCACGCTCATTAATTAATCAATAATCTGTGCTGCGTGCCACAGTGCTCCGCGTTGCCAGTGCGCCGGATATGAGCATCTTCCGGCATCATATAGTGCTCGAGCTCAGGTGCTTTCATCGATCGAGCTGTACGCCGCCGCTCCAACCCACTGTTGGAGGGTACCTACTCAACATAGTGATGAGCTCTTTTCCCACGAAATTTGGATCGCTGTTGACAGAACCTAGTCTGCACGACATCAAATTCAACCCAAACGCAGGAATAGCACGAGCAGGCAGAAGTCCTATTGGAACCTTTAAGACAGGTCAACGAACCTGTTCTGCTTCATTTTGAATCATTCCCTTCCTCGTGTTTACTGTAGTAGGTATGTAGGTAGGCGATCCAAACGCCGCAACGTTGTGGTGAGCATCGCCAACGAGGTTCGACAAGGTCACAGCTCAACTGGCTCCGACTGCCAAGGATATTCTGACCAGTGCGTCTTGTGCGCCAGTGTCCAGACTGGCGAGAACAATATACACGTCTTCTCTGTGCGGAAACCATGCGTGCTGTCGCAAGACTAGGAGGGGTCCTGCGAGCATGGCCCAGCAAGTCACACTGCTGGCGTGGCATTCCCGGCTGGCGCGGACGTTTCATTTGTCTAACGCGAGCCTGCTTGGTTCGGGATTGACGTTGATGCAGACTTCACAAGCGCATTAGTTGTGCGTTTGTCTTCCAGAGCTGCCGCGGCCCGAAGGTGCCCGACTGCAGCCACAGATCGTATGAAAGCTACCTCCTAAGAGGTGCCTCCCCTCCAGCGCAGAAGCCACAGAGGGGGAGCTGCCTCCTGGAGCGCAAGGCTGATGGCTGATAGCTGATAGACCCCCGTCTCGGTCTAGCTCGACGGCGTACTAATCTTTAGGTACGCGAGTATGAGAGCCAGTCGAATGACAGCTTTGGACAACATGATGATGATGATAATGAACCTCCTGAAGCCGACCGAAGTTGCGTTCTTCTTGAGCAAGCTGCGGACTCCTGAGAGGGCAGTTTGTTGAGCGTTTGTCCTACCTCCTAATAAGAGCAGACCTACTGTAGACTAAAGGAACCTAGGATAAGTCCTATCGAGCAACCAACCAACCACATTGCGCCTCTGCAAAGTTTCCGACGATCCACGGTCACGGGTTCGGCGACGAGTCCGACAAGATCTGCACTCATGATTGTTTTTATTTGGTGACATTCTTGCGCCTAGGGCCGACTCTTCGCCTTTCAGAACTCTTTTTCTTTCCCCTCATCACACTGTCCGTGGTAGCCGACTCACTTGGCACGCAGCATTTCTGTCAGCTCCATGGTACTACGTAACGAGTATCGGTCCCGCAAACGACGGCAACAGGATATTACCTCGTGAACCGACGAGAAGCCAGAGCGCAGCTCGCAGAATCTGTTGTTGCTCCTCTCACTGCCGCCTGAGCTGCTAGGTAGTCGACCTCTTCTTGTACCTCCCTCGTGCCACCCTATACTTTTCATGCTTCTAGACACGCTTTTCAGAACAAGGAACTGGTCACTTGGGCCTTGAACAGGGAGCAAATACCAACGCCGCACTTGAATGCGACACCCGGTTGTCACGATTTGCCATCATGGCTAAAGTCGATCTTGTCAAGAAAATGTTATCAAGCGGCGCCGATTTTCAACGTAGGTGGGGATGTTCTCCACTATGCCGCCGAACGGGAGGACACAGCTTGTGTCGCAATACGTACCTCCTAGCGGTGGTGCTTGCCAAAGCTCCACGGATAAGACTGCTGCTGAAACACAGTGGACAGCCCCATGGCCTCAGACATGATGGCATTTGCGCAGGAGGGGTCGATTGATGGGACTTGGAGCCATCGCGCTATACAAGGCTGGATATTGTATCCGAGCTTCTTCAACCTGGTGCTAATGCTGACATTGAAAGTACAGTACGCTGGGCAGGACGGCCGAGATATTCGCCGAAGAGCCAGGCAATAGAGCTGCTTTTGCACTATTGAGTGAAGTCCGATCGGCAAGATTTGTTGGTGACCGCATCATAAGGTAAGAACAAGACGATTTGAAATTGAGAGAGAGGGTTGGAAAGTGCTAGAGCAACTCCAAAGACGAAGCACCTGCGACTTGGCTTGCTACGGACAGTGGTTCGCGCGAAGTATGAATGGACGTTATTTGCGCTGACGCAGAGGGATACGTACCTTACTGTGTCGTTGACACATTGTACGTTACAGATACATGTACCTGTGGTCCGTGGAAAGGGGAGTTTGTGCCAAGAAATGCTGACCAGCTTACATAAGTCAGGCACACATGTGCCCAGCGACAGCTCAGGTACCTTACCTGTAGGATGTATCCGGAGGTAGTACCTAGTAGATTACGTGACAGGCTGACAGCTTTTGCAATGCAACATTCACAGCCACCGACCACATTGCAACCAACACGCAGGCTACGATCGCTCCCCCAATGTCGGCTGTGCAGAACGCTATATATGTGGATTCTCTGAATTCTACTCCTCAGCGGCCTCGGCCGTTTCCAGAGCATTACAAGGGATGCCTCCATTGGTACGAGCAACGTCGATTCTGCCTATTGAGTAGGTAATACACTGATCGTAGGGCTTCCGAGTATTCGGAAAGGTACGTTGTTACCATCATTGATTCGCTACTAGTACTGTGTTACTGATTTACTTTTGGCAGAGCGCGGTTGCTGACAGGATTATTCGTGATAGGTAATGTTTGACAAGTTCGCTGATCCAGGCCTGACTAGGTATTCGTATCGTGAAGGCTTTTGCCGGAGGCATACACCAGGTCAACCGCTGTGCCTTGAGGCATCGGCTTGCTTATGTGCTGGATCAACAGGGGATTCCTACAGTACCCGGGCTTTCATAGGTTGTGGCGAGCTCCAGCGCTACTAAGCAGTGGCCCACTTTTGTTGAAGAGCACTCCAATGCATCAAGAGTCTGTACGATACCGATCATTACCTGACCGATGTACCAAGCAGCTTGCAATACCCCGCTGAGGAATACTCAAAGAAGCTCGCGTAGTGTACGATTATCAAGGGCAAAAGTAAATATAGGGCATTGGCAAGCAGTTGAAAAAGGCTATATAGGCAGCCTAGCATATACGAGAATCAAACTTGCAGACCTAGAGTATATCCGCAGGATGCTGGCATGGAGAGACCGGCGATCATTATGAACCAGGTTATTACTATAGAAATAGGGCATATATAAGTTGCCTAGTACCGATGCCCTTCTAGCTTGACTACGGCTCTGAAGCGAACAAGACATCGAGCACTAATCTTCTTTTTTATTTGTCTAGCTATAGCTATGTAGGAGGAGTTGTACTACTATAGAGCCTATAACAGAATCGAACTGTTGTATACCGCTCTCTCCTTTCGTCCGCTCTATATAGTATAAGGTGTCTAGTAATCCTACCCGCGTATAGAGGGCCGGCCCTAACCTACCTAATTCTTGAATATAATTAGAGTCTAACTAACTTACTCTACTATATTAGGGTCGAAGTCTATAGCTGAGCTATTAGGAGACGCTAGTCCGGTTTCGTAATTATATAGCTCTAGTGCGATATATATTAGCCCTCTTAATAATCTTATTTTTAGAGCCTCCTCTCCCTATAACCTCCTAAACATTACCTTACTTCCGCGTTTCCCTTCGTATTTAGGGGAGATACAGGCTACTCTATCGATAGCGATATATCGGATTACCTAGTTTCGGTAATATATAACCGCTATATTAGGTCTCTAGAGTTACAGTTCCGTACCGAAGGAGTAGGTAAGGTACGACTTCTATAGGTACTAGACCGTAGTTTAGTAGAGGACCGTCTATCGATATCGGTCGGCGTTGTTCGCTTTCCTATAGGTAGAGAACGGGCTAACTGCTATTAGGATTATAAGTTTAGCCTTTGTTCGTAGTCGTAGTATTTCTACTTCTAGATCTATCGCCGCTCTTCTCTAAATTCTTAGTATTTTATCCTATACTGCCTATACTACTTCGTAGTAGATCTAGATATATAGGATCGATAGGTCGTAGTTATCTTATAGACATCTCTTCCGGTTAGGCTCTAGCTATTCTAGTCGCTCGCCCGTCTTTACTTTTATATAGATTATTCGCTAGAGAAGGTCGCCTGCCTTTAGTATTTCTAGCTTCGTTTAGTATACTTCCTATATAAGTACGTCGGGTACGAGTCGTCCTATAATAGTCTAGTAGGCGTACTTTATTCTATCGATTCGGTACGCGAAGTCTATATCCTTTAGCCTATTTTAGAGGAGTATCTCGTATACTGCTCGAAAGCTGATTTATATAGCCTATAGGCCTTTGTTCTTAGTACTTCCCTTACCTATCTCCTAGAAGCGGATATTCGTCTTATAGGTATAGGTGTTTTCCTATCCTATAGCGGGCGTCGTCCGGAGTGCTTCCTTCTAGGGCTCTAGGAGCGAGTCGAGAAGGAGGGCGATCCTACTTCTAATATTGTCTCTCTATATCTTTCTGTAAATATATATAGGGATCTTAGGTTCTATTGTTTTAGGGTCTACTAGGTTACCTAATACGTATGCCCCGGCTTCCTATAGGAGGGTCTACCTGTCTAAGTTCTATCGCCTTACGCCTAATCCTCCCCTACCCCTAATTAGCGGATAGTACTACGGGTTCGTATTTAGGGCGTCGGCTCTTATCCTCGGTTCGAGTATCTAGACTACTTTCGAGTCTCGCGATTTATATATATTATATATTCGGCGCTATTCTGTCTACTAGTAACCGACGTATATTAGTACATAGTATATCTGTAAGGAGAACGCTTAGATCTAGGGGCTGTCTACCGTATTATAGAGGATCTAGCTATTTAAGCAGAATAGGATTATATCGCGGCTAAGTGCCGCCTAGAGGAGGCTTAGTTACGCTACCGCCCTTACGATTGTTGCCGCTATTCCGGCGTTTACGATACTCTTAATATCTATATACCCGATACCTCCTTAATTACGCGGTATATATACGTAGAAGTCTTTCTCGAGAGTCTTGCCTTTAGCGTCCTAGACTAGTCTGTAGTACGCTCTTTTAAGTTTAAATCTTACTTCGTACGGGATTAGGATAAAGCGTAGGGCGTATCTCGGTAGGGATATTATAAGCGAGTTCGCTATAAGGACCCTCCCTTTAATTAATAGGTAGAACCTAGCCTATTCTTTCCCGACCTTCGTAAATTTCTTAATTATCTTCTCCTAGTATCGCTATAGCTACTATATATTACGGATGCCTAGCGGGATTCTAAGGTGCTCGTATAGGTTATTATCCGATACTATCTTTATACCCGGGAGTTGAACGGTTAAGGGTTCGCTAATCTTTATAAGGTATAACTTTATCGTATTGACCTTTGCCCCTAATGCTTTGCTATAAGTATCTAGGATTTCTATCGCGGCGTCGGCCTTAGCCTAGTTGCGTAGTATAATCGCGGTGTCGTCGGCAAACATTAGTACTTTAATATAGCGCCCTCCTATTCTAATTCCCTTAATTCGGCTGTCTTTAATAATTAATTAGACAAGGCCTTTAATTACCGCGACAAAGAGGAGGCAGCTAATCGGGTTACCTTATCGTATACCGGACTTAATTTCGAACGCATTACTTAGGTAGCTATTAATAAATACCTTAATTCTTGCCTCCTTATATAAGGTCTTTAGCTATTCGATGAATTCTTCCGGTATACTAAGTATCGCTAGTATCTCCTATATAAAGTCGTAGTCGACTCTGTCGTATACCTTTTCTTAGTCTAGGAAGAGTATATAGCAGCCTCCCTAGCGGGTCGGTACTAGAGGCTCTCCTTAGACGTTGTACCTTATTAAATATATTGATATTATAGCTTGGACAGCGCGTACGTTGTCGTCAATAAGTCGGTTAGGTAGGAAGGTATATTAGTAGTCTCCGATAACTTCGTCGAGGCTTTGTACTAGGCGTTATATTAGAATCTCTGTATAGATCTTATAGTCTATATTTATTAACGATAGCGGACGGTAGTTCTTTAGGTCTGTTCTTTTACCTTTGTTTTTAAAGAGTACCGTTAGAATACCGTTCGTCTAATCTCTTAGTAGGTTGCCTGTTACTTAGATGCTTTAGAAGAGATATAGTAAGTGCTGGATTACTAGTATATCTTCCGGCTTAAAGTTCGTAACCTCCGGTTTTATAAGGTTTTCCGGTAGTTTGGTTATTGCCTTATACAGCTCGCTAACTAGCCTATCTTCTCCGGGGGACTTCCTAATAGCCGTCCGTCGAATTAATAAGAGTATTTCCTACCTTATAATCGCCTTAGTTAAGGTTATTGCAGTCCGGTTACTTAGTCTTACCGTTACTATCTTAAGGACAGTCTCTTATACTTAACGCTCCGTCGGTTTAATATCGTAAAGTTCTAAGTAGAACCGAACGGCTACCTAGAGTAGGTCTTACGAGTCTGTCTTCTCTTCTCCGTTATAGTCTACTAGCGCCTCGATTACTTAGTTAGAGTATTGTTTGTTACGTAGGTAGAACTACCGGTTAGGTTTCTTATTAAGTAGTATATGTTTCGCTAGGGCGTTGTAGGTATACTACAGTTATTGCGCTTCCGCTAGGTTATCTTCCTATACCGTAATCGCTTTAATCTTGTTCTCTAAGCCTAAGCTTATATCCGGTAGGTTCCGTACTACTGCCTCTGTTCTCTTATTAATTAGGCGCTGCCTTTTCTGTCTGATGTTGCCTTAGAGCTTTCGTCTATTACGGGTTTGTATTATAGCTAGGGCCCTTAACGCTTCCTTTAGCTTTATCTTAAACAGTAGCTATTGCCCGTCTTTAATTAGGAATTTACCTAGTAGGTTACTATAGTCCTCGGTATACCTCTTCTAGTAGAGTATTAAAGGGTTTATTCGCTAGCGGCCTAGGCCTCTAGCTACCTGTTCCTCCTTATCTAGTAGGGTCGAGACCGGCCTATAGTTAGGTAGGTAGCCTTTAGGCTTAATGTCCTATCGTCTTGTTCGATATATCTAATCGTTACGGATATAGATTCTATCGAGTCTCGAGATTCCCTTTAAGTATATATAGTACGTATAGTCTCGGGTTTCTAGGTATTGCGTTCGCTATCTATCCGTATAGGACAGGTCTAGGTTATTACTAGCTAGCGAGGTTAAGAGCTTACTATAGCCTTCTATTGCCTATATCGGGTCCGTTCGGTCGGAGGCTCTATTAATTCGTTCGATCGTAATATTCTAATCCCCGGCGATAATATCGTACAGTTAGAGTAGTTGTCGTTCTTAGAGCGACGCTAATACGAGATCGTACTATCGGCGTCGTTCTTCTCTCTAGGCTAGTATATAGGTTGTCGCTACTTAGAGGGGTACCTCTTTGCTTACGACTTTGTATACTAGGAGTCTACTATAGGCGTCTTTATAGACCTTAGGATTAGTATCCTATTTGGTCGTTCGGTCGTTAATTAATATACTAACCCCTCTACGGTTAGGTCCCTTATAGTTTAGGTACCTTATTTGACGCAGCGGTTTAGCGTTGTGTTCCGCTTAGTTATTAGTTAGGTTAGTGTCTTATAGGAGTGCGATGTCCTATCCTCTACTTATTATTATATTATAGATATCTCTAAATCGGGCAGGATTAGAAATTGAATTTATATTGACTAATACTATATAAATACTACTGTTTATATTTATTAGAAAAGGTAGGAGGGTTCGTTTAGTAGTAGTCTCTCCGGTAGGAGGTCTTGCTCTAATACTTTGTACGGGATTAGGCCTATATCTAGGTATAATACTACGAGGTATCCTCGCTTTATATATAGATTATATTCCCCCTTATCCTTTACTGCCCTAAAGACGGCCTTAAAAGACCCTACGTACGAAATACTAGGTTTTGGCGCGAGTAGGACCGAAAAGGTTCGGTACTTAATTAGTTTCTCGAATATATATATTACGTTCCGTCTTATAGCCGTACCTTGCTCCGAGAGCGTAGTACCTAGCTAGAACTTTACGGAGTTGTCGC